AGAAGAGAATTATGAGGAGAGGAAAGGTGAGAGAGGGGTGTAAATGGAATAAGAACTTGAGGAAGGAAATTTTGATATGAGATTGAAGTTAGAGTTTAAAGGGGCTTGAAATTGGGTTTGGTGGGTAGGTGATTGAGTTGATTAAAATGGTTTGATGAGATGGTGAATTGGATGGAGTACATTGGGTGTGAGGAATTATATACATAAATTTATATATTTGCTTTTTGAAGGATAAAATAAGAATATAGATATATATATGTTTGGGTTGGGGTTAGGGAATCGGGTTAGGAGGAGGGATAGATGGAAATGAGATAGAGTTGGGAATAAGTTATTATATATATCGGACGAGTTAAATTTGTATAGAGCAGGGGAAAGAGAAAGAGGAGTAGAGAATTGAGATAAAGTTTTAAAGGTTGTATTTTTTCTTATAGATATTATAGAAAATACCATATTAATTAGATGTTTCTCAAAAATATTTTTATTTAAAAGATCATTCTAATTGTAAAATATTGAATAAGTACTTATTAATATAAATATACAAAAAGAACTAAGTAATCTTACCTCATCTCATTCCCACATATCCCTAATATTCATCATTTATTTTCCCTTCCTGATCTCCTCGAGTTTCATCCTCCCTTTTCTCATAGACTCGCCTAATATATTACCTATACATATATAACTAACAACTAATTTAACCCCAAACACAATCATCCAAACTTCAACTTACAGCTAACTCCCTTTAAATGAAACTCATAAGTTATTATAAAATTACAAATCAAGTTTATAAAAGCTGATTTTTAGCCGACCATGATGCTGTGTCACGAGATTTAATTATGAGAATTTTACCGGCCAGTTAATGATATGATGATATGATGATATGATGATATGATGATATGATGATATGATGATATGATGATATGATGATATGATGATATGATGATATGATGATATGATGATATGATGATATAATGTGGATTTGAGTAGTGTGGGAATGGGATTTTGATATTGAAATTTTGGTTTATTGGGGGAAGGGGGTTTATGGTGAGGATATGAGGATGTAGGGGATAGATTGGGGGAGAATGGGGATTAGGTTAAAAAGGAGATGGAAAGGAGATGTACGTGGAGATGGGATGGGATGCTGTGAGGAGGTTTGGGATGAAGTTGGAAATGAAGTTGGAGATGAAGTTGAGATAAATCATAAATAAATAATCAAAGAATCTGAACTCCAAAATAGCATCTAGAGTAGGCTATAAATGGATACACAGACAGGACATCATGACTGTAGATTTGAAGTTTATTTAGTCTTCATGATAGAGTTTCTGTCCATAAATTAGTATCCCACTTTTAAACTTCATGTATATAAGAGATGGAGAGAGGAGTATTAACTGATGGTATAGTATGGTAAGATTAGGTTTTGAGATTGGTATTGGTAGAACTGAGCTGGAATTCGAGGAGTGTAGTGTTGAAAGCTATTCTATATCTATTTAGAAGTAGTTTAGATGGTTTTTAATGGGAATGTCAAAGGTCATTATATGGGGTTTAATTTGTATTGAAGTGTGTAAAACTTATGGTTTGGTGATTGGAATTTGGGTTATTTGATTAGGTGGGATGAAGGTAAGATGAAGGTAAGAGTTGTATATAATAGTAGGTGGATAGGTGTTACCAGGAGATCAAGAATTATAGTTCGGATGAGTTAGAAGATTCTGAAGTATATATAGATGTGAAGTAGATGGTATGTTGTGGTATGATGAATATAAGTAAGATAATGCAAACTCGACACTTGAATCCTTATAGCTAGGTACTAAACATCACATATTCAGAAAAGGAACATCTTTCATCAATACCCCCATTAGCCCTAGATAATCATAAAGCTTTCCCACAAAATGAAATTTTCAACAAGACGCCATGGCCATTCGCTTTGACTTCTTTGAGTTGAGGTGAAGGATTCAAAGTGATGGATACCCTTGAGAGAGCTACGTCGTGACATTCCGAAAGATCCGGGGGATCTACAGCTTTAGATGAAATGTGCGGGGATACTCCGTACAGATGGGATTTTGCCGGGGTATAATGACAGACTTGAGATTGTTGTATATAGTGGGCAAGGACTTTTTGCGTTATGTTAAATCATATATCTGAAGATGTTTTCTATCTGATGATTTCTGATTCTGTGGACAATTTGGATCTACAGTTGAAGAGGTACGGCATCATAGATACATCATTGATATGCTTATTTATTCCTCTACCAGGGAAATATAATGAAAGTATGGTTAGGTATTAAAGGAAGTTGGCGAATGTTGGATATTAGACACTGTCTAGTGTGCTTGTTGGAAGGATGTTAGATGTTAGATGTTGCAGCTACATCCATCTTCTTCAGACCCCACACTACGCATCTACCTACCTTGGTACATGTAAAATTAAGTAAAGGCGGAGGCGGAGTAATATTCTCCGAAAACGGAGAGTAACAAGTAACTTGGGGCGACGGTTAATGAAGTGTGCAAATATAAGATGATCTACCGATCCACCACCAAGGAAAAAAGAGGGTGAAACAAAAAATACCTAATATCAGATAAAAAAACCGTTGGATGGCACTCTGTAATCTTTTCTCATCCTGATTGATCAGATGTACCTGGTAACTATACTTCCAGAGAATAGGACGTTGAATTTATTTCATTCCGAATGCAACATTCTCACATGGAGAGAAAGGATTATGTGGTGGGTACTGGGGATTTGCTTGCCCAGTTGAGAGTTGCGAACCAAATTTTCGGAAACTAGTGCAAGAAACTCGGGGGTGCTCGGTGCTCGGTGGTCTAGTTTTGAGTACCTAGGTAGGTATTAGATGATTACTTTCAATCTTTCCTCCATCTTGTTACCTAGCTTGATATTCGATTCCTTGGAATGTTATCCCCTATCGGACTCCGACTTTCTTCAAGTGTCAGCTTTAAAAATTGTAAATGTTAATGTCACGAGATTGCTATTATCCTTATCATCATTATCACTATCACGTGAAGTATCTCCAATAGTCCGGATTGCAGGTCAACAATAAAAGACTTCCAAACATTGGAGTCTACCTAGTATTTAAAATATGAATTCAATTCTTTTGGATTATTCAAACCAATTGAAACATTTACTCAAGTCATTTAAGATACTAGATTCACTTCGCATATTGAATGTTTTCAGTCAAGTACCTATTGAAAACTCACATCTAATCTACTAATACACACCATTATCACGTGATTATACTGCAATTTTCATGATTAGAGTCATTCTTTTCGTGAGTTCGAGATGATGATAAATTGATATGTTGCATAAGAATCCTGCACATCAAATTCATCTTGTAGACTACTATAAATACATACAAAATGGAAGGGCTGGCGATGATGGAAATCATGTCACACTTCTTTCGCTCGCCACTTTATCAACCGAGAGTTTCGAACGATATTACTTACTTACCTAGGGAGTAGGTAATCAAGAAAATAAGAGGTGATAAGAGAACTGCAAGATTATGAATGATTGATAGATTATTTCAAATACAAATACAAATACAAGATTTGATTACAAAGTAGAATCTTGTGCAAGTTATTCTCCTAATCGTTACCGATATAAGATATAAGTTGTTGCTTTCGTAAGATTGAAATGATCGGTGAATGTTTTAAAATATTACTATACTATGTAGGTATGATTTGTATCTCAAGTGAAGGCAAATAGAGGAGTAATCATTTGTTGATGAGAGGGAAGTGCAGTCAGTGAGTGTGCTTGTATTGAAGGTTCCTGATCGGAGCGGACCACGTAGATAATGAGATGAGTTACCTGCTAGCTACTACCTACTATCTATCTATTTTCTAAATATCTGAATTTCTTCAGCCATCACTTAACATCACCTAGTTAGTACCTAGGTAGGTACCTAGATATTGTTTAAAGTAAAAGTGTTGTACCTACCTTTTATCTCCATGTTAAAAGCGGCGTCATACCACAATGAAGCTAATACTATTTACAGGTTAGTTCAAACGAAATCTCAATCTTACTGGTTCTTACACAATTCTTCCACTTTTTTTCTCTCTCATCCAAACTCTAAATTCTATTGACATTTCATTCTTCAAATTCCGTGATAATTTCAATGAATATTAGATAGATGATCAACAATCATCTGATTCTAATCAACTCATTATCCTTCTTTAATATCTTTGTCTTTTCTGGTGTTGTTACTTCTTTTTAATACCTATCTCTCTAGCTACCTACCTACCTGCCTACCTACCATTCCTTCTTTCTTGCTGCCGAATCCTGGTTCGTTCAATTCTCACAGCTCCCCAGCTCACACAGCTCCGTCCGACCCAACACCAAAAAAAGAAAGAAATAATTTACGAGTAGAATCATTGGAAACGCACCTTTTCCTCTCGGGAGTAACTTACATCACGTCTAGAGTATTTCTCAGTCCTTGGTAGTGCAACACCCCCCAAAAACCCACCTTGGAAACCCATACAAATTACAACTACAAACCATCGACCCCGAATAATTGAAAAGCCTCGACCACGGCATCAATATTTATTTGCCTTTAATAATTGTATGGTGAATATCTTCACTTGCGCAATCTCATCCCAACAACACCATTTCAACTTGAACCCTCAAAAATAACTTCTCAACCCTATTGCTTCTCGCATTCAACTAGCCCGGGTTCTATCGCATTTGCTTTACACTAAAGAGGTTCCCCCCCAGACACAGACGCAGAACAGAACACCTCAGTTACACCAAAAATCACACTTCAACTCATTCAAAACTACACAAAAGTTGGCGCGCCACGTACAATTACAATAACAGACAAGTTAAAATTTTTATCAATTATTTTCGCTCCCGTTCATTCAAACCAACTCTGCCGTGCGACATTTCGCCTCCAACCGCTTCGCGTCAGAGAGCTGTGGCTGACGGACGGTTTTTCTTCTTCTTAACGGGTGTTGGATTGTAAGGTTCACACTCACGTTCAACTATTACCACTTGATCGCGTTCAGGGTCTGCCACGATGAATAACGTCAATATGTCCGGTATGCCAAATATGGGTGGTCCTGTCGGGGGTGGTATGCCCATGATGAATAATGGGGTAGCTGGTGGAGCTGCTCGACACCCTACGAACAATGATAACAACCGGTCGCAACTAAACACCTACATTTACGAATACTTCCTCAAGAATGGAATGTTCGATTGCGCCAGGACGTTATTGAATCATGAACAAATTAATGTCGTCAAAGATAGCCCTGGTCGTGGCGACGGGGAAGATGGAGATGATTCTAAAGATGATATTGATTCGAAGAGACCCAATGATCTTCCTCTGCCTAATCTTCCCAAAGAATGCCCTGAAGGTTGTTTCCTGTACGAGTGGTTTTGCCTCTTTTGGGATATGTTCAATGCCCAGCGAGGCAAAGGAGATGCACGCAATGTCCTTTCTTACGTCTCACATACACAGGTATTTTAATTTCGAGCTTCACACAAGTGGTCACTAAATTTTGGAATAGCAATCGCGCCAAAAGGCAGAGCAACAACAAGCAACACTTCGTGGCCTGAACCCGTTGCATGGTGGTCCAGCTTATGGTCGTATGCCGGGTGGTATGATGGGTCCCAATGATCTTGCACGAAAAGCCATGATGAATGGTAGAGGCGGTGGACCGTGAGTAGCCATCTTCACCACCATACTAATGCTAATCACTTCTTGTTACAGAAATCAACAGCATTTGCAGCAATTACAACAAATGCAGATGCAAAAACAACAAGTTATGCAAAGAGAACCTTCGGACGGTAATCATCCACAGCGGGCTCAATCCCCATCATCTGCCGAGAACGCCCCGTCTCCATCCAAGCGACCTAGACTTGATGGACCTACCTTTAATCAACAAGGTGGAATGGCACCTAATGGAAGGGGACAATCTACTGGAATTCCAGCCCAACAGGTGGGAGAAACCGGCCCCAGCAATACTGTTCAAGCAGCTCATTTGCCACTTTCACATGGCATCGATTCAAATCTGACAGCTCAGCAGTTCTCAGGTTTCCAAGGTCAAAATCCCACTCAGAAGAATCTTCAAGCAGCATACCAAGCCAACTTGTCTCAACAGCAGCAGAAGCAAATGTCTGGCGTCGCCGCCGGAGGGCCTCCAAACCAAGGATCGCCCATGATGACACAGGGTGTTGATAGTAATGCCATGGCAGCATATGGTTACGCCGCAGGTGAGATGAACCAGAATGGTGTAAGAGGCGCCCCAGGTGGTCAACAAGGTGGTCAAGGTAATCATGCGTTGCAGGATTATCAAATGCAATTGATGTTGCTCGAACAGCAAAACAAGAAACGACTTATGATGGCTCGCCAAGAACAAGATGCTATTCGTCCTGACGGTCAAGGAGGACCTGGCGGCCCTGGTATGGGACCTAACGGACCCAATTTTCAACAAGGAACTTCACCACAAAGTGGACCTCGATCAGTAAACTCACCAAACCCAAGTGAACAGATGAAGCGAGGAACTCCTCATATGAACAACCCCGGTATCCCTTCTCCTCTGCCTGAAGGCCAAAACAGAGGATCTCCAAGTGCAATGAATTTCAACATGGGACAAGGTGGACAGATGGATGGAGGGATGAATCCACAATTTTACAAGATGGACGGAATGAATGGTAACATGATGCAAAACGGCATGCGCCCACCTAGTTCCCACCCTGGGTTTAATCCACAAGGGATGTCGCAACAACAAATCATGATGGCACGACAACAAGCCGGTAATTGGCAGAACGGTCCAAACGGCGGTGCTCCTATGGTTGCCAACCCCTCACAGGGTCCTCCACAAGCTATGGGCACACCTCAGCAACGAAACATGCCTCCACCAGCAGCTCCTGCCAACGCGGGCGTAAATGGACGAACTCAACCATCATCACCCCAAGGTAGCACTGCTGCGCCTCCTACGCCTCAGCAGTCAAATAAGGCAAATCCTAAGAAGAAGAATGAGGCCAAGGAAACAAAAACAAAGGTAAATTTCTTAGCGTTAAATGGATTTTTTTTTGGTAGAAATGTTGACATTGATAACAGCGCGCTACAAAGAAAGGATCCGCCGCAAACCTCAACGCTGGTGCTACACCTTCCGCTGACCCAACCCAAGAAGCCGCGACCCCTACTCCTGCGACCCCGATTACCCCAGTACACACGAAAAGTTTCAACAATGGTCCAAATCCGAATGGTGCTGTACAGCCTGTCAATGGTCAACCCATGGCGGCTGCTCCGAACGCTGGAGTTTCCTCATCGCAACCTGATCCTTTGAATTCATTCCCAATGAATGATCAACCGGTATGTTTATCACATGTACCACATGTGGGATATTTTGTTTCAGCACTAACTCTTTACTAGTTTGATATGCTCGAATTCCAGAATCCCATGGGCGGAAATTCAGATGTTCTTACCGATTTCGATTTTGATTCATTCCTAAATGATTCCACTGGCGGTGCTGATGATACCTATAACTTTGACCCTTCTTTCCTAGGAGATAATGAAATATCCGAGACTGTCTGAAGCGATTCAGTTGCATAGGGTCAATTTTCCGGCGTTTTCAGGCATACTTTGGCGTTTATCGGATCATACCATCTCGAACTTATCCTGGCGTATTGATTGTCAATGTGAACAAGAATCTGAAATCCAGAAATGGTTAGAATGGGGTGGTGGTTGTTGCAAGTGTCTAAAAAAAACCTCTTTTTACATAAAACATGTCACGATTGTGTGATGTTGGATAGGAATCAATGGAGGGGGTCGGGTTCCATTTTGTGTTTATGCTATTATATTTTGGATCAAAGTCAAAGGACGTACTTAATTATTTACCTCACATTATGTCTAGGTCGGGCTACTAGACAAATTTTTGAGGTGGCAACTGGCGTTACTTTGTTTAAATGATTATCCTATCTTGTTTATTATTCACCACATTCTCATATTGTGTTGGATGGGTTATTTGGATCACTTGGGAAAGGGGGAAAGGGAGGAATTCCTGTGTATTTATCATTGATGGGTCTATTTTCTTTCTTTTTATTACAAGGACCGGGATTCAATTATTGAGAGACTCAAAGAAGAATATTTATCTCATCTATCCTATCAAATTCAATGCAAGTATGGGGCACTAGAGTAATCATATTATATTTATGTTATGTTATATTATATTGGTATTGATCTATGTTATATATTTTTGGATGTCTTTAAGGGGGTTTCTAAAGGGATTTCAAGGGGGTTTCGTGGATGGTAGGTGGATGAATAGATTGGTGATATTTTTCGTAGGTGGTTGGTACAGTAGGTAGGCTGTGAATGAGTGAATGAATGAATGGATAGATGATATTGTTTTCTAAGAAATAAAGGAAATGGAAATGGAAATAAGAGTCAGAAGTTATTATTGAGGATAGGAGTAAGGGCAAGGACAGGGGTAGCGATAGAATTAGAGTTTATTTGGATTTGTAGTTGGGTATCTAGGGTTAGAGGGGCTGGGGTGGGATTTGAGATTTGAGATTTGAGATTTGAGATAGGATGGGGGATAGGGTATAGAATGGGGGAAGGTAGGGATTGGAAGGGGAGTATGAAGGATAGATGAGAAGTTTTATCCTTTCTTTTAAGAAGGGAGGGAGAGATGGAGGGGGAGATGGAGGGGTGATTGTGAAGGATGGAAGAATGAATGGGTTTGTTATTTAAGCGATGATAAATGAGGGATGAAGGGGAGAGATTGGGGGGGGTTGTTACGAGGGTAGCCGTCTAGATCACGTGGAAGTGCTCTAGGCTCTCGAGGTGGTTTATAACTAGGCGTCAAGCAGGGACTTAAAGTAATGACAATAATGCAATTCGTAACTAATAGTAGAGTATACTAAATGATTGATCTTGAGCACGAAGCTCTATACAAAGGAAATTCATCTTGATTATATAGACCTTCGTGCCTCCTTAAAAAAACCGATGGCTATGTGTGACGGAAATCCCTGCTTTCCTCCCACCCTTATTATATAAGAAACCTCAGGTACATTAACCATGTCCACACATGATACGATTACTCGAGATTAGTATAAGATTTAGGTGACCTGAGGATCAGATCCGGACAAGTACTAGGTATCAATGGTTATCGGTAAAGTAAGATCATTGGAGGAATAAATATGACTTCTTTTTGCCTAGCCATTGCGGCTAGGCTATTCATTTGTGTATATATAGAGTAGCTATCCCCATCTACAGGTGCTCTTCACCTGTAGATTCTAAGTTAAATACAATTGCTGGTCTATAAACACCCTTTTGGTCACACTATGAGCCCGACAAATCGATCACCGCAAAGCCGATCTCGATTTGTCGGTTTCTTGATCATGTGATCAAGAACGTGACCTATGTTACTGTCCGACGTAACAGGGGGGGGTGTATTAGATATTTTATTTTATTTAGTAGTTTATTAATTAAGAGATTGCATTTTATAAATTAGATTTTTTTATAAATAATTTTATTGATTGATTGGGTTTTTTGTTTTTTTTTAAATAATTAAGATAAATATCTTTTTTTTTGAGAGGAGCCGGAGGGGGTGGGTGTCACGATTCACCATTAGGATTGATGGTGTTACGATGGTAGCAAACTGATTAATTAGGAGAGCTTAGGCCTTGTGCAAACACGATCAGATTTCATCGAATTAGTATGTGATCTTGGTCACCTGAAGATCGTATGCGCACGCACCATCAGAAATCACGTGATAAGGAGCCCTAAGAGCTTCATGCTCAACTTAGTTATCAATTAGTTTACCTACATTCTACTTGATCTAGTAACGAATTCACTTTCAAGTGAATACCAGTGATAAAGCCTTAACCCATAACTACCAACCGACGAACCTTAGGCAGCCGCTGCCTTTAGTATAGCATCGTTACAGGGGGTTTTTTTTGTAAGAGAGTGAGAGTGAGAGTGAGAGTGAGATTTATTATTAATTAGATAAGTTTCTTGATATTAGTGTTATATTTTGGTGTTTGGTGTTGGATGTTTAGTATTTGATACTAAGTATTTAGTATTTAGTATTTAGAATTTAGTATTTAGTATTTAGTATTTAGTATTTAGTATTTAGTATTTAGTATTTAGTTTTTAGTATTTAGTATTTAGTATTTAGTATTGAGTTCCTTCAGTTATTTATTTGAAGGTTTTTGCATTGAGGACGGGTGGTGGATGGTTTCCTTTTGGATGTTTTTGGTGTTGTGTATATGGCTGGGGAGATTGGGTGTGAGGATTTTGAGAGGGAGAGTTGGGAGGGGTGTTTGAGGGGATGAGGGGATGAGAGGATGAGGGGATGAGGGGATGAGGGGATGAGGGGATGAGGGGATGAGGGGATGAGGGGACGAGGGGGATGAGGGGATGAGGGATGAAGGAGCTGGTTTAGGGAGTACGACCAGGAAGGTTATAAAGATATGTTTGCCTTATAGGGGTAGAAGATCTAATATCTTTGATTATAATAGATGGGAGAAGAGATATTAAAGTTATATATTAATACTACCCCTTATCATTGAGTAATATGAAGTGCTGGTTTTTGGAGGTAATGGGGGGGTAGATACTCATGAGTGATTAGATCATAATTGCAATTGAAGACATCATATGAAGACTATGTCTAATTTTAATTGTTATGATTTGGATGAATGAAAGAATCATAACCAAATGTTCTATAACAGCATGTCTCCTTTGATAAAAACCCCTCTACCCCAAGATATATAGAAATGACTCCGTACAGTATCCTATAAACTCCGAATTTCCAACGTTGGTAGCGATGTGATGGCTTTCGACTTCTAATTGATTCGCTATTTATCTGATCCTCAATATCTTTTATCCTTTTCCATTCGCGAGCTTTCTGAAAGCAGTGTCTTGCAACAGGTTGATGCGCTTGGCTTGTAAGGCGTAGAAAGTATTCAATGTGGCAAAGAATTGCATGCTTGGCTAGTTGTCTGCCAGGTCCTAGATATAGGAACATAGTTGCGCGAAGAGCATCCTTGGATTATTTGCTAGTATTTGTATGGTTATAGAAAAGCCATTCATGTATTCGCTAGAGACTTGTTCATGGGGATTCCTCCGGGAATCCTTATACATTTTCCTAAGGAGTGTGAATACTAGCTCTACACTTTAGTACTCACATAATACCGAGTAGGTAAGGATTCTAAAAGATGATTGGAATTAAATTGGAATAGTGCGAATAAACCTTCCCGCTAATGAGCGATGACATGCGAGACGATACAGCAGCAGAGCTGAAGACGCACCTAGTCTTCCTCAATTCTTTATCAACAGTACTGTGACAGGTATATCATATCCCAACTATGGGATATATCTAAGTGTATCTCTATCTTTCACCATATACAAATTCCCTCACAACGAAAAACCTAGACATCATTTCGTCAAACCCATCACCTTCATCATCGTCATTTTGCCCCCACCAATCACGTGTCTAAATATCCAAGCTTACTAATCACCATCATCCAAAAACTCGTCAACCATCTCAAACATAACTTCAAGCTCCAACCGGCTCTCCACCAAAAAACACTCTCACAACAATCCTTTCTACACAAGAAAAACCACAAAATCTACAACCAGACATACATCTAAATATTACATCATACTCTCACAAAAATGGCACCCAAAGCCCAACGCGTAGTAGTCGAGCGCCCCGCCCGTCGCACTGCTCAACCAAAAGGTTATTTCGCAAGCACATATTCTGCATTAACTGCACCCGAGAATGCGAGTGTGGTGAGGAGTATTGGGGTTTTTGGACTTGCGGTTGCGTTTTTTTCGAGCACTTGGAGTGATTATCTTTTGCCTCCGTTAGTATTGAGCTTTTTTCATTTGGTTTTAAAACTTGGATTTGGATGGGGCTAATTGTTTTGTTTAGTTTGTAATGAATGGTTTTGAGGATGATGTGTTGGTATTTGGAATGGGAATGGAGATGGAAAAGGGAAAGGGAAAAGAGGAGAGGGGCAAGAGTGAAAATGAAGTGGATGATAAGGGATACCTTTAATGACGATAGAATGTGCAATGAATGGGTCGCAGATGGATACAGCAGCGGAAGGAGTGTATGATAGAGGCATGATGGACAGAACGGATATGAACAATGGCATACGATGCAGTGGAGATAATCCAAAGGACTCTGAATGTGTATACATTGGGATGGAAAATGAGGCGTTGATACTTTTTGATGAATGGATCTCTACTTCCTAATTCGCAAATTCTGCATGTTGCGATACTATTTCCTTACTGGTGGCTTCTAGTGGTTCCTTGTGATGCTTGGTTCATGGTTATTTTCTGACGAGGAAGCATCTGTGGATTAGGGTGTGTTGTGATTTGTTTTCTCGAGCCAGCATTCTACGGGAACAGCAGAGTTGTAGAAGACCACCGTCTATGTGGAATGGAATCCCAAAAATTCGGAAGGTCACTCTAAGTATGTTGGGTTAACTATAACAAAGTATAAGCAGCAACTGCTCTTTCATTATTAATTCTACCCGAGCAATATATGCTTTCTAAGACTACGACTATCACAAACTAAAATATCATACTTCTCTTGTGATGCAACGAGAAAAACACTTGAAAATCCTTTCGTAGTATCTATCCAGCTATAACTTTACTAGAAAAAAAACACTCCTCACGTATTCGCCCAGGCCAGTGGTGTTACAGCGGAGATGCATCCATATATAGGTTTTATGAAAAGCATCATCCATCTGTATAATGAGAAATACAGCTCAAGTTCTCAACTCATGCCATGACACTCTGGTTGGTCCCTGGTGAGGTTTTGACACCAAACAGACAGACAATATAATATAAGATCAATCAAATTCCTCAAAAGTCTCCCTTCATGTCCCTCCCGCACATCCCCCCACGCACATCTCCCCAAAAACTAACACCCCCCTCAGCCCCTCACCCCAGCCCCATCACAGCAAAAACTCCCCCATCCTCTCCACCCTACCATTCTATTCCAGCTATTCCTTACTTCCCAAGTAGCCGATATCTTCTTGATTTTTTTAGAGTATGCTGGTAGGTACCTAGCTATAGGTTAATTACAGAATCTTCTGTTCAACACTACAGTAGTAAGTATCGGTATCAAAATGCTAATCACAATCACAATCATACAAACCCAAACCCAAACCTCCATTCATTTATTCATTTTCATCCCAACAACTTTCATTTTAAATTACCTACCTACCACACATAAATGCCAATGAAACGACACTTTTAAATGCTAATAAACCACACATAAATAAAAGAATGCAATATTGGGTAGCGAATTACTCAGCTCTCAAGCACAAAAGAGTACCTACGTACAATGAATATACACATCCACCCGATCCATCCATCTCAGACCTAATAGTCCATCCAGTGTAGTCCAAAAATCCCAGATCCAAGCATTTCACATTTTCATGATATTCATGATCTAGGGGGTATTTTTTCTCATAAAGCAGAAAGCCATGCCCTACTATGCCATCCTATCATGCAATGTCCTCCCATACCAAGAAAATCATACCCTCACACTCCAGCCAAGTGAACATGCATACGCCAAAGCCATGTTGTAAGTAGCAAAAATGTACGCCAACGATTGAATTAGTTCGTCTTCCATCCTTCCATCCATCCATATTCCTTAAATATCAACGCCGACATTAAGCATCTAGCACCTATGCAAAGAAGCTAATCCATTCAACCAAAAAAAGAGTCAATTTTGCAAAACTCCACGCACACTGTGCTCACTTTTTCATTTGTAATCGTAACGTAAATATGAAGAATGAAAATTTTCAATCATCGTCCAATTCAATAATTTCGACCACCGCTTTATTGACGCCATTTGTTGATTTCTTACTTGGCCTATTTCCGTCTATGGATTCGTCGTCATCGTCATCTCCACCAGTAGTTGACTTTCGTTTGTTTGAAGGTTGCGGCTCTGGCTTTGCGCGCCAGGTACCATCTGCCGCGACCAGGATTGATTTAACTTCAAGATTATCTTGTGCCTGTAGTTCGTCTCTGATGGAAGCCATGAATTCATCGAGCAGAAGGCTATATGGACGTGCATCTGCCGAGCAAAGCGGGCACTTCCAGACGTCAATCATGGAAGGTTGCTCAGGTCGTTTTGGTTTGCTTATCCGTGTCAACAAGAAAGTCGCTAGATCAAAGCATTCCCGATGCAGGCAATTTTTACCACGAACAGGAATTTCGAAGATCCTCGAGGTGAAAGGATCCGTCAGACTAATGGAGAGATCGCTAGCCACTATTAGGAGTTCATCATCGTCTTCAGTCGGAACTGCAAGCTTCTTCTTGATCTCTTCCACAACCGTAGCTGCAGGAATTCTTTGCTCCTTGCAAATGTCCATAATTTCACCGTGTTGTAAAATCTCAATCTCTTCCACAGCAATAAAGTATTCTTTTTGTTTGATTGCCGTAGTCAACTTCGGCATTGAGATCGTAATCACGTTGATTCCAGTATGTATATAAGGTGTAACATCGACTGGAAGATCTTTACCATGATGTTGTTTGCGTCTAACCTCCAATTCTTTGCCGTTGATATCCATAAATATTACGTCAGGCCACACCGTTTCTGAAACAACCCACCTCGAAACGGGAAATGCGTCTGTACCTGCGACATCCGACAAACATCTTAATCGGTATTGCAGAGATTTAGATCCAACTTCACGGACCACTAAGGGATCTTTGCCGATTAATCTATCGCGAGAAATATGATTTATTGTATCAGTGGGGATGTGAAACTCGAACTTGTTGAGTGCAAGTTCGAAGGGTATCTTTCTTGGAGCCATTGGGAAATTCTTCACAAATTGATAGAATCTGCGAGCTGTATCATCACCCTGGGGAACATTAACAGTAACCAGGCGAGGGCTTCGAACATCAGCTTGATGAAGAGCATTTAAATATGGATCCGGAATCCCTTGAGGATGCATAAAACCATGGGGTGGAATCAAAGGTCTTTTCATGGGGTCAGTCATGCCATAAATCCGGCGCTGCTGCTCCTCAATACTCATCGGTCTTGGACATGGAGGTATCTGAATTCCTTGATTGAGATTCTGCGCATGGATAGAACTATTCATCGATGGAAGTGTACGCTCGCTAGAAACGCTATTGTTTCTGCTGCCATTTCTGCTAACATTTCTTGACGGAAATTGCTGCTGTTGACCATTGGGAGGATTGCTATCTCTTCTCAGACCAACTTGACGCTGCACTGATAAAGCTTGCTGTTGCTGAGACGCCTGATGCTGATTGTTGGGTTGCAGTTCAGCGGGCATGGAACGCTGTAGCCATTCCTGCTGTTGCTGAAGCTGCAATTGCTGCATTTGAGCTTGTTGAAATTGATGCAAACTCATCTGTTGAGGATTGTTTGCACCGTACTGTCCTTGTTGACCAAACTGTTGCAGATGTTGTTGTGGATGATATGTCTGTTGTCTAGGATCGTATATTGAATCGTAACTGTATTGTCCTTGAACTCCCTGATTCTGTGCAATAATTGATGATTGAGTGCCGTTGTTATGCATCACCGACGGTGAAAATTGAGGACCATTACTTTGCAAGACAGGTGAAGAGAATCGGAAAGCTTGTTGCATTGGCGATCCCATGGACAAACCTTGCATAGGAATCGGACTAGGTGTATCTGCAGCTGTGCGTGGTGTATTATTTGGATGATTCACGCCAGCACTTATCATATTTGAAGACAATGGAGGTCCCGTAAAAGATGTACGTATTTGGCCTAAGTTTTGACTGATTTGACGATTTCGAACATCATTTCGCTGACGAAACGTATTTGGGTTAGAAACCAAAGTAGAACCATTCGGGGGAGGGCACAACCCGTTTGCAGCCACTGGGATTTGACCTGTATTCGAGGGAAGTGTAGGTGCAGTTGTTGAAGGTACCGGTGCGATATTTGCAAGTTTCTTCTGGCGTGATTTCTGTGATATCATCTTGTATCTCTCACATATGATTTTAGTTCTTTCTTTAATCTCCTTTTCAGTCGGTGGACGTGAAGTATTATACCGAGCTGCAAGTTCTCTGTGTCCAGTTCTATCTTGCTCGAACACTCTCTCCATCTGGTTACCGAATTCGTCATCCACGATATTAAGGTTTCGCCTTGTAGCGGTGAATACAATGTTTTGCAGAGTAGGTGACAACAATCCTAGTTGATTAATTAGTTCATCAACTAGTGGAGGATATCCTCTACTAGTACATAGCCTCGTTAACTCTGGCCAAGTAGAGGCCAATCTCGAAAGAAATGTCCCGACTTCGTGAATGATGCGCCGATATGGCTCAGATGTTCTTATTAGATCCACCAATGGACTTGGAAACTTGGCAAACCATCTGAGATGAGTTGGAGCCATACCCTCATTATCTCGTATCAGCTGACCTAAGATCCGAAATGCATGAGACAAGGTCACTGAGTCTGGAAGCCCAGGGATACTTGTGACATCTTTACGGTTTGTATCCCATACACAAAAGAGCTGATGTATTGCAACATAATGAGCGTCATAAGAATTGCAAGCAGTTTCCATTAAACTGAACCTTGGCTTTTCGAGCGCGGAATTCAAGTTGGCCATACCCCCACAATGTTCAACATATTGTTTTACCAATTCAACGCAAGATTTCAAGGAAGGCATAGTAGGTTGAAAACCCCGTCGTGGGAGATGTTGCGCATAAGACAATGATGTTTGATCCACATTGCCCGGCATCATAGCTACTGTCGCCGAGTCCCCTGTTGTAACAGAAGGCACCGGGTTGCTTATGTTTTGATCTGGAGAGGGTCTAGATGGTATATCATGGGTTGTTTGTCTAATCGAGGTGGTGCTCACTGCGGTCTGTGGTTGAGGTGATGTTCCCGACGGAGGAGACCTTGCAGATATTTCCACTGTGCGAGCTTCGTCGATTTCACCTCTTGATGCATCAGGGAGTGTTTGAGGCTGGGCTATATCGATGTTTGAAGGTGTAGTACATGCTTTTTGAAGGGCTTGACTAGTTGCGAGTGTAGCATTCACTCTCAGAGGACCATGCGATCCGGAAACTGCGGCGGTGTGTGTATTAAGAGGCACAGAATTATGCGGCGAGCCGGGACTTGATGATTTGTTACTTGTTACTGGCGATAGTAGATTTGCGGTCGAACCTCTAAGATTACTGTGGTTAGCCTCAAATTATTCGATGAAGGTTACTTGTAATGTGTGCCTGATAGAAAAAGGCATATCGAGGTCGCGAAGCGTACGTTTAAACAGGATCCGGATACCTAGGCCGTGGCAATAAAACTTCTAGCTTTGGAGTCCACAGTACGTCCGTCCATGTCTATGAAGATCCTTGCGCGCCCATCACTTGATACAGTGAATTGTGGATGGGTTTGGATCAGTGAATTGAAGATAACGTACCTTTGAGTGTTAGAATTGCTCTGATCGGATGGTTTGGTAATGCTAGGGCGTCGTGGAGTCGGTCGAACTGGTGCCCCTCCCGCAAGCATCCAAGATTTTTGTCGAGACCCGCCGAAAAAGGCGTTTAATGTGGCATTAGAGGAGACAACATCTCGTTCGGTCATGGCAGAATGGCCATCTTTATCGGGCGGTCGGCGCATGTCTCAGGTTTGCTGTCGTCGAGAATTCATTGATTCTGTCTTGGTAACAATCCAAGGTTGACTTGAAAAGCATTAGAGTCCTCTGATGTATGAAGGAATATCAAATGCTTTTCTCCTCGTCCCTCGCCTTTGCTCCCTCGCCCACACTCGCTGTTCCTGTGTTTAGGGAGTTTGTGTGGTGGAAAAAGAAAGGAATTGATTGAGCCCTGTCTCATAGTATGAGATAAGATGTTCCGGACCAGGGTTGCCTAAAAGATGTTTGATCTTCTTCTTCCTCTTCTTCTTCTTCTTTATTTTGCAATATGAAGGCGTCAAATTATGATAGGAATAATATTAACATAATTTTGATATAGAGCGGGGAGGTTGCTTTGTCTAATTTGTTTCTGGGAAGGGAACAGTTACCACCGAGATGTGATGTTGGGTGAGGTTCGGTATCAATAATAATAAACTTGGAACCTTAGGGAAGTACTGAATGACAACCAGCCTCAAAGGTGAATGAATGAAACCATATGCATGAAAGATGGGAAGTAATAAATTGATGAATTGATGATAACCAATCAAATGCCTCTATTAATAAAATTTTATAAATTAGTATTGACAGTTAAGGAATACCAAGTACGTGAGACAGAATCTACTTATTTATGGATTGACTGTAGATAGAGGGATGGATTTGGAAATGCAAAGGAAATAGATAAACTTTAGGAAAGGTCTTCTTATATGCATTGGTTTGGAGAAGCCCAACTGTTGGACGGCCAGAATAAGTCCGAAAAGGAGGAAAGAAAATCAACAGCAACAGCAATAGCAATAGCATTAGCATTATGGAAGAGCATGACTTTTATTATTAGTTGTGTGAGGGATTACAAGTTGCAAATACCTCTTCTTTCTTCCTTCCCTTGAGTTACCTTTGACCTCTCACCTCTTACCGTAGTACCTAGGTATGTGTGGGAGTACTACCTACCTGCATTGATTAACGTACCATCCCCAGTAGAGATCCACAGAAAGATACGCTCTTGCGTGACGGGATCGTGATGTTATTTGCCTAGGACTACCTAGTACCTGTATAGCTCTTTTATCACATTGACTACAGGACTACTAGAGAAGTGTTGATATATAGGTAATTAGAAGGGAAGAAAGGACTTGATATCACATATAAAAGGACACCTATCTACGTATAGCGAGGTCCCTTTTGTGTCTATGGTTATAATTGTAGGCAAGACTATGGTATATATTACTATATAATAACAGAAAGTCCAGTGGAAGGCCATTCCATACTCCGTACAGCAAAGCTTTTTCTATCGTATGGTTGTGGTAATAGTCACTTCTAGATTTCCATACCCCTCCTTTACCCTCCATGGAAAAAGACTGGGATCAAAGTTGATAGAAGAAATCATGGATTTGGTTGGTTGTTCACAGCGGCAAGCTTTGGTCAATGATTATCGGTCGTGCAGCTTACCTTGAACACTTCCTTCAAAAATCCAGGGAGAATGATATACCGGTACACTGTACTGTTCCTATAACTATCTAGTACGAACTTTCGAAAACAAAACAGATTTAGAAGCATGGAAGTGATGGAGAAACAACATCAGATCTCGGCCAATGGGATGCGGTCATTATCAGATAGATGCATATCAAAAATTCATTCTACGGAGCATTCCTGCAACTCTTCAAACACCGACTGATAACTAATAACTACCTGCAACCTAGTACCTAGGTACGTAGTAATAACTTTTCACCCACTTGCCCAAAGCACTCACTCACTCACTCTCTCTCTCTCTCACTCTCCAATGCCGAAAACAGCTAAAATCCAAACCAATCCAAACAAAACATCCCTCCCCACGCCTAACCTTTGGGAATTTTATAGACTTTCGGCTTTTAGACTCACAGACTTTTTATTAGACTCACAGACTCGCAAACTCACATACTCACTTCAATCTAACTCCACTTCCTAGACTAACTATAGAAATTCCCACATTATATACTGCTAGGTACATGGTACCCTTCTTCACTTGCATTGCGAATCGCGATACGCCGACATCTCTCTTTCTGATCTCTCTCAACCCTCCCACCACCATTCATTTATTTTCACTATCCTTATTCTTATTACACCACCACACTTTACTTCACTCACCTTACTTCACCCGATACAGTACCATCTTTCACTCCTTCATCCACCCACTTCCAATTCCTATTTAATGTTCCACGACTCCATCATGTCCCCCTGATCCAAAACATTCTCAATCCACTTTATCAGGAGTTTTTATCCTCCTGTCCTCTGTGTATTTGACTTGGCAGTTGTACTACACCTGCTACCCATGTTGCGACAACAAATTCACTTTTGTTGTCATTAATGCAACCCCAAAATCCCTTTGAAAATCCCTTTGCGACTAAATTTTGAGGCAACGGACCCTTTCGATCCCTAGAACATACCATTCTACGACTATACACTGATCTCGATAAGCACACACTCAACTAAAGATTCAAAGCACAACAACAATTCAGATGGTTAGTCTGTAAATACCTAGTGAAGGACCCTAGGGAGGACGACAAGATATTTGAAGAGCTGGACAGAATTGATCAAGATGGAACGACCAACAACAATGCAATCGCATCGACCGGATGCACCACGCCCGGAGCCTGGATCAACTTTGATTGTAATCCGTAAGTCAAATTCGCCCTGGTTACTCTTGGGAACGGGATTATGATGGACATCGATATAAATCAACTCCAATAGATCGTCACGTTGGGGAGTTTTGCCACTGATGATTAAGCTAGATGATTTCTCTGCCCGGAGTTCTGATGAGCTCAGCTTGTCAAAAGGAGATCGAGTTGAATTAATAGAGCGGGATGATGAATTTGGAGACGGATGGTACCTCGGAAGGAGTCTAGTAAACGGATCGAGTGGTTTATTTCCCGAAGGTGAGCTTCCCATGCGAAAATGGTGTCGTACTGGGAATTGAGATTGATGAATCGTAAAAGTCTATACTCGATTAGCCCCTCGTGGATCCCCTTCCTATCCAAATCTCTCGACAGCTTCGATGTCTCAACTAGGAGCTCTGCAAATTCCGCTGGCTCAACAATCTTTCCAACAATCTCCTCAACCGATCGCGCAAAGCCCCTCGAGTGAAACTACAATTCTGCCCGAAGCTCTGGGGGCCATTTCAGATATACTCTCATCCGGTCCATCTTGCTCATCTCCGACTTCAATTGAATCTCCAGCAGGTACTGCCGCAAAAACACTACCGCCACTGAGTGCAGCGAGCGCGAGTTCAGCAGCAAAGTCCCATGCCCATGGGCAGGATAGCCCAGTGATGAATGAAACTCTGAGTGTGATTGATGAGCATATAACAGATATGACCCATATTGTTGGTTCTGTGCCAAAATCAATCAACGACTCTGGCAGCGAATATAGTAGCCATCATCCTGATGCAAGATTATCATATATCAATGGCGAGGAAACCGATGAAGAAGAGGAAGAAATACACACACTCGAAGAGGTCAATACATGGACACCCGAGCAAGTGGCGGAATACTTGTTTACTGTGGGAGTTGAGAAGAAGCACTGTGAAGTGTTCCGAGATCAGGAAATCACCGGAGATGTTTTACTGGGCATGGATCAAACATCGGTTTTCTTGAAAGAATTTGAATTGGGTTCTGTTGGACGAAGGTTGAAAACTTGGCAAAAGATAAAAGCCCTCCAAGACGAAGTAAATGGTGAAACTCCAACCAGAAGGAACACTGGTACATATGCTGGTAGTGAAATTGGCTCCGAGGATGGTGGTCGTCGCAGTCGCAATGGTACTCCATCAGCAATGCTACCAAGAAACTTCAGTTTGAGCAACAGGCCTGGATCATCGTCAAACAATATTCGACAATCTCAGCGCGCTCCCCGAAATGACCCTGCTATAGATTCATCTCCAGTATCTCTCAGAACTCCACAAGGCAGCCCAAGAGCCCCAGGCGAAAAGAGACCTTCTGCAGCATCAATTAGAGATTTACATCATTCTAGGCAAAGCTCGATTGGTGAATTTAGTACCACTAATTCACTCATGAGCGCCGTTGCGGGCGGGGAAGGCCGCGGTGCATCTTCGCACAGGAAGCAAGCCTCATTTAACAAAGATTGGTCCCTTGGTGATGCAACGTCCGCCATATCTCAACGGCGTTTATCTTCGAGTCGTCCGTTAACCTCCGCTGGTCTCACAGAAATTACCACCAAGGAATCTGCAGACCAACCATCTGAAATTACAGCGCCCCCTACTAATTTAGATTTAGACCGAGGGTATTTTTCGGGTGGTGAATTGGAGGGCCGACAGAGAAACGTGCTACGTAAGAGAGGTAGCACAGCTGATCACTCTAGAAATTCCAGTTACACTGATGAGCAGCGATTAAGGACCGCAACAACAAATTCAAGACATTCCAGATTTGGTAGTATTGATGCAACGAGAGAAACACCACCACCGACGGCAGCACAAAAATATTACGGCTTATCTGTGAATGGTCGTCGGAGAACTCCTTCAGAAAGTTCCATTAATACACCTCCTCGACCAGTACCACCCCCGAAGGACGATTTCCCACTTGTCACCAAACTCCAACCAGAAAAATCCATGGATAGCATACTATCGCCGAAATCGCCAAGTCTCCGACAAAATCATCCTAGCGATTGGCTGCAACCTGTTAAGCCAACAGGATCTTCGAGTCATTTCAGCATGCGCGCGATCTCTGACGCTGTTACCGGTCGTGAGAAATCCCGGATTACCTCACCAACAGAAACTTTATCTTCCTCAACAAAAGAATCTCCACTGCAATCCCCCTCGAGAACCGGTTCAAGCACACGTTCAGGTGGTCCGAGCTTTGAATTGGAACCTCGAGATGATAAAATGGCAATGATTACTCCGAAGACATCTAGAAAGAAGTCCAAGAAGGAGACTAGTGCTTATACTCGGGGTTTGGAAAAGAAAACGCCCCAGGAACAAATGGTCGGGGCAGATTACAGTGGATGGATGAAAAAGAAGAGTTCGAATCTTATGACAACATGGAAACCTCGACTTTTTGTGTTGAAGGGCCGCCGGCTATCTTATTATTATTCCGAGACCGATGAGGAGGAAAAAGGACTGATCGATATTTCATTCCACCGAGTCTTGCCAGCCGACACTGATCGCCTTACTGGCCTTCATGCCACTCTGACGGGTGCAACGACCAGCCCTACAAGCCCAATTAATGCGCAAGAAACCATTGCATCAGCGGAGGCAAATGCCGAACCAGAATCCTCACTAAGCAAAAGTGGTGGTGATTCTATGTTTATTTTTAAACTCGTACCACCACGAGCTGGTCTTTCTAGAGCCGTCAATTTCACCAAACCCACTGTGCATTACTTCGCAGTACCAAATATCAAACAAGGCAGATTGTGGATGGCCGCACTAATGAAAGCTACCATCGACCGAGATGATTCCAAACCTATAACTACAACTTACCAACAGAAGACAATTTCTCTTGCCAAAGCAAGACAAATGCGACATCGTCCTCCAGCGCTCATGAATCTTGATGAGAAAGTCGAAGAAGAAACCTTAAGAACTCCGGCAAGCGATAAGCATGGCCTCAATATTCATGGAATCATATTCGATCGCGACGAGGGTGATAGTGGTGTCTCTGGGGTTTCAAAACGAGAGAGTGCGAATACAGGGACGAGTCATGTACCAGAAGGTGCGGGTATAAGTAATACTTATTCGCCAGATATCGATGATCTCGAACCAGAAACTTCGTGAGGTGGAAGTTTAGAGGCTGAATGAACAATGATTAAGATGTACGGACGCAATCCATGATTGAGCCTGATGACGAGCACAAAGACGCATATGAAAAACTTTTTCTTTCAACTACCTCGCTGTTGTTTTTCTTTACTTAACTCTTCTGGAAATTCTTCGATACGGACCCGGTACCGATGTCTATCTAACGGGATATCGATAGAAGCATACAATTTCAGACATTTAAATAATATACCCTGTTCTAATTCTAGTGTGGTGTGCATATGGTGGGGATACCTAGTGGGTAGGGATATTTTGGTTGGGCGGAAGGTTGGGATATTTGGTTGGTTTGGGGATGGATGGAAGGTAATGAATAGGCTAGGGTTGGTGAGCAGGTATGAAGAGAGGAAATCAAGCAACGACTTTCCTCTTTTCCCTCTTTTCATAAGAACACAAATACCCTTCTTTGCATTATCGAGAGTTACAGACGTGAGAGGGAGGAGAGATCTGGATGATTGGGAGTGGAAGCAGTACTTGAGTGGAGGTATCATGGAAGTGTTGTGGACAGTGAATGGTATGGTAGGATGATTGACTTTCTGAAAAGATTAAAATAGAGAAAGTAGCTATTGAAATCTGAGGTTGGAGGGAGAGAGTGGAGAAATGAAGATGAAGTTGAAAGCATTGAAATGTACGTAGAGAATTACATTTGAAATGAAAATGAAATGAAAATTTCAATTTTAGCTTGTACTCGATGTTGAGGCCTGGCTGGGCCTGCTGGGACTTGGATTGTAAATGTGAATGTAAATGTACATGTGAGTGTGAGTATAAGTGTGAATATGATATAACGTGGTTTATCAGCGAGCGGGCCACTTTTACCTCAATTTATCATTTCAAACCCATATTATTTAACAACAATTAAATCAATTGATTGAAACTATCAAGAATCTAATAATCTAGGATCTATTATACTATTCTGACAAGTTCTTGAATTATGACCAGTCTTTCCACACTTACTACAGCATCGACTAGTAGATGATTCCCTATTAAAATTTCCCTCATTTTGACGCTCGTCGCGTTGAATCTGATTATCAACCTCTTGTTATGATAATATATCTTCAGCTTCTTGTTCAATAAGTACTCCTTCATTATGTAGTTGAATTTTTTTAGTGTGTCGACATTTACTTAATACCTCATTTGCTCTTCGAAGCATACGATTCTCAGCACTCAAAAATGTAACTTCATATACTAATCTCTCTATACCTTTAACTAAAGCTTGTATAGTCTCAAATATAGGTATAGGAGAGCTTGATTGATGATGAGCCATTCGAGCTTTTATTAGAGTTGATTGTAAGAGAGCCTCAGTTGGATTATGAGGGATTTGAGAGATCTAAGAGTTGGTAAGTTCCAAGGAGGTAAATGGAGAAGTAGAAGTACGAATCCTAATATCTAGTTTTGAGAGTATAGATTGAGGATCGAATGGTATTAGACCTGCTTCTCGAAAACCAGCTTTCATATTCTGAATAGTAAATGATTGTAAATATGCAGCTTTGAAGGCTATAAAGAATTCAATCTTGGTAATATGATTGATATAAGCTTTGATAAATCCTTCAATTTGATAACCATATAAACGTTTGAATACGCCAAAACATTCAACATCGAGTGGTTGAATTAAATGACTTGAATGTGGTGATAATTTGAGGCATATAATATCATTTGATTTGCAATATGATTAAAAAGGTATTGATTCATAGCTTTCGTACCCGTCCAATACTAAAATTCGATATTTGCCCTTCCTTTAACGAATAATATGTTTATCGAAATGCTTTAACCATTTTAACCCTATCTCATTATTCGTCCATCCATTGGAAGTAGGTTTAATAACCCAATCCACAGGAAAATCGGTTTCGGTATACCAATTGGAAAGATGAACTTGTCCTTGAACTACCAGAAATGGAGGTATAGTTTCACCCTCTTCATTGCTACATATAATTGCCGTAGCCCACTCTCGATTGCCTGGTTGTATTGTCTTGCTTCTGCCATTTCGTTCAGCACTAGTTACAACCATTCCAGGGCATATTATACCCATCATGAAGCTGGTTTCGTCGAAATTATAGAAATCGGAATCGACAATACTATATTTCGCCTGCATATTTGATATCAATCGAAACCACTCTTCAATAAGCTTGGGATCTTCATAGAGAGCTCTTTGAAAATCATAAACGCGATTAAAATGCATCTTTAATTCTGGGCATCGTTTAACAAAGCAATGAGCCCAGAGCTTTCCAACCTTCTTCGCACCCCGCGATTCGAGGATATAATTCGCTATGTCTTCTACATCACTTAATTTAGGTGCAAACCCCCTCTCATCCATATCGATTATATACTAGATAAGCACTTTCTCTTCTAATTTGGTCAAATTATGACCATTTGCTCGAGATTCGATACGAGGGGTAGTGTTACGAGGTTTGCCGTCTAGATCACGTGGAAGTGCTCTAGGCTCTCGAGGTAGTTTATAACTAGGCGTCAAGCAGGGACTTAAAGTAATGACAATAATGATATGCAATTCGTAACTAATAGTAGAGTATACTAAATGATTGATCTTGAGCACAAAGCTCTATACAAAGGAAATTCATCTTGATTATATAGACCTTCGTGTTCTAGCTGATCAGTAGGATCAGTATGGCTCAGTACTGAGCTTGCTGATCCTCACTGAGTCAGTCACATGATATTGGTAGCACGTGAGCGTCTTCTTGTTACCCGGCGTAACAGGTAGTACCGTCCATTCTGCGCTGAATCTTTGTACGCGGGATATTATATAGCTTAGCAGCCTTCCGAATGCTTAATTTTTGGTCTTTATTGATAGCTTCGATAGCTAAAAGTATTCGACCTTCTTGATTATTCGATTCCATAATATATTGTTGATAAATCGCGTATTGAAGTTGAAAGATATAAATTGAGGTAAAAGTGGCCCGCTCGCTGATATGGCCCGCTCGCTGATAAACCACGTTAAATGAATATATATACAAAGTGTAACGATACTGTACTGGAGGCAGCGGCTGCCTGAGGTTTCGTCTGGTTGGTAGTTGTGGGTTAAGGCTTTATCACTAGTCTTCACTTGGAAGTGAAGTCGTTACTAGATCAAGTAGAATGTAGGTAAACTAATTGATAACTAAGTTGAGCACGAAGCTCCTAAACTATGAAACTACTCTGACTATATACTGAACAATAAAGGGGGCCCCTAGGAGCTTTCTGGCTCCTCAAGACTCCTTATCACGCGATTTCTGATGGTGCGTGCGCATACGATCTTCAGGTGACCAAGATCACATACTAATTCGATGAAATCTGATCGTGTTTGCACACGGCCTAAGCTCTCCTAATTAATCAGTTTGCTACCATCGTAACACCATCAATCCTAATGGTGAATCGTGACAAAGTTATTACATCAATTTTAAGAAAAAAATTAATTTGAATATTAAATGATTAAATTATTAAAAAAATTTATTAAGTATATAAAATCCCGCCCTTTCCGCCCTCTTAATAATAAAAGTTAGACCGACTTATAAAAGTAATTATTCGATTATTTGATATAAATAAAACTATACATCATAAGTTTTTTTTTTTTTTTTTTTTTTTTTTTTTCCAAAACCACCCATCCTCACCTCCCTCTCGAAATGCCAATCAGCGATATAGAAAAGTAAAAGAAAAAAAAAAGTGGCAAAAGGTGGGAAAAGAACTCCTCATATACAATCAATATCTATTTCCGCACCGAAACCAAAATCTGGCCACGTAAAGAGTTGTAAAGTAAAGAGTAAAAGAGTAAAATAAACTCTAGTACACCAATCCAAACTACACTTAGCACGATTCAATAAACCTACCTACGTACATCAACTAAATATACATTATATGAGTATGTATCCCCATTAGTCAGTCAGCCCCTCATAATTTTTCGCGTCGATCGACGAGAAGAGTGAGTGAGTGAGTGGGTGGTGCTGCCTGGTATCTGGTATCTGGATATTCCCAAGATCGACTTCGAAATGACTTGGAAGTAAAAAAAAAAAGGTAATTGATTACCTATGTAGATAGGTAGGTAGGTATGTAGTAGGTACTGACATCATATATAAAAAAGAGCACCTACGTGCGAGCGAGCGAAGGATCAAAAAGTTACTCTAGGGATAGGATAAGCTTTCCTATCTGATACTTGGAAATTACACAGTAAAGCATAGTCTGGCAAAAAAGATAGTTTAGACCGGACTGGACTTTTCGAGAGCAGAGTGGAGAAGGGCAGAGAAGATCGACTGATTGACTGACTAGATAGAAATGTAAAATAGCTACTTAATCCAATCGTGGAAAGTTAGTTTTCGGGTGATGTGCGTGTGGGGGAGGTGCTTTAATTCGCTCGTTTTCGCTTGCATGAGGTTACTACATATACCTTTGGCAGGCTCAGGTGTGGAAAGTGTATTCATTCGCCTATGAGCATGTATACCATATGCCATATAGCTTGCCATTGAGATTGTGAAGATATCTCAGTTTCTACAGAAAATTATAATTACAGAGCAGCGGAAGATACTTGACTCGATACATACATGTAAAGAGCACATAATTCTCTCATGACTGAAGATCAACATAAACCTTCCTTGATCGGGGACGCTAGAAAGGAGTCCGGTGAATCCAAGCAAGATTTGACAACCTGCTAAAAAGTTCCTAGAAGATCAAAGTAGGATAGTACTCATTCGCGCCGTTAGTTACGATTCAACGGTCTTTTTGCTTTTGAACAGATTTTACCTTTATAATCAGAGCAACTCCCACAAATCTTTTTCTTTTCCCCCAAAAAATACATCACTTTTACATAGAAGCCCCAACACTTGTTCTCAAGCCTTCATGCATACGAAAATCACAAGAACAAAATACACACGCACTTACCTACATTATGGGAACGAAATAAATTATCCGCCAAGAATATTCTCCAACAACGATTTCGACTTTGGATAGTAGCATCAAACAAACAAACAAACAAACAATCAAACAATCAAACAATCAATCAATCAATCGAAACTTATCTTTTTGTATTCAAATAAATTATAGCCTTTTCAACGTGAAAGTGTCAAATATCGACTCACAATATCGCACTTAATCAACCAAAAGCGACTCGCAAAATCACACACTTAATCAACCACAAGCGACTCGCAACATTACAGACTCAATCAACCAAAAAGCGCCACTCCCCTAGCAGCCTTTACACAGCGACTTCAGATAAAATCGAAAATGAAGCTTCTAGGAATTCGAATTGGGGAAGCAAAGCCCGAATATGCTGATGCTATTAAACCTTTGGATCATGTAAAACGACTTCATGATGTTCCCAAAAATGATAATCAATCAATTGAAGATGGTCCAAATAGCCAAGAGAGTGATGGGAGTTCACCATCACCTGGTGCAAGCACTCAAAAAAGTACGCCAACGATCGAGAGTTTGAGAGATGAGGTTGAGGAAATGGGATCATGGACTTCAGGTCGAGAATGTGCGTGGTAATCTAGTGATCTCTTGAATAGGACATTCATGCTGACATCTCGATAGTAAAATTTAGAATCATGGAACTTGCCATTAGTGATATAGGTATGGGTAAGCATCAATGGCACTTGTTCATATTGTGTGGTATCGGATGGGCTGCTGATAAGTAAATTACTTCTCCTAATCTCTGCCAATGATAAGATCTGACTAGAATTAGCCTGTGGCTCCAAGGAGTAGCTTTGATCCTTCCCTCTTTATCTGCTAATTTTGAGATATCGGAACAATTGGTTCGGTACGCCACTCTCTGGTTTTACGTTGGATTATCACTTGGTGCCGCTGGGTGGGGTATCGGATCGGACATCGTAGGAAGAAGACTAGGATTCAATTCGACCCTGGCTATCACTGGAATATTTGCCTTAGGTTTGGCAAATGCGCCGAATTTTACCGCAGCTTCAATTATTCTGGCAGCAGTTGGATTCGGAGTTGGGGGCAGTCTTCCCGTAGATGGAACCATGTTTGTATGTTAAAACATTTGCCGTGAAGCTCAGCCTGCTAATGCATCAATAGCTTGAATTTCTACCACACGAAAAACGTAGTTACTTAACACTCTTGTCAATATGGTGGCCAGTAGGACAGGTGCTCACTTCGCTCCTTGCATGGCTGTTCCTTGGAACAAATTTCGACCCAAGCCGCGGTTGGAGGTTCTTCATATACTCTCTGGGAGGTATAACTTTGGCAATGGCTCTTGCTCGTCTGTTATTTGATAACGTCGAGTCACCCAAATACCTACTTGGCATAAATAAGCAAGCAGAAGCTGTAAGATCTGTTCGTGCACTAGCACATAAGAACGGCACCCAGACTTGGCTCGCCGAAGAAATTTTGAACGAAATAGGGGGAACAAGAGAGATCACTGAAGAAGTAAAGTCAAGTACAATAGTGAAGGTTCGTCAAGCGATTGCATCTTTTGTACCGGAAACGAGAAAAAAGATTTCTCCACTGTTTGGAACTCTCCAATTGGGTATAAATACTGTAAGTTGTGCACCGAGTATTCCTAGTCTTCGTTACTAAACGTTTTAGGGTTTATTATGGTTCATTTGGACTGCCATTGGAATGGGGTATCCATTATTCAACGCCTTCTTACCACAATATTTATCGAACGGTCATAAAACAGAAGAAGACTCCAATACTTATCGGAACTACGTAATAATCAGTGCCGCCGCCGTCCCAGGCTCCATTCTGGCTTGCTATCTTGTCCATAAAGCAGGTCGTCGGCGACCAATGGCCTTTGCAACAATGGTTGCCGGAGTGTTCATCTTCCTTTTCACCCTCCGCAATGACAGCATGTTTCAAGTCGGCTTTGGATGTGCCGCGTCCTTCTTTCAAAATATCATGTTTGGAATTCTTTAGTAAGTTCATCGGAATTTTAATCTTGCCGATGTGCGACTTGGTTTGTTATCTAACATCATGTAGTGCATATACCCCAGAAACATTTCCCGGGCCCAGTAGAGGAACTGGCTGTGGTATTGCCCATTCCCTGGGTAGACTCGGTGGAATATGTGCTCCTCTGATAGCAGCGAATATTGGTCCATCTAATCCAAGTTTACCTATTTACCTCAGTGGAGGTCTGATCCTTGCGGGGTGTTTGGCAATGTATTGTCTCAGAATAGAGACAAAACACAGACATGCTTCGTAAGAGAGCTGTGTAGAAAATAGGGCGAATTCAGGATACCAAGGGGTTCATTGTAGGGACCAGGTTCAATGTATCAAATAGATTAATGCGCAAAGTAGATTCGATGTACCAAAGGGCCAATGTGTAAGAAAGGCTGAATGTACCACACGGCGATGTAGAGCCCGTTCCTGACTGGATGTACTCTCATCAAATCCACATCCTCATTCCTCATCCTATTGATCTTCAATTACCAGCTTTGATGTTTCCGTGACTATACTCTCAAGGAGCTGTAGAGACATTGACAATGTTTGGAAAAGGAAGATCTATAAAGGATCCTGTGTTCGTTGTTGGTGTGATTTTGGATTAGACTTATTTGAAGCAAGTTGATAATGCCAAAGAAGAGATCTGATATGCTGGTCCGGCGACTGATAAATCTATCTCGTTCATATTGATTTGATCACTGCGATGTTAACCTTGGGATGAAGTCTGATTAAAGTAAACAACAGGGATGCGAGATGTGGGCTCGCAGACAGGCTGCAAAGAAACCCCGGCAAGCTGAGCGTCATTTCGAAAACAGCTTCATGTGCGCTGCGCACAGGGCTGTGAACCACCTAGGGTAGGTAGGTACCTACCTAAAGGAACAATCTTCTGCAAATCTTCTGCCATAATGAGAAGTCAATTGCGATTACGAGCGTAGGTTGTATTCGGAATTCGGAATTCTCGGATCACATCGTATTCAAATGCAAGATTACTCCGTCTGTATAATTCTTTCGCAAACATCAAAAGAATTCGGACGCGTAAGGTTAAGCTTTACTCATGCTCAGGTTTGCGGAAACGAGGCTGAGCACTTGAAACTTGCGCCGCCACAAATAATTCAACAGTGCGAATGAGCAATATAGTATGAAGCCTTGCGAAAGCTTTCAAAGGTTATTCATTTCTCTCAACTTTAATACTAATGTTTAGAATATTATTTCGCACCATATAGCCTGATCACCAAGATGTCCGTTCGAATACAGCTCGACAACCCTCATACCTTTTACACGAATCTCGATTTTATCAGCGGCAGAGTCATCCTAAATCTTGCGAGCGATGAGGCTGTTAGCAGGATCGTGGTGAAGCTAGAAGGAGAGAGCAAGACCCGCCTTCTGAGACCACCAGATATGCTATATGGGCAAAATCCAAATAATCCTGGCCTTTATGCCAGGAGAGATAGACAGGAGATATGCCAGGAAAATCACAAGATTTTATACAGGGTCGCAGAAGTGTTTCCCAACAAAGCAATCATAAGTTCATATACGTTAAGAGCAGGCCAACATGAATACCCTTTCCGTATCAAGTTGCCCATCAATAACGGCTGTCATGATCCAGTGTCGCAACAAATGGGACCTGGTAGCGGATTTGGAGGCCTCGGTATCCAGGGTATGCAGCAGATGCAGTATACTCACGTTAAGAGGACATTACCTCCCTCACTCACCGGATTTCCGGGAGAAGCTGAGATAAGATATTATATCAAAGTTACTGTACAAAGGCCATCAATGTTCAAGGAGAATAGAAGATCAACAGTTGGTTTTAAATTTCTGCCGATTGAACCTCCAAGGCCTCCGAAAACCACAAATGAAGCGTTTGCAAAGAGACCATATATGTTCCCAAATGGAGGGCCACTCTTTGCCAAAAAAGGCCTGTTCACAAAGAAATCCAAGCAGCTATCAGATACGTCCCCACAAGGAGAAGTAGATGTTAGACTACCTAGCCCTCCTATTTTAACTTGCAATAAGCCTTTACCAATGAGGATCCTTATAAGGAAAACCAACCCAAGTCCTGAGCACCTGCTCCTCACGTCATTGCAAGTAAACCTTCTCGGCTCCACTGAAGTAAAGGCCTCAGATGTTATTAGGGTTGAAACAAGTACTTGGGTTGTGATGAGTTTAACTGGACTATCCATCCCCATTGGATCACCGAACGATCCGATCGGTACCGAAACAGCTATAGATAGTAACCTATGGGATGCAGTTCCTTTACCAAATACTGTTGCCCCTACATTTGTGACTTGCAATCTGGCTCGTCGATATGAACTTGAGGCGAGGGTTGGATTGGGTTATGGTTACCCAGGAGAGATTCAGGTATGCTTTACAATCAATTATTCTGGTAGCGCGAGAATTCAAACTAATAAACGCAGGCCCAAACAGTATCTGTCCCTCTCAGGTTCAAAATCGAGATCTTCTCCGGCATAGAACCACCAGCAGCACTTTTGGACGCCATGACTGCTCAACCCGGTATTCCAGTTAGACCTCCGGTCAACACGGCACCGCCACCTTTCGACCCGGCATTTCCCCCACAAATTGGAGCGCCAGGAGCTCCGGCATTAGATGATGCTCCGCCTTCTTATGAGGATGCGCTAGCGGAGGATATTACCCAAGCGAATGGTAGTTCAAGACCTGCCTATAGTGGTGTTACGAATGAAAATGCTCCGGGTATCGATGAGAAAGGGGTATTAAGTAAGGGACAGCAGAAGAGCGAGGTTTAACGCACGCAATGGCTGATCTTCAGAAAACCTGGAGTGCAATTTTATTTTCTGGGAAGTGGTGAAGGAGGAGAATCAATTCCTTCAACCTTCAGTTCGGAGGAAGCTACGAATCGTACGATCACCAACAAGCTGCTGCACAGATGAGTTTTGGTTACCGACTCCATGGCGATGAACTTCAAAAGTATGAGATTGGGGTGAAAGGACAATATTCAATTTTTGGGAAACACAACGAACAATGCAGTCTTGTTACGTAATTCCGGCAAAATATCCTTATGTACAATAACACATACGCATGGATGAGACATGGAAAGCCATGGAGACATGAATCTAGCGATGAAAAAGAAAAGGACACTTACTTGAAGAATATGAGATATCCCTCGGGCATACCGACTGAAAGAGCAGCTATAGTTTAAGGCAGAGGATGTATACAGAGGGAAGAGTGTAATAAGACGAGATAATTATTAAAATAATCAATCAATGAATAAATTACAAAACTTATATTATAATCCAATATAGGATACCATTTGAAATACAGAGAGAGTACTGTGATGGTTTTGGTGGTGGAGGGGAGATGGTGGAGTAATGGATGGATGGATATGCAATTGGAGTTGGAGTTGGTTGGGAGGATTACTAGTATTATTGGTTGAGTAGATGGTTTGAGATGATTTGATTAATTAATTGTGTTATATTTTATTAATAGGAGGGAGGAGGAGGAGGAGAGAAGAGGGTATATATATCGTAAGGGATTTTTATATGTATTCTGTAACTTTGAATGTAGATAGATATATTGGTAGCAGGGAATGAATATTTTCAATTTCAGATTTCAATCTTATGGGGTTTCCTCCATGTAACTCCAGGAACGCCAGGTTTACCAATCTTTACAAAGATAGCTATCGAGCTATCGCCGCCTATGATCATCTCTTGGGCCACGGTCACTCCTATACCTTTCCCGTTCATCATATCTACCCCTGTCCCTCCTGTCCCTATCTTCGTACTTATCTCCCCTATTGCGACCATCTCGCCTATCATCCCTAAAACTATAATCTCTCCTATTCTCGCGGGGACTTCTACTTCTTTCTCGCTTATTTTCATCGGGTTTCCCCTCCCTTTCATGTCTCTTCCTTAACTCATCCTCATCAATAACCATACCGTATTTGTCTCTTCTTGGACCTGAACTATAATCCGCATTCTTATATTGTCTCTTCTTCTCCAATCCACTGACACCACCAAAACCCCCGCCTCCTTGTCTTCGCTTGGAATTTGTTGCCGTTCGCCAGGTATCAGATAATTTTGACACACTCTGGGAAAAGTCGACATGGATTCTGTGATCGTCTATGAGAACGCCCTGCATCTTGAAGTATGCCTGTTCGCAAGATTTTTGATCCTCATATTCGATAAATGCATACTGTAAGCTGTCTCCGGTTCGTTTATCTCGGATGACCTCACAAGAGAGAATTTTGCCAAAACGACTGAAGATAAGCTCGAGATCCTCATCTGGAATAGAAAATTAGTGTTTAAATTATAATCAATTTGAAATTTTGCGTCTTGCCTGTAGTGACTGGATTAAGCTTGCACACGAAAAGAACATTCTCCGGCGGTTTGACTTCTGCAAAAGGTAGATCTCCAACCATCTCCAAAGTCAAGGCTTGTGCTCGTGCTTCCCGCTCTCGTCGCTGTTTCTCAACGGCCTCAACATCTGTCTCTTCGTTCAAATCGTCATCTTCGGCAATGCGAACCGTAGCTAGCTGCGCTTTCGAAGGCACAGGACTTTCTGGTGGCTCGACAAGATCTGCTGGATCATCATAAGGATCATCTAAAATAACCGTGTGCTTGATTCGAATGTCCACCAAAGGCCGTCCTTTTTCATCGCAAAAAGAATCGTTGATCTTCTCAAGCGCATCGAATCCTTCTACAACCTTGCCAAATATAGCTGCCTTGCCATCTAGATAGTCTAAATCATCTCCCAAGGTAATTATGAATTGACTGCCTGCGAGACGTTCGTCCGGATCTCTGGTCGACGGCGCAGTCGCCATACTAACAGTCCCCCTCTCCGCATGCTTCAATTTTGGGTGAAAATCGGCCTTGAATGTTTTCTTTGCTGGCCCTTCTAATAATCCCCAGATCGAGCTTCCCCCGTCGCTGTCTTTCGAGTCGGGTCCTATTGGATCGCCAGTTTGGCACGAGAAATTTTTCTGGACACCATAGATCGGGGAGAAATTGTAGTATTTAATTTTGCACAGCTTTAGGAAGCTAGATTACCGCGATGTCTTAGTATCTATGCGTTCAGCTACTTCATAAGGCATGGAGGGACATCAAGATTCAAGACTTACTTTTCACAAAGTTTGGGAGAGTAATCGACCAAGAGGTCGATAACAATATCACCAGCAGATGTTTCCAGAAGTACACTCATGATATTGAAAATGCCTAATGTTGATCTCAGGTTGTAAAGCTGTGTGTGATGCAAGGTAAGTTCTAATGATCATCACACAAGCGCGGAACCGCGGCTATATTACACAGGATCATCCACCAGTGATCGATAACGAAAGCGCAATTGACCAATCATGGCAGCATCGCAGTTTAGCCTTTTATTTTTATATATATATGCTCGATGCGTTTTCTTTTAACTTTATCAACTTACTTCTCTATTTCATTTCCTCTTCACAGCTAAGGTCTCAATTTTGTATTGATATAGGATGAAAGCCTTCTCCATTAATGTCTAGCATCACATTGGCCAGTCCAACTCGAGCTCCAGCTAGGTAAGGCATATCTCAGCTGAGTGGAATCAATGTCTGAGTACCTAGGTAAGTGTGACACATTCCTCAATTGGCTCCTCGTCTGACGAGATATAACACAGGCACTTGGGAACACGTCTATCTATCACGTGCCACCGTTGAATATTCATCCAATCTTGAAGATCGTAGATGTCAGTTGTTGGTCAAACATACCGTCGGTCAATGTGTTTTCCTTCCTATTGGACTCGCAAACCCGTATTCGGAAAGGCTGCAGGCAAGGGGAGCGGGTGGAGAACCTAAAATGTCCGAATTTTTGTATCTCAGACCGTTTGATAGGTCTCCATTTTGAGGTCATCTATAACTCGATCTTTTCCTGCAGCTCTACCACACGGCTGCGCCGTATGCTCGGTACTATAGATTCTCATCCTTAATTCGATCTGCAAATGGAAATTGATTTGAGCTTCTATCGAGGCGACGCAACGCCATGGCCCCTCATCTTCGAGGAGAGTGTCTATTACTATTTCATCAAGATTTTCTTCCTGCATATGCATGCTCATTCTAGCGTAACATATCACCACATTTAATTTGAGAACCACAAGTACCAGGTCGGTGGACTTATTGCGGTTTGATTGGCTCTCCTGTTAAGTGCAAATCGGGTAGGCGCATGTGGACAGGGCTTGACAGAGAGCACGAAGCAGCCATCCGTTATTGCACTCTAAAAATTCCCCTTAAATCATGCATGGTATGCACATGTGGAGGCAGCTCTATCTTTTGCGATTCTCCAGTCGGCGCTTCATATTTTGGCCCACCACGGGGAAGTATGTCCTCCGGCCGGATCATTCTATAAATTATTTCAATGTCACGCAATTATAGATCTAACAGAGTGTAAGCCGAGATCTGATACCCATGCTGAGGCATTGATGGACCGATCCTAACGAATATAGAGCCCAGCTCGACTATAGGTATCTTATCAAAATAGATCTGACTTCTAGAGTTCAGGAGATTCTCAACAAGATGTCACTTCCAACAACTGTTATTCATCTCGACGTTTGGTCCGTCATTTCCGTACCATATTCACGGATCACGATCTGTTCAGATCTCGCTTCATGATGCAGCATAGAAGCCGGAGGCCATCGGCATCCCGATCGTTGGCTTGTACTCTTCACTATTTGCAGTGGCTATCACGGCTCTATTTTCTTACACTACATCACAATTCATCATCATCAGTACGACCAAGAGCGTTTTGGCTCTACTTTTACCTTTTGCTTTAACGGGTGTAGATGAAATTTTCAAAAGCCACGAAGTCTTTCTTGGGCGTCTGAGCTCAAAGCGCTGCAATTCTGTGGTCCCATCCGTGGTACCGGAATCTACTCGCGGAGGCCAATTAAATCATTTTACGCACCAGTCACGTTGCATCGCCTGAGCATTGCCTCTCGTAAAGAATCACAGTTCCCCTTCCTGCCATCTTTCGTCGTCTGTACGGAGAGTAGTTAGATTCTTCTGCATAGGGAAGTTCTACAACATTGCTTGGTGGCCCCGATTCGGCTATTGGAAGCAAACAAACTACCTAGTAGGAATGGGGAATTTGTCAAGCCCATGCTTGGAATTGTTTGTTCAGTTTCATCATTAGGAGTGAAATCCGATTGAATGCTAGTGCCAAACTTTGAAATATTTGAAGTGCACTCTAAAGACCAGCGCGTTTGTTTTCAAAGGAAGCGGAAATGTTTCCAAGATTTTGACAAGGACTTGATTAAACCTTGGTTGTCCTGCGTCAGAGTGTGTGTCATGCACCCCGTGCAATTTTATCTGGAACGAATTGAGGAGTAAGGCTGCGTGTAAATCATAGAGCTAACGCAAGTAGTACGTGTGACCAGTACCGGTCGTCATACATCGTTTATAAGTTCAGAATGTATAGTTCCACAGTACTCTGCGTATGTTTCTTCGATTGTTTGTTGAATTCTTTGCAATGCTACCAGGCGCAATGGTCGTTATCTGTCATTCACAATGATATGTAGCTCTGTCTAGAAGGAGTAAAGTTACTATTAGTCTGATGGGTGTCAAAAAGCATATATGGGGGCCGATACGGCAAGCTACATGAATTTCCATTTTTAACTATTCATTACCCAAATAGGAGGGAGGTAATTGAGCTTACTGAGGCTCATGAATTAAACCAAAATTATTTTGATTATTTTGATCATATCTCAAATAAAACTACCTGGTAGCATTACTAGCATGCAGGAAAATCTTTGATTAAAAGCAAACATCACAAATTCTGTTGTACCCATTATAATATGCTTGCTTTCGCCTGACAGCCCCAGGATTTGATAAACCCCAGGTCCTTGATTCATCTCGGATCCTATTGAAGCTTGACACATTTGTTTTTGTACACAAGTTGACCCAAACGCTTCCAAATCCTCAAATCCGTCAAAGATATCTTGAAGGTAAGTCAGGCAGTGCGCCAATGAAGGTCTAAAAAACATCCGATCTAACACTTAGGAAATCCAGATGGTGACTCCAGGTTACTACTCTGAGCAGGAACCTACCTTTCGTAGGTGCGGTCCGCGAGGTCAAAGCTATCCACTGGCTCAGGAGCGCTCTGAACACTCATATCCGACTCGGAATTATAACGATGGACGAAACGGCGATCATGGGCCAGAGAACAGCGAAACAGGCCATCATCAAATGCGCCGCAGAATTCAAGTAGCCGTATACACCCACTTCTTTGTTCAAAGCACAGCGAATGTTCCATGTTTTTGGTCGTGTTTGCTAATTACTTTCTCGTGTAGTGCCAGAGATGCCGAAAACGCAAGATCCGATGCAGCGGCGAAGAGAATGGCAGACCGTGTTACCATTGCAAAAACTCCAGCTCAGAACCATGCGTATTCTTGAGAGTACTTACAATTGGCCCTTTATTCATAATGATAAATTTCTAACTCGAGTACGTAGGTAACCGCTATGCCACTAGAGCAAGCGAAAGACCTCCCGTCGGAATGCTTCGATGATAACTCGCGATCGATGTTTAGAATCCCTTCCAACACCCCTTACAACTACTATCAAACTTCACAAAACTTCAACCTGGGCCCAGACAATATGAACTATCGACAGGCCAATTACTCGAACTATGGTTATCAAGGAACCAAATTTCTGGGTCTTTCTTATGACAACTTCACTGAAGAACCCGCTGACTTTAACCTGTCAAACTCAACCTCATTTCAGGTTACAGGACAAGATCCGGTTTCTGTTTCCAGTTACCCAGCTCAAAACAATGGGCGCTCACGCGTAAATCCTCCTGCCCCATTGTACATGGATTCAGAAGCTGCTGGAAGTTATAATCAGAATACATACCAAAGCTATAACGCGCGCTCAATGGTTGATTCGGACTCAAAGAATTTCTGTGTCACCAATTCTGCTTGTCTACCGCCATATGGAACTGTGAACGCAGCCGTCACTTCACAGACTGCGCTCAACACCGCCAATGACTCCGGGAGGCTACAACTCCCATATCCGAGTATGAACAGACAATACAGATCCGCGAATGATGGCAATTCGAGTGCGCAGAGCTCACTGCATCCATATGGGTTCGTGAACTCAAACATGGATGGCTCTGGAAAAATGAACGGGACTTCAATCCAAATGCCCATGACGAATTCTTACATGGGTGTTCCTACGAGCAGCAGTCATGAAATTACAACCGCCGTTGCCATGTCTGCATATCAATCAGGCCAACAACCGTCTATGGCACAACAAGATTCGGAAATTTATGAAGCGCCAACTCCCAACAGTAGTCTGTACTACTCTCAAGCCAATGACTCCGCTGCAGACATCAATCACTACGGAACAGGTAGTGGAAGCGACGCCAGCAAGAGTCGTCAAAATAGTCAGACCAACACCACAGAAAATACATGGCCGGCTAATAATCGAAAGTCTAGCAGCGGCGGCAATAGCCTACTAACAAGTGGACAATCATACATTCCACACACTTCAAGCCATTACCCGACCCCAAACATACCCACTCAAATGCAAAATCATGGGCTCTTGCAACTCCCGCCCCAAGTTCAACATGATGAACTCCCGACCTCGAGAGAATATGTCTCGAATCTCTCATCGAGATAATTAGGTTCCTTGCTCAACTCTTGGATCTAAAGTTCAAAAAATACTCTAGCATGCAACATACCTTTGGAAAAACGTCACCGCAGCTTTTCTATTTCGTTTTATTTTCGTTCTTTTTTAAAAAAAAAATCGTGTGGGGATATCTTTCTGTCAATCACATTTCTTTGTTTGATACGGTCAGGGGAAAACGGGGGAAAGACAAAATATTCTTAAAAATGGGGGATAGGGGCTGGAATACAGGAAAGGTGGAAAGAAGACGGCATTTTCATTGTTATTCTACTTCGCTTCATCCCGATCCTTATCGACTGTTCATTGTGTCCTAAATGTTCATATATGCCAGGCCACTCGAGGCGAGCGGCTGGTTGCGCCTTTGTTGATTCATTTGCTTTTTTTCTTTCTCTTTCGAATCAATCACGGGGCTCGCCAAATACGGCCGAATTTAATACGACAAAACAAGTCTAATGGAATTGGAGAATGGGTAAAGTTACAGCTGGTGGGGTTAAGCGACAAGACTCCTGAGAATCAAAGCTACAACCACATCAGAGGTTTTCGTGGGAAAAGAAACCAGTTTTGGAAGAAGAGGTGGATATCAATCATTTTCAAAAGTTCTTATTGTATGGGCTGGGGGTTTATGGAAAAAAATGAACCGAGATTGTGGAATGAGGGTTCAAGGGTAATAGATGGAAAATTTTTGTGCCATCGCTGGTACGGGTGGAGGATGGGTTTGCGCTTATGCTTTGAGTTGGACAGAAAATCAATCTTTCAGGGTTGAGGCAGTGTGTTGGAAAATTTCTCGCTGAGTATTTACTTTGAGAGAGGATTGGATGATGGAGATTAGCTGGGTGGTAAAAACGTATTTACATTGTGTTTATTCTGTCATTATTGAGATTTTCTTTCTTTCCTTTTGGTTTTTTAATTTATGGCGAGTGGGCAAGATACAGGTTCCAAAGATGAGCAAAAAATGGTGGAGAAGGAGTTTCTCAACGTTTCCATTTTTCTATTCTTTTCACTCTCTACCGTTACTGGGATGGAAGAAGAGAATCTGGTGAGACTACTGTGAAAGATGAGAGGGATACGGGCGTCAGCTTTAGCTTGAGCTCACTGTAAATGTTTGATATTTCGAAGTTTTTTTGGATGTCATCGTGGTGTGGTTGATGGTGACCAGAGTGTTTGTCGTACGATACTGGTATCAACATGGCTGGGTTTCCAAGTATTACTTAATTGCTAATGCGCAATGGAAGCATTTCTACATGTTGGATACACTCTACGTACTTGGTACTATTCGGGTAGTCACAGCAACATACTGAGAGTAGTCAGATTTAATTATAATCATAATCATTCTAATACCATATCTCGCAAACCTAACCAATCTGGTCAAAATGTACCCAAATCTGAAAATTTCTGACTGTGTTTCCTATCACAATCTCGACGCATCGACCCAAATTATGTTTCCCTGCTTATGCCATCATGCGCCGACCCACTGGCGAAGCCAAAGGGGAAGCGAAAGAGCAGATCCTACGCCCTTGGCAGCAACCAGAGATTTCATTTCGATGGTAAAAGCAAGATTTCCGGGTGCGACTCTCTTCAGCTCCCAACCCAATCACTAATATCCCTCATCCTTGCACGGCATTGAAAAAATCTCTATGCAGCCATCTGCATGATTAACGACGGGCAAGACCTCGTGCCACAGAAGGCGCATTTGGGGAGAAGCTGGCGTCGCACAGAGTTACACGACAGAAAATAGACCCCACCCACCATGAATAATTGGGGTACGGTGAAGAATAAAGCGCTGTGCCTGGCTCCTTTGCATTGCTCTTTTTTCTGGGGGAGTTATCAGGGTCTTGGTAGGGAGAAGCTGGCCGTTGAAGACCGGATGAGCACTGCATTGGATTGTACAATTGATGTCTCATTCTGGGGTTTCTCAGTACTAGTGAAGCACAGCAGATACTTAGGATGAACCTCATGTCATTGTACAGTACAAGGTACCAACAATGTTTTGGCTTGTGCAGCAAGATTTTTCAATCACAGTCACTGCCATTCACTGCCTGGATCAATTGCACTCAACGTGTTGCCAAAGGAAAATGTAAGATGTTATATTCAACGTTTGCACATATTTGGACTATCAAGAGGAAGACGATATATACTAGCTTTAAACTTAAAGCAATACTCTATACCGCAACTGCCATCCGATCTCTGTCACTTGTCTAGTCCTCGTGGTAGATGAGGCCGAGCTTCCGAAATCTCCTCCCTGAGGAGCGATTCAGGAATCTCCACGAGCCGAGCCTGAAGTACATGAGATAGGACTTTTTGTCGCCATCGGTCCAGAACGTTCTATTTGTGCCCGTTCGTGTCGATAATCTCATTCTTTCTTGGTCAGGTAAGTCAATTGTGTCCGCCCAACATGTGAGATATGCTATTCTCTAATCTTCGGCGGGTACGTGAAACGCAGAAGAACCACAAGCTAGTCTTAGAATTTCAGTGCTTGTATAACACATAAACGTCCGTTATCTCCACAGCAATGCAGATGAAAACGTACAGGAACCAAGATTCAAACACCGATTGAAAAAGGCACGGACCGAAACGAAGTACGGAACGATACCTACCTAATACAATTTTGCGTGCAGGATGGAAAATGCTGTTTGTAACGAGAAAAAAGGGGGAAGATGGGGTAGTTCAGCTCGAATTGTTGAGATGGAGTTTGCGGTGGCGCACGAGGCAAACTTCATTGACAGAAGGTAAATTGCATAATATGACATGTCAAAAAGCGCTTGCAGAAACGGTCAGAGGCATCTTTGAAAGTGATGGTTTGTGTCCAAAATGCAGTGGTGACATATAGATAGAGAAAGTGGAAGAGAGCCATGTAAGTAAACGTAGATTTCTGGGAAATGATAACCTCCAGGTTGCAAACAGACATTTCCAGTTTAATATCACCCATCACCAGGCTGCACGTAAGCCAGATTTCGTAATGAACGAGCAAAACACCATGATTGAAATATGTAGTGTAGGACCTAATAGAGATCGATTAGAGGTTTCATGCCATCATGCCTCTATTTTCGTTCCCTAATTACACCAAAGCATGATACGATGGAGGATCAATGCAGATGCGTACAAAGCACATAGCCAATCCCCAGGTCCAACAACACCAACCATTTCCCACCCCAAGATGAAGCGAGTGCTCTACTCCTTCTTCTTCTTAGCACCCTTGACCTTCGCAGTACCTCTGAGTGTCTTTTGTCTGTTCTTGCGTTGTTTGCCTGTATTCCAGCACATGTCAGTATCATATTATTACCAATGCCCACCCAAGCAATCCCGCAAACCCGGAGAAGGACTGTAACATACGTTGTTGTCTGCTGGCCTTCTCGATCTTTGTAGCAAATCCAACACGGACCAATCTGTAGTGGGGTTCGAACTTCTTCATTGCCTCTGGTGAGTCGTAGACGAGTGCGAATCCGGTAGTCTTTCCACCACCGAATTGGGTGCGGAGACCGAAAACGTTAACTTGGTCTTGGCTTGCCTTGTAGAGTTCGGCGAGCTTGCCTCTGAGCTCATCCTTGGAGATGTTGGCACGGTTTGGGTGGAGGATGTCACTATATTGAGAAATCCATTATCAGCCTTCTAATTCCCGAATATCCATATCCCTTTAAATACGCCCCCAGTGACATTAAAAATGCCATTCTTCCATTGTGATGATAGTTCGAAATGGATGGCGGATTCGATAGAAATAATGTTGACTTACACGACCATTTGTCTTCGGCCGAGGAGAGGGTTGCGAATGAATTTGCGCGTTCGCAGCGTAACTGGGGCGTTATTGTCGGCCATTTTTGCGATTATCTAAATCGATCAGCCTGTCTGCGATGAATTCGAGACAGTTGTCGTGGTATAGATTGTCGATGGATGTCGCTATCGTGAGAGGAATTGCAAAAAAGTTCGAGTGGCTCTCAAGCATTCGGTAAGTCAAAATGCGCTAAGACTAGCTAATATGATTAGTAAGCAACAAAAATGTGCGAATCGGTGGATCCGAGAAGGTCAGAAACCCTATGTGAATGCCTAATTGATACGGCCACAAGACTTTACTTTGTAAACTCCATATGCCTCGTTCGAGTTTCGTACCAAAGTTCTGGCCAACCTCAAATGATCGAGTGATTGTCTTCGACCACAGCATTTCATCAAGTTGTGAAGTACTGTTCGATAATTCTGCTTTGAAGATGGAGGTGAAACCACAGAGCCAGGAAATGCCTTCATCCTCCAGGGACAATCAATTGGATCGATTTTGTCGTCAATATCTTCAACTTCTGCCCAATCTCGATTACCCAGATGAAGAACATCTTCGGGATAAAGTCTTTCAGGAAGCCATATATTTGAGACTATTTGACGAAAGTGTTTTGGAGTACCCTCCGCCTCAGAGATACCAACTCAAAACTCTGAAAGAGCTGACTAGGAGAATCGAGAATAGTATTCACAACTGGGAAGAACAAGTAGGTATGCATAAAATGCAGTTTTTTTTCGGTCGAATCATAGGTTGTACATATGTTAGAGCACTTAGTATGAATAGCAATACATGCCAATATAACTTTTTATCACTTCCGTACTTTTTCTTTCAATTTTCTGACAATGTCTTTCTTTTCTCCAGGGAATATCAGATAATCTGATGAGCCATCTTTCTATTCTTCTCTCTACCCCAATTCCCTCAGAAGCCACGGCAGCCCAGCAACAATCCTATGTAACTTATACTCTCTCATCTTTTCACCCTCCCTCTTCTTCCTCTACATCCCCAACCCCTCAAACTCCAACAATAACCATCCTCGAATCCGCCTCTCTTCTATCAAGTTCCGGAACCACAGGCCTTCGAACATGGGAAGCCGCTCTGCACCTCTCAAATTACATCTCCCTTAACCCACACCTTATCTCCAATAAAACGATACTGGAGCTCGGTTGTGGCACCGGGTTCATTTCGATCTTATGCGCAAAGTATCTCTCTGCAAAGCATGTTCTAGCTACTGATGGAAGCCCCGAAACATTAACGCTGATGAACACAAGTCTGTTTCTCAATAATTTGACTGATGTCATTACTCCTATAACGGGTCAGATTGTGACGAACAAGATAAGCACATGCGAACTCACCTGGGGTCACATGCTTCCAACTGGAGAAGCTGAGACATTTCCTGACTTTCTATCATCAAAATCCCTACCGTCCAGCTCATCACTCGTCGCTGGATCAAACCAGACACCATTGGACCTCATTCTTGCCGCCGATGTAATCTACTCTCCCGCTGTGATTCCCTCCTTAATTGTCACCCTGGAGGATCTCTTCGGCCTATACCCAGCCGCCGAAGTGTTGATCTCAAGTACGATACGTAACGCCGACACGTATGCAATCTTTGTAGATATGTGTAGAAAGAAGCAATGGGCGATAGAACGGGTAGATTTCGGGATAGCGGAAAGGAGTGAACAGGAAGGACCGTGGTATGGAGGGTTAGGGGAGGGGATTGAGATTCTTTGGGTTAGGAATACCAATGGGAGGAGCGGGTGTTAGGGAAGGCTAATAATACTGGGCAATTGCATTATTTCTTTGTACATACGTAGTCATTGCAAATAAAATATAAGTAATGAAGATTCCTCTAAATTGATTGTCTTAAGAGATGGCTTGCCTTGGATTTTCGATTTGAGAGGAGAAATACCTACTATTTACTTTACGGATTGTCACAGTCAACATCAATGTTTGGTCTCATATTTCACAGGTTAGCTGCTGGTGTACACTAGTGAGCTAAGTAAGCTTGCAGACAAAAATGAATACTGGATGGCACTAATATGATGTATTCAAGGGTATTTAGTGTCGTTGTAGATATAATCGCTAGATAACAACAGACTGATGATGCTACTGTGCAAAAACCCAAGGCAGAAGATATCAATCCTCCTTTCCTACTCCCGCGCTCCATTCAAAGCCGCATTCACGATTTCTCATCAAATGGTGTGAACTGCACATCTCAAAACTCAAAATTAAGAGTTAAAGAATGGTGAGAGATGCAGGTTTGTGACCGCACGAGTTTCATGCTCGTCGACCATGGCAGTGAACGATAAAACCTCATTACACGGGATAATACCTAGCATGAGGCTTTATCCCAACTTCTTCCACGGTTCCACATACTCATGATTGCCAATCCACGCTTTCTCCACAGTTTCCCCCCTCAATTCTCCATCATCGAAATCACCTCTCCTCACCACATCCCACTCGAAGCCAATACCGTTCATGGCAAATCATCGTTGCCACCGTGACTGAGTAGTCAGGCCGAATTCCAAACTCATGATTATTGGAATCCTTGAGAAAGAGTTATATAGAGTTAGCTGTATGCTTTCATGGGCCCTTTTCGGCTTTCCAAATGCATGGACATGGATGTGGATGTGGAAGCATGCCTCATTCTCGGGTGCAAATCCTTGCCGACGAAAATATCGCTGACTCCAGAGCACGTCCTCCTGTCCTTTGATGATGTCGACCCAGCTAATATGCATAAGTTTGCTCTAGAAGATTTTGCGTGTATGCGAGGTGTTTTGCATTCATGAATCATTATGCCCGATCCCAATGTTAGGACCACTCTCTAGCCTTTCTCCAAGCTCCATAATCGTTGCCTCGTAAACTCTAGCAATGTCCATAGCAAGTTCATCATTGTCATATTCAGAGTTATCATCTTCGTCCAAAATCATGTCATCAGGACCATTGTCCATTTCATTACCACGCTCATCCTCACCTTCACCATTACCACGAGCGTTACCGTTGACTCCATTCTCGGATTGTGGTTCTGGCTCTACTTCCTTACTCATGACGTCCACAATCATTACCCTGGTATCCTCAACTATACTTCTGCATCTAACCATATCAGTCTGGCTCATTCCCGCTCTCCTACCGGCCGGAAACCCTGGCAAGACCTCTCCAGTAACGGAGTCTTCTCCCCTCAGTAAACTAGCGAATGCATGATCTAGCTTTCTCAAAACAGCAAATGTTGTAGCTGGTTCTGGGGGAAATTTGGTGGGATATGTAGACATTGTAAGAGCAACATTTAGCAAATATGGAATTTGCAAATTTGCTATGATAGTCAGTCGAAGATTCGTGTACCATATATAGATTGAATTACATACGTGTGCCTGACAGCCACAATACATCTATTATCTCGGAAACGTCCTTGGCTACCTCCTTCATACTTACATAGCCGACTACCGTGTCTCCCTCTTCGGGACCTTCAAACTTTTTGGTGTATCGCCTTGCGATTTGGAGTAATTTGTTCTCTACATAGCGTCTTGCGGCTTGTTCCTTTGCGGATCCGGCACGAAGAGGTTTGCTACGTGGCTGTGGTAGATTGGATGAGGTGGAACTGACTGACGTAGTGCTTGGAGAAGGAGAGGGGAGGGAATCTGGGAGGAAACCTCCCGATTCAGAAAGATCCATTGTCTTTAACCTTTCTAAGGTCTCGATGTCCGGGCCGAGTTCAATCTTTCAGACCACTTAGTTATATCAAGAGATGCCACTCCTTACACAAATCTTTGCCAATTCCTGAATAGCAATTGTTCTTTGAAGGTATGGATAATGGAAGAAACTATCTTGGAATAAAATAATACCCACGGTAAATAACGTAACAAAACAACAAAGGCTACTCTAACCTTGGGAAAGCTAAAAGGATGACGTGAAGTCTAGATCAGCCTTGTCGAGACAGGTAAGGGTATGACTAAGCAAGGCCTAGGCTGAGCTTCATTCAAGGAGCTGCAAAAGTTGTAATTTCTCAAGCAAATAAACAAACCACAAATCTCAACTGCAATTCCACGATCATTCAAGTATTTCACTATCATTTAAGTAGACTCTGCTTTACCCAATTCTCCAAGAAACCCATTGATTTTACGGCCACGATCTTTACCGTATCAGAATCGCAGCGACAAACATCTACAAAAGCTCAGCCTCGAGTTGATCTCATCAATTACAATGACAAGTATTGATGATTTATTTAAGGTACGCATTCAATCGTCTGGTTCTGGGTTATCATTTAACACCCTGCAGAAGCCAGCTTTACCCAGCCATAAGCGCAAATTAGAACCTACTCGAGATCCAAGTTAGCAGCTCCCACCTTCTCGTCCCACCTTTTTGCTAAGCAGTCCTTTAGATGAGATATATAAATCCGCAAAATTGTCTGCGAACGGCCATGCAAAAAGCAATGGTAAACAGCCAGCAGTAGAAGAGGATGACGATATTGAAGCCGGGCCTTCAGCTCCACCCGAAGATGACGACGAAGACTATGGACCAGATATTCCTGATGATGAAGAAGGGCGGTTCTTCGGTGGTGGCATCACAAAAGATGAATCGGAAATATTAGATTACATGGATGGACAAGAAAGCGCAGAGATTGTTCCTGAAAAAATAGATTCTGCATGGCTAAGAAAAATGGCCCTAAACTTTGAGAAAAAGATCACGAAGAATGCTGAATTAAGAGCAAAATTTGAGAATGACCCGCAGAAGTTTATGGGTAGCGAGGCGGATTTAGATGCAGATATCAAAGCTCTGAGCATTCTATCAGAACATCCGGAATTATACGGAGAATTCGCGAAGTTGGGATGTGTGGGGAGCTTGGTTGGATTACTGGCGCACGAGAATACGGACATCGCAATTGATGCGGTAGAGATTATCAGTGAACTTACAGACGAAGATGTGGAGGCTGAACAAGAACAATGGAACGGAATTGTAGATGCTATGATCGAGGCAGATTTACTGGATTTATTAATTTCGAATTTTGGAAGGTTTAATGAAAGCAATGAGTCGGATAGGAGCGGCGTGTATCATGCATTGTCTGTGTTGGAAAACCTGGCGTCAAGGGTATCGCTTGCAGAAAAGATCGGTCAGGAGACAAGCATACTGAATTGGTTATTGAATCGAATACCGAGGAAAGAGTCTCCGGTGAGTCAGAACAAACAATACTCGGCGGAAGTTATGGCGATTCTTCTACAATCATCTCCCCTCAACCGCCGTAAACTCTGCGAACTGGATGGCGTCGATCTCCTACTCCAAATTCTGGCAGCTTATAGGAAGCGCGATCCAATCAAAGGAACCGAGGAAGAGGAATTCGTGGAAAATATTTTCGACGCCTTAACCTGCTGTGTTGATGAGCCGGAAGGAAAACAGAAATTTGTTGAAGCAGAAGGTGTCGAACTTTGTCTAATTATGATCAAAGAAGGCAAAATGAGTAAATCGCGCGCACTCAGACTACTAGATCATGCATTAGGAGGACAAACCGGCGCAGAAGTTTGTGAAAAATTGGTGGATGCAGCAGGTCTCAAGGTAGTATTCGGAATGTTCATGAAGAAGATCGACGGCCAGACAGTAGAACACCTGTTAGGAATATTCTCAAGTCTACTACGTCTCCTACCCGCCAATCAGGCTGGTCGCATCCGCACACTTGCCAAATTTGTAGAAAAGGACTATGAAAAGATAAACAAGCTTGTGAAATTTCGTCGAGATTACGCAACACGGGTAGCCGCCGTCGATGCTGAAATCCGCAAGGAACAAGCGAGAATGAGTGCAGAAGAAAGAGAGGAGACAGCGGATGAGTGGTTATCGAGAAGGTTGGACGCCGGCTTGTTTTGTTTGCAAACGATTGATGTTATCTTGGCATGGTTGGTGGCGGAAGATGAAGGCGCGGAGAAAAAGATTAGGGCGCTATTGGCCGAGAGGGATGAGGGGTTGGAGGTTTTGAGAGAGACTTTACAGGAGCAGTTGGATACGTTGGTGGGGGGGGAGGAAGAGGGGAATGGCGATGGTGATGGTGATGGGGAAGAGAAGATGATGAGGGATATGTTGGGGACGTTGGTGCAGTTTTTGACATAAATTGGTCATTTACTTTTTCAGAGTATGAATCGGAAAGAGAATATCGAACGTGTAATAAATAACCTATCCCTCATGTCGAAATGATGACGTTGAACATATTATTCATCCATTCACATCTCTACGCTGATGACCTCTACTTGAGAATTTCTGATCCAAAACCCAGTAACCTCTACCTCTAACCCTCATCACATACACAAAAAGTCACCAACAAACATCCCGCTCCCCTTATCCAAGCTCCAGATCATCTCATTATTCACGAGTACAAAGATCTCGACATTTTCATGAATCATATTGAAGTTCACTGATTTACGTACTATAAATAATTACACAGATAAGATAGAGATAGAGATGAGATAATGTACACAAAACTTGACCAACCTTGTGTCGTGTATATCCTCCGTACAAACATGTAAGTAAATAGATACTCGCAAAATTCAAAATATATACTCATACAATATCCTCTGCATCCCTCGTTGCAGCAAGAGGGCCATTGATCGCCCTTGATTGAGGATTAACTGCCCTTTCCTCTGCGGTCTTGGCATTGACCTCGGTTATTAAACCCCCAGTGTAGATTAAACATGGCAGAGCGCCGGCGAAACTGAATAGTCCCAATGACCAGGTCATGGTACCCCATCCTGCATAGTCTTTTACATAACCTGCCCAGATTGGGCCGATGAGAGTACCGGCTGCAAAAGCAGCGGTAAAAAGACCGTATGCTTGTGCATATGCTCCGTTCTTTCCAAATCGGCCGGGTATTTGCTTCTCCTTTGCTTCGACAATATAGGAAATCTCAGCCGTCAGCCCTGGAAGGACACAGGTCAAGGAGACACCAATGAGAGCTAGTAATGCGCAGAGAAGAACTTTCTGGTTTAAGGAATCATGCGTAACGAGACGCAGGAGAACCCAAAAGGGGATTGCGAAACAGAAACCCGCTACGCATGGCCAGCGTGGGCCGTACTGATCGCATACCCACCCAATAACTGGTGCGGCGAAACTGGGTACCATGAGAGCGAGAAAGATCAATCCTGCTCCAATGGAATCCCAGTGAAAAGTCTCTTGGACGAAAAGAGGAATGACACTGTCAAATGATGACATGAGAGATGCTTGAACTATACAACCCCACAGTGCAGCACAGAGCCGTTTAGATTTCAGGAGAGAGAAAATTGCAGGCCACTTACTGATCTTGTGGGGAACAGTGGGCGCAGCTGCTGTAGTACCTGAAGGCTCACTTTGTGTTACCTTCTCCTCGTCCGTGGTAGTATGGTTCACATTCCTTGTGTCAGCTACGTTTTCATTACCCGCAGGCGAATTTTGGGAGTCGGAGCTGGTTCCAGAATCGGTGACTGTTTCATCGTCCAGCCACTGGCGAGCGAGTTTTTTCTCTACCAATACCAAACGAAGAATAATATCCAGGACCAATAATCCAAAAGACATATAGAAAACTGCGTAATATCCAGCTTTTTCATACACAGCGCCTCCCAGCAAAGGAGCGACTAGAATCCCCATACTCATGCTCAAGCTCACGTAACCTAATGTTTCACCAATTTCGGCTTGTCCAACGGTGTCGACTAATAGAGCTAATCCTACGGTCCACACAATGGATGCACTCAACCCTGCGAAGATGCGTCCCAAGACGAGCAATGCCACCGACTTTGCCAGGCACAGCATAACCGTGGAACCAACCATTGCGATCAAGCCAATCAGTAGTGGCACACGTCTCGATGACGAATGGTCGGCATACCATCCTGAAATTGGGCTTCCGGCGAGTAATGCTGCGCCATAAACTGCAAGTAATATCGACACCCAGCTCTGGACCGAGGCTTCAGGCACGCCTGCGCGCGAGGTGAGTGAAAAAGGTACGACGGGTACAATAATTCCGTAAAGAAATATATCTGTAAATACTGCTACACATATTGTTGAGATGATAAAAAAGTTCGAAGATCGTATTTTCAGGAAATGAGGTGGCGGCGAAGAGGGGTCAACTCGTCTGCCCAAGATGAAATTCTGGATGCGACCCATATCTTAAGATTTTTAAGTCAATTAGCAAAACAGTCTTCTTCATGCTGTGTCATCTCCACTTATCTTCAGGAAAGGTAGATGTTTAAATACTCATAACGGTCCTCAGAAAAAAAAAACTCGATCATGGGTAATTGAACTCCGTATCCATATCATAGATATGTTGTGATGGCGGAGTTCGGAATAAAATTGATGACTAAAATTAATGTAAGTCTCGAAAAGACTATAGCAAAATAGGGAAGTGCAAGCAGGAATTTAACTCGATGCGTTTTCGGTGACTCATGAGGTGGATTCTCTCCGTTACTATAATGCACCTCCCTTATTATGGAAAACGGTTGTGAATGTATGAACGTATGATTGGATGACTGGTTTTTCGACCGGACGTAGGAAATAGAAAATGCCTAGTAAGCTTATTCCGGAATAGAGACAGAGTTTATAAGGCTACGATACGACCAATCACACCTCTCCAACTCCTAAAAAAGAATTGGCTTGCTTGAATAATCCTTCGGCTTGAAATAACCTTATTTGAAATAGGCTTAGTGTGTTCTTGCGCACGTAGGTACCTACTCCGTATCGTGGTTCTTTACCTCACCACAATAAACTGAGATTACTTGCTGCCTACTGTACAAGTTATTCTAGCTCTATCATAGAGTTGGGCTGGCCAATTTGAAGGTCTGATTGAGCAGGAACCATGATTCTCTGAAGGTCCTTATATTGAAAAAGGTACGGTACCATTCATAGGGTAGATCTAACCCATGGGATATATCTTTCAGATGATGCTCTTCACACATCCGTACATCACTAAGTAGAGATGATGCATCACTCGCGTTCGCTTTGTGAATTCTGACCGCTGCGAGATAGATCTGGTTTTTAGAAAAGACAGAGAGAACCATTAAGGAGTAGTGTTCCTAAGATTGAATGGGTAGATTTCACCTTCCTCTGGAATCCCGATCTTCTCTAGCGAGATTGGACAACATTTTTGGGTCGATTATACTTTCGCCCCAGACAGCCCTGTCTTGATTGTGGGATTCTGGCCAAGTTACCAGTGCCTTGAAGTGATGCGGATGCGGCTCTTATCATTACACCGCCTCCTTGACTAATGGGTACAAGGAGAGTTTGAGCCTCAACTTTACACCACTTCTTGGACGGCTGATTATGGTTTCCTCTCCGTTCCGAGATTGACCCTCGCCAATGGTTTCTTTTTAAGCCTCAAGATACACATCATCCCAATATGTCATATTCTCAGAAATTGTCTCAAGGCACAGGATGTAAGTCAATCGCTTGGCAATTCCACCACACGTGTTTCGCCCTGCGGGCAAATCCCGCAAACCCTTGCACATTCGCACACACCAGACGAGGCAACCACTCGACTATCGACTTGCCTTACCCGGTAACTCCACGAACGGCAATGCATCTCATATAAATGTGTGTAATGCGTATATGTGTGTACGCATTCTGTTTTGCATATTTTGGGGGCTAGATAATTGAAGAACCTTCTCTTTTTTCGCCCGGCTTCAAAGGGACCTGCATTTTGACTAGTCACGTATGATCTAGGGCGGGGAAGAGCCTCACAAGATGAACAGGGGCTTGGCATGCATTTTGACCGACTCGGAAGGAATGTCATTGACTTAAAACGCAGGCGAATCAGATCCTTGTTTACCTAGTAACGTGCAACATTTGTTGAGGCTCTTTTAATTTCCCCGACAATACTTCTTATGTACCTGCACTTAATATCCCTTTTGGATAATTCAATAGTTTGAAATTGCGGTATATCTCGTATCGCTATGGCGTGAGTTCTTTGAGCCGCATCTGAGCTATAAGCCCACAATGGCGCAGTCTCATCGTAAGCCTGTCAACGATCTTTTCTACTCTGAACACCACTTCTTCTTTTGCCGATACGGCCCTTATCATTCGTTTACAGTTTCCAAGTATGTATCGATTGATTCATTGTCTTTAAGTTAAAATCTAATGTTATTATGCAGATTAAAAAGCAGCGCCTTTAAGGAAATATCTGATGTTTAATTTGATCTCTCTTCCGTATGAGGTCTTGTCCAATATCATAGCAAACATCGATTTCGACGATGTTTTTAACCTTGGTCTCTCCTGCCAGGCAATGAGGTACTTGCTCACCGAGGAGAGCATATGCAAGTTAATAGTACAAGTAGGCCACCGGCTTCGTCATCAACATGACTAATGCCACAATGCCCAGCTTGCTGACAAAGTCTGTATAGACCCAGATACCCTTCTGCAATGAAGCGTTGTCGACCAAGCACGTCACTGGTCATAGTGCATCGGCTCTTCGAAGAGTTGCGAAGAGACGAGAGGCTTTTGCTACAGCGAATCCGTACTCAGTAGCAACGATTGCGTTCGGCGATGCATATCTTTATTGCAAAGGCGTCTTATGCTACACCCTTGATGACAAACTCAGGATCCTAAACCTGCATGATTCAGCGTGTCATGAAGTCGTCGTCAGCATCCCAGGGATAGTGAGCAATGCTACCTCGGAAGTCGCTCGTAATACTAGAGGTAGATTTCAGGTGTTGTATTATTCCGACAGTATAATCTCATGCCTCTACGTAACATCAGGCATGGATGCAAATTCTTGGCTATTTACTTTCAACATTAAAAGCAGAGAGATTCCTGTCGTAAGAGAAGTGGATTCCACAGAGAGAATTTTTGTTCGCCATGATGACAAATATCTTTACTACGGTACACATTCAGAGGTTGACAGAGACAATCACAAGAAATGGGTAATTTATGGCTATGATTTCACTCAACGAGAATGGTTCGACCAAAAAGTCCATCTTCCCGATATGGTAGGGTCAGAGATTGGATCGAACATCTGTTTTGAGTTTCACGACGGTTATTTCTATGCTCTATCCAATCAAACATCATTTGAGGCCGAGGAGATTGACTGGACTTCATTCTATCATTGCATCAGATTTCCGCTCGCATCACCTTACAAAGAATTGATCGAGAAGACAGAGAACCAAAGTATGTGGCGCCGTCAACACAAAGAAGGTCCCATCGATGATCGATGGACTACCCTTCGACTTGACACAGATGAGAGTACCGGAGAGCTCAGAATACTTGAGTCTCGAAAGGAGTGGTACCATGGGGCAAGCAGGAGTCAGCGTACTTACTATACCACACCTATTGTTTTCCCAACACGATATGATCACATGGATGGTGATATCTATCATTCGGCTGGTATATCTATTCCTTCAACAGAAACAGCGTCTTCCTTCAATTTTCAATCAGGACCATCCTTACCGATGAACACAGAATCGAGTACCTCAAAAGATTACAACAAGTATGATAGCCACGATCTGAACAATTATCCCGACGATCCTATTTTACGTCTCCTTCAGGACGACGACCATCCGCATTATATGCCATCACGGACAAGACTCCCACAATTTACTCATCCAGGTTATGATGGATCTTCCAATCAAACATTTACACTTGCCAAATCCCGAATTAGATATTACCACTCTTCTTCATCTACATTTCTCGACGTTGTGGATGACCCTCTTCCAACGGACTGGCAAAGTAAACAACGATTACGACTTCGAGCCGGTTCCCGAAAAGTTGGCCCACCCCTCGTTTACCCTGCCAATCACCCCACAAAAGCCGGGTTACTATGTGATCCACCATCTGACACCGAAGACGCCCTGAGCCAAATGTATAGACAATCAGACGTTACTTATTGGCCCCCGGCACAAGATCCCGCAATAGCAAATGAGGCTTTGGACGAGTTGTACAAGCTATTGAATCCGCCCAGCCATCTCGGTAATGTGGAAGGCACCGCAGATGAAAGAAGTCTAGTGTATGCAACAGGGGGGTATGACAAACCACAAGCTATCATCTTTGTGAGTTTTGATCCAGCAATTAAGTTGTCGGGGTTGAGAAAGTGGGGTGGTATGACTAGAAAGGGAGTAGGTGAGGGGCCACATATTGATGGTAGGGCTACTGGATATATGCCTGATGTGGATACCGAGCAGAGTACAAGCTTAGGGTATGCAGATGAAGATACAAATGAGTATGATCAGATGATGTATAAGGATGCCATGGAGGCAGATAGGAGAATCGGAGAACCAAAGGGGAAAGGCAAGGAAAAGCAAAAGTCCACGGGTACGTCGGCACTGCCTGAGAATGTCGATGTCAGTGGACTAGCATACGTCAATATGCATGGAACATCTAATAGTCCCTCCAAATCATCGTGGATGTGGCATGAGAAAGCAATGTATCAAGATATCGGACTAGGATTTTATTTCGGGAAAGATCGAGCAACAGCAGGTGATGATAATAATGGAAATAGGGAAAAGAAGCCTTCGTTTCTTACTTCTTGATTTATGGTTACCGGCGTACTTTTTTGCCGTATAATTAGTATGATTTATACACATTTAATGCATGTCCAATCACTATGCACACTATTTATCGTCACTGCTTCAATTTTCTTGGCTTTGTCTTTCACTATTCACGCACGCAACGGGAGAAAGACAAATTGGGATTTAAGCGCATATTTATATGCTGGAAATATATAATTGTATAATTGGATATGGATAAGATACGGGATAGTTCAGGGTGTGTGTGTGTAGTTTTAAGTGTATATTATATTGAGTGAGGAGTAAGAGCCTCGTTTTCTCGTTATGTTCATGGATCATTTATGGGGCGGTATATTGAGACTCTTTTGCATTATGCATAGGGCAAAGAAGGGCGAAGGCGAGGCAAAATTGATGGTAGCATTGTATGTGGATGTTACGAGGTTTGCCGTCTAGATCACGTGGAAGTGCTTTAGGCTCTCGAGGTGGTTTATAACTAGGCGTCAAGCAGGGACTTAAGTAATGACAATAATGCAATTCGTAACTAATAGTAGAGTATACTAAATGATTGATCTTGAGCACGAAGCTCTATACAAAGGAAATTCATCTTGATTATATAGACCTTCGTATTCCAACATTGGAGCGATGGAGCTGGGGAGCGAGATTCGAATCTCGCTCCTTCGCTCCCTCGCTCCCTCACAGGATTATCCATGTGATCCTATAACACGTGATAATAGTTTATAATGTTACAACGTAACAGTGGATGGGATTCTGGATTTGTGTTTGGGTGTTTGGTTGAGTGTCACGATTCATTAATTCACGTGACCTCGAGGACCTTTTGGACCTTAAGGTCCCAAAGGTCCTCAAAAGATGATATAGGGCATATAAACATTCATTTAGTCTTGTAGTTAAGGAGCTTTGTGCTCAACTTAATTATCAATTAGTTTATCTATATTCTACTTGATCTAGTAACGACTTCACTTCCAAGTGAAGACCAGTGATAAAGCCTTAACCCACAACTACCAACCAGACGAAACCTTAGGCAGCCGCTGCCTCCAGTATAGTATCGTTACATTGAGATATAGGATTATATATATATATATAGAGTAGGATAATAATAATATTATTGTCACACTCAAGAATACTGGGTAAAGTATCTTGTATTAGAAAATACTAAGCTAAGGAGAAAAGAAGAAGGAAAACAAGAGTAGAGATTGATTGATTGATTGATTGTGTTTATCGTCATAGGCCGTAGGCCCACGCGCCTTGGCGCGTGATAACCTTAGCCATCTATTCCAGTTTTGGACAAATGACGCTTAGAGGAGAAGCCTCTGAGTGGTTTACTAGCTAGCTAGGGGGAGTATTTATATACAATTTAAAGGGGGCTAGGGCAGGGTTTATATGATTGCCTTCGCAGGGGGGGTTTGGGCCGGTAGGCCTTTTGGGGTTGTAATTGTGGTCATCCTCGTCCACTAGATCACTACCTCTTGATCTCTCTCCCTGTCTCCTTGTACTTGTTTTGGTTGTTTGTATATATGCTTGTTTTTTTTTTTTTTTTAATGAAAGAAAAGAGAAAGATGAAAGAAAGGAAAGAAAAGGAAGGAAAAGCAGCCTTAGAGACCTATTAACTTTGTTTGAATCCAATGAAAGAAAGAAAGTTTTTTTTTTTTTTTTTTATCTTGCACCTGTGTGCCACGGGCAGATTTTTGTGTAGAACTTGGTGTATTCTAGCCATTCGGCTAGTTTGGCTATATTGGTGGGATTTCTTAGAAGCCAGGGGATAGCTTCGGAGGGGGGGCTCTTTGTGAGCACTTTAAAGGCTTTTCCTTTTTTGCAAAAGAAAAAGTGTAATAAAGTTTTCCTTTTATTATATAAGCAATGGACATAGATTATAGTGTGATTGAAGCGTTTATAGTATACTGTGAAGTCGCTATGCTGTGATCTGATAGCGAGAATATGATGGAGTGTGGCTCTCTTCAAAGAGAGGGTGTCTGTATTAGAAGTGTGGTTGAATTGGAGATCTTTGTAGTATTGTGGGCTGATTGTATTTCATAATTGTTTGTCTGCTTTGTTGGCCCTTGTTCTGATCATTCTTTTTAGGGATATTAGCGTACAGATCGAGTTGAGGGGAAAAAGGAGTTTTGTTCCTTCTTTAGCGGCTTTGTCAGCTATTTCGTTGCCAGGGATATCCAGGTGCCCTGGGACCCATCGGACGCAGATTTTCCCGGAGGAGGTGTATGGGAGCCTTGGTCTAACAGCCCAAGCTTGTGTGAGCTTCAGAAAGTCTTCAAAGACTCTCTGTGAGGAACCATTGAAGTGGGATCCTAATCGGAGAGCAGCCTCGTGATTGTCTAAGAAGATCCAGAGATCTGTGGCCAGTTTGGTTGATGCTAGAGTGAGGGCTTTTGCTGCCTTTGCTATTGTGGCTGTGGCTTCTGCATCGAACACTTCTGTATTTGTGCCTAATGAGAAAGAATGGTGTGCTATCTGAATATCGAATTGTGAGATTACGAATCCGCCCCCAGTTGCGCCATCCTTGCTTTTACTTTTTGAGCCATCCGAGAAGATTTGTATATCGCTTCTTGGGATCTTGGTGTGGAAGGCTTTGAAGTCTTCGGCTGCTTGTGCCTTCGTTCTGCCCATCGGACCATTGATGCGGGCCTCGGCCTCTGCCCTCGACTCTCTGATTTCCCAGGGTGGGAAGGCCAAGAGGTTTATGTGTTCAGTCTCCGGTAATGCTGTAATGAGCCTTGCGAATCTTGTATCTGGGGTGCGGTTATATTCTCTGGCTTTGGTTATGTTCTCTGCTCTGATCCTGAGAGGATGGTAAAGATCTAGTCTGATGGTTTGTGCCGTATATAATTGTGAAATCAGGTTTAGCTCGATCTCGGATGGTCTGAGTTTGGCTTCCTCGTAGAGTACTGCTGTGTTTGTGGTTTTGTATACTGGGAGGATTGCCTTTGTATAGGTGATTACTACTTTGTTGAGTAAGCTTAGATGGCTGTCCACTACATTTGAGATCGAGATCGGGTTGTTTAGGGCATTCTTCTTTGTTCTGGTTCGGCCTGGCCACCACGTTTCCGAGGCGAAATAGCACTTTTTGAGTATGCAGGCTTCAGCCACTTTTTTGGTGAGATATGGGGGTATCCCTCGGTGTGTATTGCTGAGGGATCTCAGTGCGTTGGCTCCCTTGAGGGCTTTGGCTGCGAGGATCTGGATATGTGGTTTGAAGCATAGTTTCCTATCGAAGTGGACTCCGAGCCATTTGAGCGGGCCAGGTTTGACCTCTATATTCATAGATCCGGTGTGTATTGCAGGGGTATCTGTTAGTGTTCGGTGTCCTTTATAGAAGTGTATAAGCTCAGATTTCTTGGGGTCAAAAATGATACCTTCGGTTTTTCCCCATTCGAGAGTTTCTTGCATATCCATTTTTAGAGAATCGCAGTTTGTCTGTAGTGAGTTTGATGTCGCTAGTATCGCGATATCGTCTGCATATCCGAATCTGCTCTGTGGTTTGCCCATCCAGAAGAGAGGCGCGATGTAGAGCATGAACAAGATCGGGGAGATCGGTGAACCTTGAGGAAGACCGCATTCTAGCTTTGTTTCCGGGCCAGTCTCGCCGTCTAGTCGGATCTTGATGGATCGATTAGTGGCGAAGGACTGAACCCATCTAACCAGGTTGTTTGGCCATCCTTGTTCCCGAAGGCGATTCACTAGTCTTCCTGGTAGCACTGCGTCAAAAGCACCTTTTACATTCATTGTGAGCAGGGTGGTCTTTAACCCTTGTTTTAAGGATGCTTCAATGTCGTGTGTAACGCAAGTGGTGAGGTCCACTGAGGATCGCAAGGGTAGAGCTCCGAGCTGCTGGTTCGCTAGGACTTGGTAGTTTAGAGCAAGCTATGATACCTTCTTCGCAATGAGTCTTTCGAGGCCTTTGCCTAGGACCGAGAGCAAGGCAATTGGTCGGTATGATCTTGGGTTGGTATAATCTGACTTGTTGGGTTTAGGGATGATTACGATGGTAGCTAATCGGAAGCATTTTGGGTGGTGTCCTAGGTGTAGACAGCCTTTGAAAAGGGATAGGGTTACTTCTTTTATCTGTAGCCATGCGATTTGTAGGATTTTTGTTGGGATTTCGTTTGCGTTAGGTGTTGTGTTCCCTGCTTTTAAAATGGCCAGCTCTATATCTTGTATAGCTATATCAGGGAAGGTGATAGATCTGCTTGAGGCTGTAGGGGTATCGAACGGGATGTCGTCAACCTCGACTAGGTTTATCAATAGGTTATTGGCGAAGGTTTCCCTTTTCTCTTCGATAGTATTTACAATGGTTTGTTTTGATAGATCTGCTAAAGGGGGAGTACGGTATATTCCTATGGATTGATGCCATTTGGCCATTCGATATACATCGTTTATATCTTCTACTTTATCCACTTTCGTAATATAGAAGGTATGTTTTGCTTTTCAGATTGTTTTCCGAAGAGAGCGTTTGGATGTAGGTGTATTGATGATTCTATGTTTATATACAGCCTTTATACAGTCCTTGTTCCACTAAGGTTGTTGAAGAGGCCCGTTTATGGATCTTCTTGCAGATCCTGTATAGGCTTTTGTAAGGGCTTGTGTAAGGGATGATGCGGCTTGATCTAGGTCTCTTAGAGAGGGTGTCCTGGGGATAGCTGCAATGTTGGTGAGATTAGTTTCTAGTAGGTCTTTAAAGAGCGTTTCATTCAATGTATTTAGCTTGAGTTTCTTTGCAGGCTTTTGGCTTCGGTAATTCCAGTGAAGGTAGGTTTTTAGGGTGCTGTGATCTGAGGTGCACTCTAGTTGTTCAGCGAGGGCGGTATACGCTGTATAGGGCCCTGAGAGGAAGGTGAGGTCCAAGACGTTTCCCTTTGAGTGAGTAGGAGTTCCGATTGGGGAGATGAGGTGTAGATTCCGGGAGTTTGACCATTCTACAAAGGGTTCGGCTAGCGTTGAAGGGGATGGATGGAGGGGATTCCAGTTGGGGTGGTGGAGGTTGAAGTCGCCTAGTAGGATGGCGTTGTTTGGGAAGTTTTGGAGTTCAAAGAGTGCCTTGATGGCTTGATTGCCATCTGTGCATTGTGTTGGAGCGTTGTAAATATTTATAATGGTAAATATTGTATTATTTGTAGATATTAATTGTATAAATATTAGGTCTCTGGAGATTATCGGTCTGATCTGGTTGATCTGAATTCCTATTTCTTTTCTGATATAGGTGAGGACACGAGGGTTTTCCTTCCAATCGTCTAATGGAGTGAAGATTTCGTAGGAGGGGTGAGTTTTGGTGATTTTTCTTGAGGTATCTTTGTATATATATGGCTCCTGGATCGTGATGATATCAATTTGATCCATATTTGCTAGATTGAGGACGAGATCGTGTGAGATCCCTCCTTTACCTACATTGGTTTGGGTTATCGTAAGCGGTTTATAGTTCATTAAACGGGATAGGGGTTGGGTTGGCGATTGTTGCAAATCGATTAGCGGAGCGGGTGCTGAAGAGGGTTGTGGAGTGAGTGGAGCCGAATAGGCGGGTGGGGGTTCTTGGCCTAAGTTGGTCCGAGGGGGAGGGAGGGGTAGGGGAGTCGGCCATTTGTGCATCGGATGATGGCTTTGAGCATCCAGCCTTTACACAAACAGAGTTTCTGTTTTCGAGGTATATCTTCCGGATTGTCTGGCGTTCTGATTTTGATTTCCTTTCTCTCCCTTGTGGGCGAAGGGGGCATTTGGGGTCATCTACGGGGTGGGGGCCCGTTGCAGTGAAGGCATTTGGGTGGGCATACGTGTTCAGTACCACAACTGGTAGTATGATTGCTCTCTGTATGCTTTCCCGAACCGCATAGGCGGCAGATTTGTGATTTGAGGCATGTTCTTGCGTTGTGCCATTGAAAGCAACGATTGCATTGAGTGATCTTTGGTTTTTGTACTAGGAGGGATGTGCTGATGTTGGCCCCTAGAATCTTCAGGTTCTTTTTGAGTGGTTTTGCTCCTGTCTTGAAGCTTACTATCCATGTTGAGTAATACTCATTAGGTGAGGGGTTCGTTTGGGATTGGATAGCGTGAGTAAGCACCTGACTAGAGTATTCCTTTATAGCGTCGGAGATTGTATCTTTTGTAACTAAAATGGAGTCTATTTTGAATTGATCATTGAAGATAATGACTTTCTTGGGGACATAGTTTAGACGGTAAATGGTCCATTTCTCTTGGGCCTCAATTTTGCAGTCTCCGATTGCGGATGATATAATGGCTTTCTGTTTTTCAAGGGCTAATAGATTGGCTGTTGAGCTGGTGCAGAGAGCGAAGCCTGTTTTGACCTCTTGGACCTCCCTTAAGAGGGAGGCGTTTGGTCCGAGGACTTTCTTTAGGGCTGTGAGGATTGCAAAAGATCCAGCGCTTCAAGCTGGGTGCATTTGGTTGATTCGTACAAATAAGCGGTTATCGGAGGGAGTCTTGTTTGTGAGGGCAATGATTGGAGTAGAGGCTTTCTGAATGTAGGAGGGCTTGGGGCCTATAGGCATTGTGGGTGTACTTGTGTGAGTGGTGGTCGGGGGGGAAGGAGGGGAAAGGGGGGTGACAGGCGGAGTAGTAGCTCCCCTAGGGGGGGGATGACCAGTAACAAAGGCGTCGAAGTGCTGTTCGATGGTTGCCTTAAACTCAAGGCAAAGGGAGGTGAGGAGTTTTCGTGAACTCGGTGGGAGAGCGCGGACTTCCTCAGAGCCTAGGTAGGTATCTAGGAGTTGGGTAACTGGGTTGAAGATGGATTGAGCATCGTTGACCTTATTGAGAAGGTTGCTGGCCTTGTCGGAAAGTGTTTTAGAGAGGTTTGGGGGGCTTGGGGTAGCCATCGTTTTTAAACAAGAGTAGAGATTGATTGATTGATTGTGTTTATCGTCATAGGCCGTAGGCCCACGTGCCTTGGCGCGTGATAACCTTAGCCATCTATTCCAGTTTTGGACAAATGACGCTCAGAGGAGAAGCCTCTGAGTGGTTTACTAGCTAGCTAGGGGGAGTATTTATATACAATTTAAAGGGGGCTAGGGCAGGGTTTACATGATTGCCTTCGCAGGGGGGGTTTGGGCCGGTAGGCCTTTTGGGGTTGTAATTGTGGTCATCCTCGTCCATTAGATCACTGGCTCTTGATCTCTCTCCCTTCCCCTCATACTATTAAAACATTGTACTCGAAAACCCTTCATCCCTGATCCCCTTCCCGATACCATCAATCCAATTACTCCTTATATACCAGAACGTACTGTAATCGCCCACCGTCAGGATTGCCTCGTCCTCATTCTGATCATTCTGCCAATAGAAAGCTTATGAAGGAGCACCAATCCTCATATAGCGTAACTATAGCATGCACAGGTAGTGGCTTGTACGGGTGTCCCGATTCCGTAAGTAGCATACCTCCGCTGAATGAGAGCAAAGTAAGTTTCGTCATCAGCTCAGGTCCTTCAACAGTACTCCTCCGGTGTTCCCGTATGGAAGGTATATAAATTGTTGTCGTTTCAGTCGTGTCGATCATGGGAGGTATACAGTATATAACATATACGCGTCAAAGATGTCGAGTTGTACTATATGTTCCAGAGGAGTCTCACTTTTAAGAAGTGAGATGATTTCGTGGCGTATTGTCGTAGATGATGGTGTTGTCCTCTGTTTCGTAATAAAGGTAGTGTTGTAGAGAGCGCATTTCGATAATGCAACTGTCAAAAAACCGCAAACGGGTAAAAACGTCGTGATCGGGCGCCTCTTCCTCTTCCAATTACCACGACTCCATCAAATAACTCAAACTTAGCTCTGCAGACTCTCATAAGAGAGCTGGAGGTTCGTAGGATGCACCGCGTACAGGTGTTGAGTCTTCGCATCCCAAACAAGAGTAGAGAGTTTTCCTATGATTAAATACAAACGGGGCATGCCACGTGACCCGGAGGTGTGAGGCGTCACAATAATTGTGACGGAAAAGTCGTAAACGGAGTCAATTCAATCACTTAGAATCTAAAACTAAAGAACTAAGAAGATTCTAAGTAAGAAGGTCTTTATATACAGGGCTAGTGCACGTGAGCCACTAGTGGGTAACAACCGTCACGTAACAATAATTTAAAATAAATTATTATTTTATTGTAACGATACTGTACTAAAGGCAGCGGCTGCCTAAGGTTTCGTCTGGTTGGTAGTTGTGGGTTAAGGCTTTATCACTGGTCTTCACTTGGAAGTGAAGTCGTTACTAGATCAAGTAGAATGTAGGTAAACTAATTGATAACTAAGTTGAGCACGAAGCTCCTAAACTATAAAACTATCCTAACTATATACTCGTCGTTTCCTTCAATGCTAGCTATGCTAGCTGGCTAGCAGAGCTAGCATGTTACGTGATTTCCTATTGGCCTCAGGACACTAATCCTGGGACAATTCGTCTCCTGGGATAATATAGCTCCTAGGATAATTGTCCTGGGACAAATACTATCCTAGGACATTCTATCCCAGGACGAATAACGTCCTAGGACACTTGTCCTAAACCTACATAGTTGCCTAATCGTTTTGTCCTAGGATTCCTTATCGATAAGGACCCCTTCGGAAACAGCGGCCAAAACCGCCGTACTTGCTTTTATTGTATTATAATAACCGTGATTCGTGACAGGCTGATTGGTCATATGCATGTGGAGTTTGCGGCTCTCATACTCTGTAGATCTTTTCTCTAGGTAGTTAGATATTCATCACCTCCCTAGGTACCTATCTATAATAGCTACCTGGAGTTTTCACAGTCTTACCTTGATAATTTCGAATCCATAAGCCTTGAGGTTAAGATTAACAGGGCGACTGGATTCTCGATTATTTTTTCTTGATCGAGTAACCTACCTAGTAGTCTTTCAAACACTCGATAGAACTACCTACTACCTAGTAGTTCTACAACAAATCACGAATATCAAAAAAGATAGATTATTCGGGTACGTATACTCCGTATATAACTTAATGGGAATACAATGTTAACCTCCTCCAAAATAGCAGATTAATTAATATCCAATACCTGTCTCTATCACACCACTTTTATTTCCATTTTCGTTTTCATTGCCATTACTCACATACTCCCATCTAAACTAGCCCTCTTAATCTAAACTAGAAATTCCCACCTTTTACTAAATGATATCTATCTTCACATACATACATACCTACATATACATATACATCAAAACCAATCATACATATACACATACAAACCAATCACATCACCGGTGTATATCATCTATACTATATTATGCCGTGCCCGCTCCCCGCCAATATAGCAGTGTCATCTTCTGTCGAGTTCAAAACCACAGCATGAATACTAACCTAACTAGACAGTTAAGCCGAGAACATGTGAATGTGCATATGCCAATACCTACCTAGTGTGTAATCGTATGATACTATATATTGGAGTATTTGTATTTCTTACCATACATTTATTCGCTTCCCGCATAGAGATGCGGCTCAAAATGCCTAAAATAGTAAGATGATAATCAAGGAGGCTTGAAAAAAGGGTTCAATTTATTGGTCGCAATGTAAGAATCGTATTAGTTAGGTGGTATTTAAGTACATGTTAAGCTTGACACTTGGCCTTTTATCCGTCAATTCTCACTCCCATGCTCCTGTTCTTAAAGCCTCGGTCTGTTGCTGACCATGCCATTGTTTCAATAAACAATGCTACCTTTGTAACTTCACTGTCTATATCCGCAGTTCAAAAGGATCCTCGAGTATATTATGATGATTCAAAAGTTTTGCCATATAAGGGGTATCGATAAGAGTTATTGTTCTCAGACTTCTGGTTCTAATTGACTTTGACATAGTTTCCTGAATATTGGATTAGATTGACCGATGAGAATTGTGAGTTATGCAGAAAATACTTACCAGGGAATTGACCTTGTTTTCCATGAATCTTTCCAATCCACCATTCATTCTCATTGCTCGTTCTTGTCACAATCTCAATGATCTCTCCGGCAGCGAAGCTCAGATCCCCCTCAGCTTGTGCCTCATAATCATACAATGCGGTAGCAGTCTCCGCAGCTGGTGCTCCGCTGAGCCTCGATGGCTTTGGCTTTGGCGGTGGAGGTGCCGCCTTTTTCGCTTTCGCAGCAGCTCCCCACGAACTACCCGTCGACGCCGATCGCATCACGCTGTTTCCAGGGTTGGTAGGAGATAACATAGAGGAGTAAGGTGGCGGTGGCTTCTCCGATGATTGAAAGTCAGTGGATGCGCGACGATTTGGAGTGGTAGTCAGTGCTGTAGATGTAGATGATGGCTTATTTTCAATAGCAAGACGGTTAGGTCCGCCGAGAGCAAGAGGTTTTGGTGGACGTTTGGCACCTGTCGTCTTGAACTTCACAATGGAAAGCGCTTCTGCCTGGTCTCGGATATCACCTCGTTTTGCCTCGAAACCTTCCTCGATATCGAGTTGAAGATTAAAATATCCAATATCACATCCTTGCATCCTCTCGTGTAGGGTATAAAAGACGTTAAGTTGCATATAGTAAAACGATTGGAACAGAGGTCGGATGAACTCGCGCTCCAAAGCAAAGAGCTTAGGTAACTCGTCCTTCAAAAGATCGTTATAATAATTGAACTCTTGAGTTGCTTGTTCAACATCATTCTCCGCCTTATACATGGCTTTCTCATCCTTTAGACTCTTCTCCTTCTTGTCTTGCAGTTTCTTAAGTGAAGCTCGATGTCTATCATAATCCAATTGCTTGTGTTGACGTTTTATCGCGGTCTTTCTTATAACCTTAATGACCTCTAATAATTCGTCGGCAGGTCGAATAACTCTGGTCTCAATCATTTCTAACTCTGGTTGTAAAGTTGCCAAGAGGTCCTTGCAAATTTCTTCGTATTCTTCACACGCCCTGATCCCCTCTGGATTCCCTTCTTGAACCAGGGAATCCGGATCCGACACCCTTCCAGAGATTGGTTTGTAAATTTCGGCGATCGCTTTAGAAAATTCGATCTGGTGGTTCATCATGCCGTTAATAGCTTCGAAGTATTTCTTACTCTCATCGTGCAGTTTTTTCGTCTCGCTTTCCAGCTCCTGGAATCGCCGTTCCGCGTCAATGTAAACAGCATCTTTCGTTTGTTCACCTAAATTGAACTTGGCTTTGAACGTTTGAGGCGCCTGTTACCTAGTCAGTCAAATGCTGCCGTGGACCCCGCCCTCCCGCTTGGTGATTTCCGTTGCTACTTACTCTGACCAGGGACTTTTGAAAGCCCTTGAAGGACATCTCCCAACCTTGACTTCAAAGTGACCAGAAAATGCCCAGTGAAAGATATTTGAATTTGGTATTAGAAGCTTTCTTCGCAAAGTTGTATGTGTATTGTGATCGTCGTAATGGTCAAAGAAAAGGGCAGCCTCTCATGGTATTTCAGGGTTGTTTTCCGTAGGACAGACGATGACGAAGGAGTGGCTGAGCAGATCTGTTCACGTTCCTCTCAGCCCCGATAGGTTGTGCTTTGGTATTTATGGTAAATGGTAAGCAGGATTTTCAGCTGATAAAAGCCGACGAAGCTCGTAATGCGATGCAAGCAGGTCAAAAATATAATATGTGAAGTGTGCGTGATATGTGAAGGTATTCCCAAGTTTAATAAGCAGAATGAAACTTGTTTTGGAGCGCATTCAATAGTCAAAAAGTTCATGAATGGAATTTATGGAATCGTCGGATCGTTTGCATCAACTCACATGGGTCCCTCAACAAGCATGAGCCTTATTGCCAGGCCAGGGTAACACGGAACGCACAACTAAGGTAAATTATGAAGTCATTTATGATTATTATGAAAGAAAACCTTTGGTGAACCCGCCACTTTGTAAAATGGTTAACTCCGCCGGTAGATTCATCCACCAAAACGAATATATTCTTGAATTTTGATTGGTTCTTGATGACAATATACCGAAATCATTCTCTTTAGCCTTAAATATTTGGCTAGGAATCTCTTTGGTCCGAATTCCGTTTCCGCTTCTGTCTACAAGGACAGCCAATCATATTTCATGTTCTTTTCAATTCTCGGTGATTCGCAGAAAGCACGGAGTTGTGATAAAGTCTAGTACAAAGAGAGTTTAGCTTTATTTGAGTCCGTTAGAATTTCAAATTCGAAAGGTCTGCCAAATAAGAACGTCAATGATCCCCTCTGTGGAATTGCCTTCCACTTTGATATCATCATATTTACTATCTAACATTCATCATAATGTCGAGTTTAGCTTCAACGTCGTTGAGGCAGGCCTCGCGCCTTTGCTTAAAGCAGTCGACCCCACCTGTTGGATTGGTGAGGGGTTCTGCGTTTGCTCGGGTGGCGTCTATATCAAATCAAAAAATATCAAGGAGGGGTTATGTTTCCGAGACGAAAAGAGACAGCGCTCAAGTTAATATTGATACTGCGATTCGATCAGAACAAAAGGCTTTCTTCAAAGAGACTGGCAAGCATGCTGAGGATCAATCTATATCAGGAACATCTGCAAATGCTGATGCGATGATGAGTCCTATCGCTGGTAATTACCCCTCGCATATATATTTTGGCACGTAAGGAAGCTTAGCTAATTTGTGTTTAGGTGTGCTTAAGCAAGCTACTGTCATGGACGAAGGCCAGAGACCAATTTACTTAGATATGCAAGCTACTACACCATTGGACCCACGAGTATTGGATAAAATGTTACCCTTCTATACCGGTCTATATGGCAATCCTCATTCGAGAACCCATCCTTATGGTTGGGAAGCTGACAGGGCGGTTGAAGAAGCAAGAGAACACATTGCTGCAGTGATTGGCGCTGATCCTAAAGAGATTATTTTCACCAGTGGAGCTACGGAGAGTAACAATATGAGTGTCAAAGGTGTGGCGAGGTTCTTTGGTAGAGCGGGGAAGAAGAAGCACATTATTACAACACAAACAGAGCACAAATGTGTACTGGATAGTTGTAGGCATTTGCAGGATGAAGGTTTCGATATTACATATCTGCCAGTGCAGCAAAACGGCTTAGTTGATATGGCTCAACTTGAAGCTGCCATTCGACCCGAGACAGCCCTTGTTAGTATTATGGCAGTTAACAACGAAATTGGTGTCATTCAACCACTAGAAGAAATAGGCAAGCTTTGCCGCTCGAAGAAGGTTTTCTTCCATACCGATGGTGCGCAAGCTGTTGGAAAGATTCCCTTGGACGTCAATGCGATGAACATTGATTTAATGTCAATTTCGTCTCATAAGATTTATGGACCAAAGGGTATCGGTGCATGCTATGTGCGCAGACGACCCAGGGTTAGGCTCGAGCCAATTATCAGTGGAGGTGGACAGGAGAGAGGTCTAAGAAGTGGTACTCTCGCGCCTGCATTAGTGGTCGGCTTCGGTGAAGCTTGCCGGATTGCAAATGAGGAAATGGATGTAAGTTCTAACATTTCTTCTCTATTTTTGCTTACATGATGACCTACTTTACATATGCATGGCTTTCCTAGTGACCTCCTTGCTTGCAAGTTGAGGCTTCTTTGACGACTCATAGTACCTTGTCTGAGTTTGCTGCTCAATCACTTGAATTTGTTTGGATATTGAAGTTGGGTTTCATGCTAACACTACAATAGTATGACCATACCCGTGTTAAGAAGCTGTCCGACAGACTACTCAAAGGTCTTCTCGCCATGGAGCACACCACTCAAAATGGCGACCCAGATCATTTCTACCCGGGATGTGTAAACGTCTCTTTTGCCTACGTCGAAGGAGAATCGCTCTTGATGGCATTAAAGGACATTGCACTATCATCCGGAAGTGCTTGTACCTCTGCTTCACTCGAACCCAGTTATGTTCTTCGGGCACTTGGTAGCAGTGATGAGAGTGCACACAGCAGTATCAGATTTGGTATTGGCCGTTTCACAACTGAGGCTGAGATTGATTACGTTTTGCAAGCTGTCGAAAACCGAGTCACATTCTTACGAGAGTTGAGTCCTCTTTGGGAGCTCGTGCAGGAAGGTATCGCATTGGACAGTATTGAGTGGAGTCAGCATTAGATTGCTGCTAAGAATCAAATGAAATATGGGCGGGCGTTGGCGTTTTGTGATATCCCTTCAGCGGGTCGGAGGCTTCCTGGGGGTGTACAATAGTGATTATTGGGCGAACATAGTACCCTATGTATACTGAGTAAATGATAATGAGTGCAACAACAGCATATCAAATTAAAGCACATCTCACTCTTTGAGACAAGTTCAGTATTTCTCTATCAATTTGAAATCCTGTTGTTGGTCTTGCATTTGTTGTTACAAGTTTAGGTGAAATAAGAATGTCTCGAGAAAATCATCACATTAATCATCCAGCTCAATTCCTTTCCCTCTCTTGCTCTAGGCATTTTAGCCGATCTACGTTTGAGCATATCCACAACCTAACGTCTCACCCCACCATAACCCCACTATCCCTCTCCACCTGTTTCTTCCAAAAATGAATCTTCTTCGATCTTCTTCGTTCTTGTCCAAAAGAAAAGGATAAAACAACTAAGTACCTTCCTTCCTTCTGCCGATTTTTACTCCTTTGCTCTGCTCGCTGGGTAAACAAGTAAAACATCGATCGATCCTCAAAATTTCAAGATTCATTTAATTAATCAATCCCCTACAAAAGCAAAAGCAAGAGCAAAATTGAAAGGAGAAAAAAAAGCAAAAGACATGAGGGCCTAATCCGGGATCGAACCGGAGACCTCTTACATTTCAGATTCGGAAACCCAAAGCAAGAATTCTACCACTGAACTTTGGGTTTGTTAGTGTTGCGATGTGGAGTGGAAGATTGGTGAGTATATCTTACCTATCAGGCCTGTTTGTTATGTTTGATGGGGATGGTGAAGTTTAGTTTGGTATATACATGAAATGGTCAAATTGTGCGGGTGTGGTGAGGTGGTGCTAGGCTAGCCATAGTGGGCCGGTCGTGTGTGTGTTGATGAATGTTAGTAATCGTTTAGTAATATCTCGGGGACTTCAAAATTTACATTTTTGCTGTAAATATTATTATCAGTTGAAATATTATCACGAGTCTACATTCGGGTGCTTCCTCTTAAGTTATACGCAGTCTTGATTCTAATTCTCCCGGTGTGGGTGGCTCGGATGTGGGATTTAGAAATCTGATTAATATCCTCTTTCATTTCTACCGATTCTTACTTAACCTTAGCTAGGAAGAACGATGCAATGTTACTTCTTTTTAAGCTTCATCTGAACCGAAGACTTTATCATATTCCTCCTGATTGGATATTGCATCTTTGATCTGATTACCGGACACCAGGTATTTGTTTTCGAAGGAGGAACCCAAGGGGTCATTACCTGAATGGGACTTGCCTTGACGATGAGCTTTCTGTCAGGATATTAATGACTCAATTTTCGTAAATGTAGATTTGGAAAATTGGCCCTCATGTATCGCTTCTTGTAAACCAATGTAACACTACCTTTTTTCTGTTTCTAAACCACTTTAATCACAATAACAATAATATCTGACTATGTCTTCAGTGATCTTTGCTTCCATTCATTTTTATCTCAGGGTGAGCTTTCCGTCTCAAAAAATTACAACCTTTAAGTAAGACTTCTATGACAGCCATATTGTCGATTTTCACCTGCTACCAAGAAGTGCCTGTTACGATGACATGAAATTGCTGTGCCCGGATGACTATCATGCTTTATTTACCTATCATTTATTGCATCATATTCAATCACATAGCTATGCTCACTTATTTGTTTCTCATTCTTCTGATATTACCATATATCGCATTATATTCAAATATATTGTTATGTGCACCCACTTGTTTGTCATTACTCGCAGTACATTCGTTCATCCATCTAGAGAACCTACCGCTGCCACAATATTGCGGATCTGCACCGTCATTGATAGACTGTGATGCTGTCCCAGCACAATTCTCTGTGGGAGCCTGGAGAAAGAGTTTACCGCTGTCTCCCTGCCGCTTTCAATTGACGCCCGGATTTACCTCCGTCTTGAATGGTGGGACTAGATGCTGCATGCGAGTGCTCGTGATTGCTTAGTAATCAGTCCTTCTCTGTCGTCTTGGAGGTGCACACACCCATTCTTATTTAGGGCCATCCAAGGGTCATGCCTGATCAAAGGATGGTATGACTGAGTACTTAATTGAGCAGAGGTAGATGCTCCGGATAATTGAGGACCAAATGCCTTGCGGAATTCTTGTCTCCATTCCCCACTGAGGAAGTCCGCCACTTTGAAAGAAAACGAAGCAGATTGAACTTGTGATATTGTATGTAGTCTGGCTCTCTTTAAGGCAACTACCAGCTCAGTACTTTTCAGTCCCTCTTCTGACCTTACCTCAGTCTTCGCGCGAGCTCACAACAGCTGCCGGAAGCACAAAAGCTTGTCTTCTAAATCCGTAACGAGATGAAAATTGGTGAGTCATGTAAGAATAATATTATGTGTTCCGTGAATGCCTTTCCCATATTTGACAGCCAGTCCGAAAGAACGAAGATTTGTGAGAGGGATATAGTAGCTAGTATATTAGCGGGGAGGAGAGGGTCAAAACTGACGTGCAGACAACAAAATGGCTTCAGCAACCTGAGAGTGTGGGGATTCAGGAAACCAAAGTGGTTCGTGGGATCGGGAAGACTTGACTGAAATGTACGTTTTCAAAGATGTTTATTCCCCCATCTATCTATAAATTCATGGGAGTAATTATTGTAAACGGGGGTTTGCTCGAAGTGCTGAGCTTGGTATGTGTCAACCACAAAGTACCGATGGACCAGTGATTATGATAGAGTATACCGGAGTACTTGCATTGGCAGTACTAACTGAGTTAGATTGAATTATACTTCCATGTTGCAACTATCAACCACATTGCTGCAGGACACCCAGCTCCATTTATGCCCTTCGATCCCAGGTATGCATCGGACCTTCCGTACACACAGGTGGCAAACTGTATTGATTTTGGCAGAATGATTAACATCAGAATCAAGTTCACTACTTGATTTTAAATGAACTGAAAACTGACAAAGAATCTGTACGATGCTGCCAACAAACAACAATCATGACCCGGATAATGGAAGAAGACAGCTCTGATAGATCTCCAGCTAGTCTTGTTAATTAGCCCTACTTTGACTAGAAGGACAGGTTTTGATCTTGAAACACGGAACACATATCAGATCCATTTTTGGGAGGAAATGTACGAAGTTGTTTCCCAGTCAACGGAAAGACAACGCATATAACAAAAATCACAGCACTAAACTAAATGCAAGAGAAAAAACTAGTACAATGACAACATTAACCGGAAACTTTAGCTCAAGGGGTACATAACCACGTGGACACGGCAGAGGTAGACATGCAACAACAAAGACAGATCAACTAAGAAAAAGTGAAGCTACCGGTATTGCTGCCCGTATAGTCATAACGGGATAACCCCTGTCCCTGTCACGACGTGCAACAAATGTCAATTGATAATGCTCTGTGGCGACATCAAAGAAACGTGGCAGCTATGTAATGAGAGCCTAATGTACGAGCGGCTTGAATAGATGTGCAACAAAGTGAGGAGAATTTTAACTGACAAGGTAAGGGAGCGGAGGTGGAACATTGCAATTGGTGAGGAGAGGTCCACTCGCTTGAGTATGAAGGGATATATGAGCGTCCCAATTTAGAAGATTCGGAAAAAAAGACACTGGGAAATACTGTACTTTGTGAAGGAATTATACCTCACCCTAGACATCTTTGGATCCCTTTTAAAAAGTTTTACCATGAAATTTTCATTATACACACTGGACAGATTTTCGTCTACCGATTACCCCTTGCACCAGCTGGGGCATCCGTCCTCCTCCTTCTCAATACAGTCCCCATTGCATCTCTAACTTCCGGATCAGACCTTATGGTGTTTTGTACAAGCCATTCTTTGACTTTCCCCTTTACATCCTCCATCGCACGTGGATCGTTGGCAAATGGGACCACTTCCATACCGTAAAGTCTAGAGGCATCGATTTCTGCAGCTTTTGCAACTTGTTCTAATCGATCAAGTTGCTGCTTCAATATGGTTTCTGGGTTTCCGTTCTGTGAAATAGCCGCAGGCGGCTGTAGTAATGGGCCAAGCTGGGAAAATGCAATAAATAATGTTAAACTCAGTTTTCGGGCGAGTTGAATCAGTTGAAATGGGAGGTATGGCGGATGTGATGTGAATCTTGTAAGGATCGGGTTTATGACATTCGTTGCGACAACTGGGAAATACGGGCGTGAAACCGTGTGCAATTCAAATACGCAAAGTATGATGAGGGTAATACAGCGCCAGTATTTGCCCCATTCTAGATATCCAGCAATACTGAAAGCGTACATAGCTATCCCAGCGACTGCATAATATGGCGCGATCAACTGCGTACCATGGGTAAGGTAGTCTCTGATCGATGAACAATGTTGCCAGGCTGTTATTTCTGGTCCAAATCTTTCGTATGCGAATCGTTTTGCAGGGTTGAGAAGGATGTCTTGGGCCAATTTGAGATGGACAAAGTGGCTCTCAGAGGAAGGAGAAGACGATGACACTTTATCGGGGTGATGAATGGCTGCTAGTCGCCGAAATCTCGATTTGATCTCTCGCTCAGTCGCCGAATGAGGGAGTCCCAGATCTTGGTAGAAGTCTCTAGCTTTGCGAACTTCCCAGTCGGCTTCGTATATTGTGTATAGGAGGTATGCGGATATGACTAGTATGTTGATGCGCCGCCTATGTAGGACCCATTTTGGAGAACCGGGCTGTGGTTTTGGATCGCCGACGCGTATTGTTAATCCATACCATATTGTCTGAACCCATCCTGTAACCAACTACAAAGCCGTATTAGAAAGATCATGTGTATTGTGGATTACATGTTCTCCAAGACTCACATTAGGGAGGAAAGACCAAGCAGCGACAGAAAGGAGATTATTGGTAGACATCTCTCAGAACTCTACCTCCTCCAATAGTGTATCTTCGAAAAGCGTATATCATCAACTCGCAAAAGAGAAAAGTTGGCCGGAAAAATATTCGTCAAATGTTCTTTGTACACTTTTGTATTGGAAATGTATCCCAATCGTGTAATATAAAGCCACTTATCCTTTGGGATCTGCTGCAAGGGCTTATCTTATCGAGACACGCTAGCGGCCGCACGAAAACTTTCGAAGTTCGGTGCTCGAAAAATTCAATGAATGACATTAAAAATCGATCATAACAGAATGTCAATTGAAATGCCTTCACAATCAACGACTGCCGGGACTTCTCCGAAAAAGCATAAGAGCAAGTCGGAAAAGAAGCATAAGTCAACAGATAGTGAGAAAAAGCGGAAACGAGAGAATGGGGAAGAAGGACATCGATCGAAGAAACACAGATCCGAAAAGACCGCACCAACTTCCTCGTCCACAGAAGCCACAGCAGAGGTGTCGCCATTTCATTTACAGACATCCTCCATTTTCTTACCTTTAGCGCCAGTTTCACAGAAGTTCCCTCTTGAGGGTTTATGCGCCGAGCACCTTTCTCCACTCATTCTCACATATTACCCGCCATTCAACGGAGTTATCCTTTCTTACAGCAATCCAAGATTCGCCGAAAAGGCGTTCGGAAATGATGGAGATTCGACTCTGCTACAAAATTTGGACGAATATGCGGTCAGTTGGGCTTGGGTGACCGCCGAGTTCTTACTTTTCAAGCCAGAGAAGGGAGCTTGGTTGGAAGGTTATATTAACTTACAAAGTGAAGGGCATCTGGGCTTAGTCTGCTGGAATCTTTTCAATGCGAGTATCGAGAGAACCAGATTACCCAAGGAATGGAAATGGATCGGTGTAGAGGACCAGGAGAAAAATGAGGAAGCTGAAGAAGGTGCGACATATGCTGAAGATGGCATTGGGTATTATGTGGACGGAGAGGGCAAGAAGATTGAGGGTACCGTGAAATTTCGAGTCAAGGAGATTGAATCGAATCATGACAAGGAACGCGGTTTCTTGACGATTGACGGAACAATGTTAGATGAGGAGGCAGAGGTGCGATTGCTGGAAACCGAGCAGGACAAGGTTGGAAGTAGAGACAGTGCTGGTAGACGTCTTGGTGGTGCAAAAGCTCTTGGTGCAACTAGTTTAGGAGTAACCGTGGAGCCCTCCGCTACGGAAGTGGACATAGGGAAGAAGCACAGACGGAGAGATTGAGGTGTTATATGAGTTTTACACGGCGTTCACGGATACCAGGGTTCTGAATAATGATCATTATTTTAGCTAAAATTGTCTTGTATTGCACTGTACGGTTCGCCCCTACACAAGCCCTAAAGCCTGTAGAGTATGAAGTAACTTTTTTTATCAAATAGCTTGAAGAGTCCAGCAAGGGAAGTTGGAAAGATTCCTCATGTACCTAGCCTCCTGCATCATCAAGCTCATCTAAGAGAAAAGCCCCAGAACATACCTAGTATGTACTGACACGTGATTTCGCATATTTATTTTTTTTATTTTCTGGGGAAGTCGCGAAAGTATTTCGCGTCAAAGGCTGGACCTCTTTCCCCACTGCTCCTCTGCCTATCTCCTAGGAGCGTCAAACGAGTCGATTTTACATTCCTCATCGCCAACATGAGGTTGCGATTAAATGTGCGTAGGTACAATCTTCCTGACTGTCCCATTATCTGGAATGTCAATACCTCAACATCTACGCCCACAGTATCAGAATTGCTAGATCAAATTAATGATGTAATTCCCATCGAATCTACGGAATGGGGGATGGAAGATTATGCTGTTGAGGTGAAGGGAAAAGAAGGCGTTAACTATGAATGTTTACACTTTCAGCCTGTGGGCAAAGTAATGAAGGAAGAAGATGAAGTAATGTAAGTTTGGTCTGGCATTTAATACGCGTTTGCGAAAAATATATTCTAATGCCCATCTTTAGCATACGCCCGCTTCTTACCCATGATCTGCGAGTGCGAAAGATATCTGGAAGGCATCAAATTTCATCTGATGGGAGACACTTGATCGATGGTGCCGCATTTGGGAGGCCTATGTTAAGGAGACCAGCAAACCGTCCACCAATAGATATCCCACCTCGCAAGCGCCGCAGAATCACGTTCGATGAGGAGGACGAAGAGAATGAAGATTTGTTTACCACAGACGCGGCGGATGCTGAACCAGCACCCAAACGAATTGCCTTGCTATCAAACCTTGATGAAGACGAGAATGACGAAGATGACGATGATGACGATGATTTTGAGCCAGATGGAGACGATGATGAGCACGAAGAAGAAAGCGATGAGGATACTGTAAATACAGACAATCGACAATTAGTTATTCATGCAGATTTTGAGGATGACGATGAAGAGAGCGATGCGGGGGCTGAGAATAGGAGCAATCAACAACTTGTTCTGCATGCAGATTTTGAAGATGCTGGAGAAGAAGAAGAAGAAGATTTTGAGCCAGATTTTGAGGAGGGGGATTCAGAGGAGTCCGAGGGGTTTGAGGGTTTTCAAGATGATCAGCCGACCTCGAGCGCTCCCGACAATGGCTTGGAAAAGCCAGGCAAGGTTGACGAGCTATCTACTGCCGATCAAGCTGTTCTTTCAAATGTGAAGAACGCATCAACAAAGGCGAAGATATGTAAATTACACACGGCTTTTCCCAAAGCCTCAATTGCCGTTGTCAAATTTGTTCTAGAAGGATCTGACGAAGATATATCTCAGGCGTTTGAGGCTTTAGCTCGAGGATACGTTCCTGCCCAGTCGAAGAACTCCATTTTGCAAATGTCTTCTAGTCATTCCAAATCTCCGCAGTCGTCGTCTAAGGAACGAGTTTCTAAGAGCGGCAAAACAGGAATTGCCTCTAAACAGAGTTATCCTGCATCAGCCAACGCGATGGATTTAGACGATGAGGAATCTGGCTCCGAGGAGGAGGAAGATGCATTGCTTTCACACTACGACCAGCACGGTTTGCCGCCGGGGTCAATCAAGTCCGGCAAAGCATTGTCTTACATGGCTGAAGCTATGGACGGCTCTCACAATGTCAAGTCAAAACTTACAAAGTTTGAAACTGGTTCCAACAGTAAAACTACATATACCAGTAATGGCAGAAGAACCATTCCCAATAATAAGACTGTTTCTGACATTGAGAAGGGTGCCAAATCGGTCAAGGGAGGTTTGAGCAGTGGCCTTACATCCACACCAGCGATAGATCTCAAGTCAAACGATGATGAAATCACTATCGATAGTGACGATTCGTCACATTCCTCTTCCGAAGCCGAATCAAGTAGTTCTGATAGTAGCAGTAGTGATGATTCAACTAGTGCAGACGATTCCAGTGAAGCTGTTGACGCATCATCATCATCGTCATCCGATAGTGATAGTGATAGCGATAGTGATTCTTCGAGCGATTCCTCCAGTGACGATGGAGCACCTGAAGTCAAATCGAGTAAATTAGCTGTGCCAGAGTTAAAGACCACCAACTCAAAGCCTAACCCGTCTAGCAACGTAGTTCCTCCGAAATCCCGAACGCCAGTGCCTCCTAGGCAGGGTAAAAAAGCGACGCAATCCAGAAATCAACGCCGCAAACAAGGTATCACGCTTGCTAAACTTAAAGAGCGAGGTATCCTTCCGGAGGACACCACAGCATCAGAACTCAAACGGCTGGAGGTTAATGAAAGCACTTCTGCCGAGGATGCATTTGCTGCACTCGCAGTCTTGAGAACCAATACCAAATCCGCCAAAATTGAGAATGGAACAAGGAAGGCACTCTCAGAAGCCGATGAGTTTGACGCTCGTAGACGTGAGTTGCTGGCATCTCTTGCATCCGGTGGTATTGAGGTGTCTCCGAGAAGTGGCAAGGCTGTGGTTGATATCATGGATGTTGATATTCCGAAAATGGTTAGCGACGCTCCCAGGACTGCCAAATATACGCAAAAGGAGCCTGGTGGAGATTCCATTGTAGCTGAGGTGCCTCCGCAAGAGAATTCTAACCCTACGCCAACAAGTGCAGATCAACCGGCGGCTTCAAGACGATCAAAGCTAGACGTAGGTGCTGGCCGTCGATTATTATTTGGGGCACTTGGTATGAAGAACCCCAAGACGAAGAAAGATGAGGACAAGCTTCGTAGTGACTTGATGAAAGACGTTCGAGTTTCGAAAACTATTAATACACCCGAAGAGCCTTCAATCCAACAGACTGAAACTGCCGATGTTGATGATTCATGGAGAGATAAGATTGTCTATCGAGCAGTCGAATGTTGTCAAGAAGGTATTGTATTAAGTGAACCTCCATTTCCATTCGTTCAACGATGGGATCCCCAGCAGCAAAACTATAGAGGTGGCAAGAGGAAGAACCAAGGTCAGGCGTACAATGAAGAGCCTCAAGGTTCAAAAAAGCAAAAGCGACGCAAGGGAAAGCAAAACTACGCTGAAGAACAAGAGGAGTACTTTGATGAATCTTACCAGCAAAGCTATGAGGAAGATGCCATGGAGACACAATCGACAGAACCACCAGCAAGACAAGTTGAAAGTGTGGAACACAGGCCTGATACAGGAGATCTTATTCAAGAAACCCCTGATCTGGTCGAACTTCCAGAAGATCCAACTACCTTACCAGACCTTGAAGCGAATGCGGTCCAGTCAGGAATGATAATTGCCTTCAAGCAAATGCTCATGGACGAATCCACAAAATGGCAGCCACAAATTTCAGCTTATCGCACGGCCTCTGTTCTTTCAGTCGACGACAACGGTAATATCTCAGTTTCCTTGGCAAGAAGAGACAGAAATCACCCTGTGAAGCATTACGATGAGAATGGACAGAGAATTTGGGGCAAGTTTGAAATGCCCGATGAGGAAGAAGAAGAGGAAGAGGACGATGGAGAGATGGCCGTCACCTTCAACGAGCTTGTCGAGCCCAAGATTGTCGAGCCTGCTCCAGTAAGCCTGTCGACAGAAATTTCCAAGTCTGGCATGACGACTGATGAATCAGTGACCTTAAACGAAAAAGCAGATGAAATACAGTGCTCTCATGTGACTGAGACGCAATATTTTGACACAGACCCACCTGCATCTGCCGAAACTGTGGACGTAATCAGTACGCCACGTAACTCGAAGTTAGAGTATCTGCAAGCTGAAGCATTACCGGAATCGATCACAGATAGTGCTAAAGAAGATATCTCAAATCTTATCAAAGAGGCTGGTTTCCGCTCTAATGTGCCCTCCTCCGTAGTTCGAGACTTTGCTCCTAACGGCCTGGAAAGGCGTGAAGATGCGCCAACGCTCGATGAAATGAGGACGGAAATAATGGCAGATATTGACGACACTTCATTTTCACCAAAGTTCAATGGCTTTGGCTTGAGTTCACCGGCTCGACAACGGCAAGCTACAACTTCCCCGGACAGGCAACAATCGAGTTGGCACACTGTAGATTCTCAAGAACCTTCAAGCGCTCCAGCTCAGAATAAACCAGAAATGATTGAAAATCAAGAATCTGGAACAACTTTACGGAAGGACCGGTCGAAAAATATGATACAAGTAACCTCCAACGTACCAGGCATTCATACCAAGCCACCCACCAAGAGAATCAACGTTGATAAGGCTCAGGCGCAATGGGAAGCCCTTCAGCCACGAAGAAAGGCTACCAGTCCAGTTGAGACAGACCTAACACTTGATACGATCGAGGTAGATTGCGGAGTGGCGAATCCAAAATTGTCGGGGCAATCATCTTTCACGAGTTTGGTCGCCGACCATGGACGGCAACCAGATTTCAGTTTTGAGAATATGCGACGCCAGGAACTTCATGATTATAGAACAGACGGCATGGCAATGGATATAGACACACACGATGGCGATGTATCTGAAGATGAGCCTGAACTTCCTCCACGCCGAGTCAATGCATCTAATATGCCCGTTGAGAACAACAATATGGTTGAGCCCTCATCGGAAGATTTTCCAACTGTTGAAGAAATGCTGAGTCAACCTTCTCAACCCTTGACGAAGCATGGGAAGAGTGCTCCACAGCCCTCATCAAAGAATCCTCGAGCTGCTGTTGAGAAGGATAGAAAGATTTTGGCAGCATTCGATGATACACAGTCTTCAGCAACCAAAGCCGGTGAGAAGAGGAAGAAAGTTTTAGCAGCATTTGATGATTCGGATACGGATTCAGATATGGCACAGATTAAATCTGAGGTTGAATGGAAGAAGGAGGCTGAGATGAAACCAAAGAAGGTCATGGCCGCATTTGATACTTCTGATGAAGAGGATCAGATTACGCCTAAAGCTTCCAAACCTACCAAGTCTCAACATGAAACTTCCAACGTACCTCAAAGCTCCCAAGTCGTTATGGACCTGACCCTTTCAAGCGATATCGAGCCTGAACAGGAGAAGGAGAAATCAGGGGCCAATCACTCCGACGGAGACGACGATTTTCAGGTTGGATGGGGACCAAAGACGAAAAGTAATCTGACGGGATTGAAGAGACAGGGGAGCAATAACTTGGGAGGCACAACAAACGCTTCTTTAAACACCAAAGCTTCCAAAAGAAGATTTTGAGCATTTAGGCTTATAAAAGTCAAGTCCGGATTGTATTGCAAGGAAATGTACTTCTGATTGACAAGCGTTGCTTGTAAAACGAATAGTAGCTAGGTAGTGAGTGTGTGCCACTTAGCGGATTAGAATAGCAAGATACAACAGGCAGCCACAAAAATTAATATGATTACAGATAACCATTCACAAACTATGCTTTCACATTTTTCAACCATGAGAGGTTTTGTCTGCGCCGGATTCGATTCTTATTTACAGCTGAATAGTGGTGGTGATGGGTGCTTTTGTGTTAACCATTCATCTTCAATCCCTCCCTATCGATCTTCATTATCAACCTCCGCAACACTACAGGCGGTCCTTCTCGATCTTTCTTTCCTTTTATTTAACCTTGTAAGACGAGTCACCTCATAATGTTTTTCATGTTCCCCGTTTCGATGTGTAGAGTTCTTCATGTTTCGTTTCATCTCATCCTTGCAGTTATTAGATGTTAATTAAGTCATTCGTTTAGCGAGCCTTCAGCCAAGGGCACTGTATTGGCTTTCGATCATTCAAGAGTGATTCTTGATTTTGAACGGAGTTCAGGATTTCCTTCTAGGATTTCCTTCTAGAATTTTTTTTATATTCTACCAGCATCCATTCATTCCTATGCCATGCTTTTTTCTTGATTTCAAAAGGAAACTTTTATCTAGCGATGGATTATGTCACACTCAAGAATACTGGGTAAAGTATCTTGTATTAGAAAATACTAAGCTAAGGAGAAAAGAAGAAGGAAAACAAGAGTAGAGAGTTTTCCTATGATTAAATACAAACGGGGCATGCCACGTGACCCGGAGGTGTGAGGCGTCACAGATTAATTTGTAAGTGCGAGTCGGGCGGGATCTTTTTGCTTATGTTGAGTTGATATAATCTCATATGCCTATATATTTATTACTATGAAAATTCACTTCTTTTCATTCAAGATATCTTCTTGGTTACTTTTGAATATACTTGGTATACTCTAGTATATAAGTCTAGTACCCTACTTTCCGACCACCCCCTAATTCCGGCCATTTTTTACACCAAAAATCGTGATTTTTAACTATTAATAACTTTATAATTAATAAATATAATTTTTTGAAATTTTAATTATGAATTTATTATATAGATATTAGTAAATTCCAAAAATTTCGGATTTTTCGTGATTTTATTGATTGAAAAATTGAAAGTTGAAATTACGATTTTTCGATTTGTATATGTAACGATACTGTACCGGAGGCAGCGGCTGCCTGAGGTTTCGTCTGATTGGTAGTTGTGGGTTAAGGCTTTATCACTAGTCTTCACTTGGAAGTGAAGTCGTTACTAGATCAAGTAGAATGTAGGTAAACTAATTGATAACTAAGTTGAGCACGAAGCTCCTAAACTATGAAACTACTCTGACTATATACTGAACAATAAAGGGGGCCCCTAAAAGCTTTCTGGCTCCTCAAGACTCCTTATCACGCGATTTCTGATGGTGCGTGCGCATACGATCTTCAGGTGACCAAGATCACATACTAATTCGATGAAATCTGATCGTGTTTGCACACGGCCTAAGCTCTCCTAATTAATCAGTTTGCTACCATCGTAACACCATCAATCCTAATGGTGAATCGTGACACTATTCCCCTCTTAGCCAAGCGTCGTCCCGATCGCTTATAACATCGTCGATTCTCCCCACATGATATGTACGATCCATTCATGCTTTAGGGAGCATGATTGGGAGAGACTTGATCGGCAGGTTGATAAGTTAAATGCTGAAATTGCTGAATCATCTGCCAAGACTGCTCGTCTAGTTAAGCAGAAGGCTCAGCTCAAAAACGACGTGATGAAATGTTACGTTGTGGGCTCCAATATCTTGATGAGCTCGATACTCTTGAAGAGAAAGAAAGAAAAGAGAAGGAAAAGGAATTTGCTGCGTCCTCGGCGCCTGTTGCTCCCTCCAACCCCTTTGGTCAATTTGGTCAATTTGGTCAATTTGGTCGATTTGGTCAATTTGGTCAATTTGGTCAATTTGGTCAATTTGGTCAATTAGAACAAACTGGTCCTTCCGACCTTCCTACGACTGGTTTCGACTCTTTCGACCCTTCTTTACTGAGTGCGATGAATTCTCCTTCCGTGCAGGCCGCGTTGAACCCCCCTTCTTTCTGGGCAAATTCGGATTCTGTCGGCGAAACTCCTCAAACTTCTCAAGGTGCTTGAGGTCTTTTTCCAGTTCCCACGTGTTCTCGGAGTCCGGGTAATCTTCCCATTTCACCAAATATTTGACCTTGCCTCTAATATATTTGCAATCTAGTATATTCTCCACCTCGTACTCGGCGTTCTGGTCTGTGGATATGATTTCTGTTTCAGGGGCTTTAGGTGCCCCTGGTGGTGCTAGTTCGAGCAAGGATATATGGAATACTGGATGGATGTTCATATTCTTTGGTAGCGCCAATTCATAATTCAAGGGTCCTTTAACTTTCTTGATTTTGAATGGTCCTAGTTTTTTATGGTCCAGTTTCGCACTTGGTCTCTTAGTTTCGATATTCTTTCGAAGTAAATAGACTTTATCCCCCTCTTTTAGCGTTGGCTCCTGACTACGCTTTTTGTTGTAGTAATGAGCGTTCCTTTCAGCAACGAACTTAAGTTCGGCTGCGAGTTCCTTGTGAACTTCTTTGAGTCTCTCTGTTTGTACCATGGCGGATTGGTTTTCTACTTCTGGAATGCCAGGTTCTCGATATGCGACCAGTTCGTACCCAAAGTTGGCGTAGTTCGGGGTGACTTGTGTTGTTTCTGAAGCGGAACTATTGTATGCGAATTGTGCTAAGGGTAGTAGTCCTACCCAGTTGTTCTGTTGGTAATTCACATAGCAGCGAAGGTAAGCTTCAACAACCTGGTTTACTCTTTCATTTCCTCCATTTGTTTGTGGGTGGAATGCTGTAGACATTTTCCTTTTTACGCCTAGTAGTGCTACTAAGGCGGACCAGAATTTTGATGTGAAGAGTTTATCCCTATCTGAGAGTATCTCCTCTGGTAATCCATGTACTGCAATGACCTCTTTAAGGAATATAGCTGCTAGGGTTTCTGCAGTTAAAGTGGTTTTGCATGGTACTAATATCATGTATTTGGTTAACCGGTCTATGATAACTAGAAGGTAATCGTATTCTACTCCTGTCGTTGGATCCTTGGATTTAGGTAATGGTCCTATGAAATCCCATGATATTGATTTCCATGGTGATGGTGGTATTTCGGTTGTGTGCATCTGTCCGTAGGGGGCATGGTGGGAAGCCTTGTTCCTAATACAGGTATCACACTCGGTGACCACTTTATTGACCATGGTTCGGAGTCCCGGACTCCAATACTGTCTTTTAATTCTTAAGTACGTCCTTCGTACTCCTTGATGTCCATGAGCTGGCAACGCATGCTGCTCCTCGATGAATTCGGGAGCAATGCTACTTGGTAGCCATATTTTCCCTACTACTCGTATCAATCCGTCAACGGTCACTGGCGGCTCAGGCCATTTGACACCTTCCTTGTTCTGTTGTGCCCTTATGAGTTTGTTTCTCCAGACTTCCGTTGGTTTATTTTCTAAAACGGCGATTTCCGTTAGATTCGGAACGAGATCCCCATTTGGTAATGCCTTCAGGATTGCCGTCTCTTGGTAGGTCTTATCATCCTCGTAACCTGGTGGCCTACTCAGCGCGTCTGCTCTTGCATTATCTTTGCCTTTGACATGCTTGATTATCAAATCAAAACTGGCCAATTCCTCAGCCCATCGAGCTAATCTACGATTATCCAGGACCTTAGTGGTAGTAAAGGTTCGTAGGTTCATGTGATCAGTGTGGATGATTACTGGGAATTTAGCCCCTTGGAGGTAGATCCTCCAATGTTTCAGTGACTTGACTATAGCCATAAGTTCCTTCTCATAGATGTTGTAATTTTGTTCTGTTTTATCCATTTTGCTAGAATAATAAGCGACTGGGTGCAGTTTCCCGTTGTCGTCTCTCTGGAGATGGACTCCTGCTACACAGGTATCGGAGGCATCCGTCTCGATGATACTCTCCCGATCGTCATGATAGTTATACAATATGGGTTCCCTGGTGAATCTATCCTTGATTTCTTGGAAGGCTTGCTCCGCCTTCTCATTCCAAACGAATCCCACACCTTTTTTTGTCATCTCCGTAAGTGGTTCTACCATTTTGGAAAAGTCTTTGATGAATACTCGACAAAAGTTGGCGAACCCTAGTATGGTTTGTACATCCTTGACGTTTCTAGGTCGTTCCCAATTCTTTACTTTCTCAGTTTTCTCCGGATCTATGCTCATTTGTCCTGGTTCTATGACATATCCTAGAAAGGTTACCTTTTTGACACTAAACTCGCATTTCGATAACTTGAGTCGTGAATCGACCTTCCTAAATGCCTCGAGTACCTTAATGACATGTCCTTCATGCTCCTCCACCTTCTGGGAGAAGATTAGGATATCATCCAAGTAACAGATTACGAATGAGCTAAATTCTTTGAGTATTTCGTTGTTCTGTCGTTGGCATGTGGCAGGTGCATTTGTTAGTCCGAACGGCATAACAGTATATTCCCATAGCCCGGAAGGTAGTATGAAGGCGGTCTTCCATTCATGCCCTTCCTTGATTCGTATCAAATTGAAAGCATTTCTCTGGTCCAATTTAGTGTAAATCACTGCCTTGCTCAATTTATCCCTTAACTCTTGAGCTTTGGGTATTGGGTACACATCCCTGATGGTCCCATCGTTCACTCGGCGGTAGTCTCCGCAAGGTCGACCATTCGGATCTCCCTTTTTGAATGCTAATAATACGTTGGCTGCGCAAGGGGACTTGGATTTCCTAATCCATCCTTTCTTTTCAGCTTTAGATCTGTATTCTTCCCATACTCTCAGAGTACTGGGGTTATGTGGTCTCAACTTCTCAGCCGGGGGTACGAATCCCTCTTTGAAGTTGATCTCATGATCCTAAGGTTTATGTTCTGGCAGGGCTCTCAAATCCTGCGGGTCTTCGAACAGCTTGGCGAACTTTCTGTACTGCACTGGAATCTCTTTTGCATCGGTCTCGCCGACCAGTGGAGGATCCGTGGCTGCCATAGCACGGTATCCGGCCTCCCCAGAAGTCTGTTCCTTCGGGCCATATAGTCATTCGTTCTTGCATCTGCAACGATCGAATGTAAGGGTATCCTTTACCCAATCAATGTTTGGATTATGCCTCTTAATCCAAGGGGTTCCTAGGACAATTGCATGTCTGCCCAACGGTACTAAGTCCATTTTGACTTGCTCGGTATGTCCTCCTGGCATGATCATTTTGATGACGCTAGTTTGTCTACGTACCCAGCCATCTACTCCGACCTTCTTGCCTCCCAACAGCGTCAGCTGGTAGGGGTGCTCCTTTGGCTCGGTGGGGATCCCATTCTCTTTGGCAAAGTCGGGATCCATAAATATTCCCATAGCTCCTGAATCGATCAGGGCCTTGACTTCCTGGTTCTCCAGGTTGACTTCTATGATTAATTGTCCAATCTCTCGGAAGCTACCCTCTAGGGAACCCGCTTCTCGGGATCCCAGTTTCTTGGTTCCAAATCTTACTTGTTTCTTGCCCTTCGCGGCGAAAGGCTTTTTCTGGGAACAATCCCTAGACATATGTCCGCTTTTCCCACAGGTGAAGCATAGATTGTTTTCCCTGCGTCTCTTTTTCTCTTCAACGCTAAGTCCATTTGGTTTTTGGTGGCGTTCAGCTCCGTCCAATTCCATTGGATCGCCGGCATCATCGTATCTGTTCTGGCGCTGATGTTTTGGAAACTTTCTACTTTCTTGAGTGATTCCCTTCTTCTCCATTCGTCGTTCATAAAAACGATTGTCAATTAGGATGGAGGTCTCGATTAACTCGGAAAGGTTTGGCGGTTTCGGAGCTCTAGCTAGCTCGTCCTTGATGATATCCTTGAGTCCCTCATAGAACTGGGATCTAAGGTAGTCATCATCCCATGTAATACGCCCGGCGTATTGTTGGAATTTAGCAGTGTAGGCTGTAACTGACCCTGTCTGCTTAAGTTGTCGTAATGCTCTCTCAGCCATGTGATCGGGGTCAACTTCCCCGAAAGCCCTGTCGAATCCTTGTCGGAATGACTCGTAAGTATTGAAGAGGCGGCGTGTCTCAGGTTTCATGTTCTCGTTGAGTTGTCCGTCGGTTGTCTTGGTCATAAGGTCATTGAAGAAGGGTTCGATCCAATTGAACGCAGTTCCTCGGAAGAACGAGATTAACCACAAGATCCTTTGCATTTGTGTCAAGAAAAGGTGTCCATTGAAAGCGTAGTAGAGATCAGCTTGTGCGACAAAAGCTCGATGCTTGCTACGATCTCCGTGGAACAAGTCAGGGGTGGATACCTGGATTGCTCGTCTCGGCTCCATGGTGGCGGCGGCCTGCTCTGGGGCCCCAATGGAAATGAAGGAAACTGGTTCGGTGGGTTGCTGACTGGAGTCCATCGTAATTGATATAGCTTAACCGTAACGGTGCTCAAAGTGTAACGATACTGTACCGGAGGCAGCGGCTGCCTGAGGTTTCGTCTGATTGGTAGTTGTGGGTTAAGGCTTTATCACTAGTCTTCACTTGGAAGTGAAGTCGTTACTAGATCAAGTAGAATGTAGGTAAACTAATTGATAACTAAGTTGAGCACGAAGCTCCTAAACTATGAAACTACTCTGACTATATACTGAACAATAAAGGGGGCCCCTAAAAGCTTTCTGGCTCCTCAAGACTCCTTATCACGCGATTTCTGATGGTGCGTGCGCATACGATCTTCAGGTGACCAAGATCACATACTAATTCGATGAAATCTGATCGTGTTTGCACACGGCCTAAGCTCTCCTAATTAATCAGTTTGCTACCATCGTAACACCATCAATCCTAATGGTGAATCGTGACAGTATAGGATTTACATATAAATTTAAAAATCTCGAAAATCAAAATTTTAACCTTCAATTTCTCGATCAATAAAATCGCGAAAATTCTGAAATTTTCAGAATCTATTATTATATAAGTAATAAATTGATTTTTCAAATTTCAGCAAGTTATATTCATAAATAAGAAAGTTATAAATGACGATTTTCGTCATTTTTGGTGAGGAAAAGTGACCGGAATTAGGGGTGGCCTGTTACAACGGCTATCTTCTATGCCGCGTCACATGACTAAACCAAGGTAACGTGATTAAAGTCACGTTATGGACCGCTGAGGAACGCTGGCTGTCCAGGACCGCGCAGCGGTCCTGACTAGCCATAGGCATGAAGGTCTATATAATCAAGATGGATTCCCTTTGTATAGAGCTTCGTGCTCAAGATCAATCATTTAGTATACTCTACTATTAGTTACGAATTGCATATCATTATTGTCATTACTTTAAGTCCCTGCTTGACGCCTAGTTATAAACCTACTTCGAGAGCCTAGAGCACTTCCACGTGATCTAGACGGCAAACCTCGTAACATGGCCGGAAAGTAGGGTACTAGACTTATATATTTAATTCTTGGATAACAACTGGCTGCCACATTTATCTTAACGCCTTCACATCTTCGCAACTGCACATAGTTTTATTCAGGGTTCAAAGTTCCCTGTTTTCAACGTCAGCTAATACATACGTATATTCTCCAAGAGTCACCCACCATATCATCCCGTGTCGCATACAACATACCTACAGGTTCGATTTCTACCCCGCAATTCTATCATTATTTGGTATTTATCTGTATCGACGAACTTCAATATGACCTTTTTTCATATCACACAGCAGACCCCGAAGCTACGATCGATTTCTCGACGTTTCGTTTTCGTAGTTGGAAGTTGGTGGGTTTCTCTTGCATGGAGACAGGATATTTATATCTCAACTATCTTCTCGCCTTGATTATGTAGATTACGGATCACGAGTCCGGCTACCAAAAACCGAATTTTGGATCAAAATTTCGATCGAAGTAATTATGATTTTCATCCCCATACTCATCATTTTGAGTTTCTTCCCCACAGCTATTTTCACCTCGTTATTAGTACCTCCTACGGTGGCTCCTACAGCTACAACTAGTATTTCCACATCAGTAGTATCGAAGTCTTCCCTGAGTCTGAAGCATTCGAACGAGAACTCTAAAGAAAAAATCCATGCTACTCCGACGATTGGAATGCATATGGATGAAGGAGTTCCTATAATCACAGCTGCGCCTACGGTAGAAGAAGTCCAGCTAGGGGAAAAATATCATCAGATTACTTATTGGAGTTGTGTTACGAGGAAAACTTATGTGCATTGTGGATGGTATGTTGTTTTGTGTTTATTTTCACTTTTTTTCATTTTAGTCAAGTTATTCTTTTCCATTTCGTTTTATTCAAACTACCAGTATTTGCTGCGTATTTGGTACTCGGTGTAAGGATCTCATTGTTATTCTCGAAGTTGCAGGTTGTAGGTTACAGGTTCCAAGAGTTTCATAAGCATAAAGATGGAAAGAAGGAAGATAGTCCGAAGGGAATAAACCATGAATGTTAATAGATAAATAGGCATGAACCTATACTTGCAGGCGGAACAGAAATTGCAGGAGCGCAGTGTGAGTTGTGTAACGGTGGGAGAATGGCTTTGATGGCTGCGGGGGTGGTGGTTGCGGTAGGGGTTTTGTGATGTGGGGATTTGGTGTGACTTTTATGGGGGTTGAGGGTTGGGATTTGCAATAGGTATGGTTGGATAGGCTGAGAAGAAGTGCTGGTGAAATGGTGAAAGAGAAAGGACTATGAGGTGTGTTAATAGACATTATTCCTTTATGGGGATCTCTGCCACGCGACGGGGCCGGGTCATTTTTCGGTAATCACACGTGGAAAATCGTGCCATTTTGTATGATACGCACTTGTGTTATTTGAGCTATATATTGACACAAGTCAGCTTAAAATAATATCAGGTATCAAAATATCAATGGTATATATAATGTTTCGCTGATAATAAATCAAAGATTCAATAGGAGGAATGTAGAAATACTCAAAACGAAATGGATATAAGCGTTTATGAATGAAGCTCACAGGAAGTGGCTTATATAACCTGGTAATCTTTTAATTCCTGGCAGTATGGTATTTATTCGTGCAAAGTTGAATTGAAAGAGTTTCTAGCACTAGCTTCTAAGCGGGGTATTGTAATTTTAGCAAGCAGGAGTTGTCAGAATCACTAAAGCATCGATCTTCTATGAATTAGTTCACGATTTTAGCATTTCGTAGTTATTGCTCTCAGAATTTCTCTAATATTCTTCAGAATCCATGCATACTCAGGACTTGTCAAGTTCTCTATCACCTGCCCAAGCCAGCTTTCTCGTATCTAATCTTTCACCCTCACCCTTCTTCACCTCCACAACTTTCTCTCCCGTAGCCCACCTCAGCATCGTGAGAGAATGTTTCCCAAAAGTATATTTACCCTTTCCATCCCACTTACTTTCCTTAACACTGACTTCTTCCTTCTCCGCCGTGTTAACCACAGTAACATTATCACCCGTGATAGTAAAAACCTGCACTTCTCCCTTCACACCCAATAAATCCGTTTCAAAACTTTCTTCCTCGCTAACGTTCACCACGCACAAACTGATAACTCCATCCTCATCAATGCTTCCTGCTACATCCAACCAACTTGCTCCTCCCTGTTCTCCCACTACACTCGCCAACCACTTTGGTTCCTGTACTCCTTCGTACGCTCCACCTCTTACATGTAGGCCCAATGTCCATCCACGCATGTATTTACTATACAACCACAAGGGCCACCAAGTCGTCTGTTTGATAATCCCATTCTTGCTCGTCATCAATGGAGAAATAACATTAACGCTCTGCGCCAAATTCGCCATTCCTACATATCGACTTTGTCGAATGAAAACGTTCAACCACACACCTACGGCCAGGGCATCACTTAATGTGTATTTTTCCTCGGCTCCTTCTTCTCCTGGTGCACGCAAAGGATCCCAGACGTTCCATTCGTCGAAACAGATTTTGGGGACGGGTACTGAAGGAGGGATTTTTGCTTGGATGCGTGCGATCTGGATGAGGGAGGCGGCGGATTCAATGGCTGTTTCGGCTTGAAGGGGTGAGAGGGCGTTGGGGAGATGTTTTGAGGAGGTACTGTAGATGTGGATGCTGTGCATGGTTATGTGGTGGATGTTTGGGAGGAGCACGGTGAGATCCCATGGGGAAAGACCGGTTTCACCACAGAGGATTAGTTGAAGAGTTGGATCGAGAAGGTGGAGGGCCTTAGACCACTGGAGAGCTTTTTTGGCGCTGGGTTTATTTAGTTCATGTTTTTCTTTGGGATCGCAAGAGTGAACATACTAGTCTTCAGCAGTCATTTGCTCAACTTGCCATGGTCCCCAAACTTCGTTTCCTAATGCCCAATATTTGATGTTATATGGCTCTTCGTGTCCATTCTTTCGTCGAAGATTGGCATAATAGGTATTTCGGGTACCATTGCAGTACTCTACCCATGCTAATGCTTCGGTCAATGTTCCTGTACCCATATTGAGACAGAAATAAGGCTCGACCCGTTTTTCCTTCCCCTCTGAGAGCACACTGAGATAGTGCATAAATTCATCGGTTCCTAGTTTGTGTCAGTTCTTATCTCAAGCCAAATTATGGGCAAACAAAGGAGAAGGGAAGATACCAAATTCATTAGTCTCCGTCCCTAGCCATGCAAGTTCGGGACGATCAGGACGCTTTTCTCTAGGTCCGATGCCATCTTCCCAGTGATATGTAGCGATGAAATTTCCACCTGGGTAACGGATTACAGGGATATCAAGTTCGCGAAGCGCGCCGAGGACATCGGTGCGGTAGCCATGTTTGTCGGAGAGAGGGTTTCCTGGATCGTAGATTCCACCGTAGATGCAACGGCCCATATGCCTAGTTTGTGTGACAAAGTTTAGAGGCAGGATTGACAACAAAAGGTCGATATATAGATATCTTATCTCCTAGGTCACTAACCCGTGACAGAATCATTTTTTAAGTGATATAGAATGGGAGAGTGAAAAATGAATTTCCATATTTCAAACAGACATGGTACAGTAGATTTCTCACTCGAGAAATTCCAATGCCCTGTAGATGACAACACTCGCACATATTGGTACGTCAGGAGCCCTCTGGAATCTGAACCTTTTCCACGCCCTTTCTAATGGTCATCGCTCAGACTTCCGAGCAAGGAATATCATCGATAATTTTAACATATCAACCTGCATCCTACAATTCTGGATGAAAGATCGCTGAAATGGGATCTAGAATAGAGTCTTATGTGTATGCTACTAGGTGGCCAACGACACCATTGCTTTTGAGGATATACATAAATATCACCTACTCCATAAACCCTCCATATATCATAGGATCTAAGTCGGAGTCAGTATAATTCGTATCAATAGATCTATGGAGTTCTCCAACATACCAATCTTCGACAATCTCCTCGACGCATCAATACTAATAGAAGGAGTCTCTCCATCAGGAATTCTCGTAAACGTCGTCATCTTGTCTGTATCTTTTCCTTGGTTTGAATATACCTATGTATTCCGTGCCTCACGGGATGAAATAGCAAAGCATATAAAGTGCCGCATATGAGATCCTACCATCTTGTACCTCGGAACACATGATCTTTCATAAGTGAAATCCATTCTCAAGTATCCACCCTTTCCACTTAATACGATGGAGATCGACTCATAATCACATAGGACACACGGACCAAGAAGAAGGTTGGGGATAAAGTCGGTCACCGCTCTCTTCTTCCATTGGTGCGCATATACGTTCTGCCGAGTTAGTGGTAGACTTATTCCGAGGCGGCAAGGTGGGCTACCACAAGCGAATCACTCCGAATGGATGGGAAATTTCAAGCCGTCCACAAGCGAGGGAGCTTCCTCCGCAACACCCCACGCCTTGTGTATTCAATAACTTGGTACTCCCAATCACTTCTACGAATTCATATCGTTCAAAAAAAAAAACACGGTCAGTCTCCAAATAACGCTAGAGAATGTTTGAATTGGGTTTTGATACGTTACTTAAGGTCCAGAAGCGTACCAATTAACTTCGTGCATCAAAATAGCCATGTTCATGACGACACGATCAAGACGAATCATGACAAGGGATGGCTGGGCTCAGTAAGCGGAGAGCTTGAAAGTATGATAAAGTCCCATGTCCAAAGCTCTAAGATGCCATTTCCCCAGGATCCCCGCATAATTAGCGTGTTCTCATATGGCGTGTTGCCATTTGGTGCTATTCTGGGGATGGATCGAATCGTGAAGCGAGGAATATAAAGATGTGAAGATTTCCCCTGGTAGATGTTGATCAGTCACCTATCTAGTATCTCTTCTTGAGACTAATTAATTATTAATTCATTTGATATTGTAAGCTCTCGAGCATTGCTGCGCAGCTATGGGGGCTTTATCTCCAAAAGTCTATCAGGTAAGACATGTTGTTCTTGAAGAAGATGGTTCTCGGTCTTTGCTAACACTGCTATCTAGTTTCTAGTAGGTGTTTTTGCCTCTGTCGGATCTATCCTTTATGGTTACGATCTAGGTACGTACATTGTACACTCAACGATACCGTCTACCCGGTCTAACAGCATTCAGGTGTTATCGCCGAAGTCGTTGCAAGTGAAACTTTTATCAGTGAATTCAAGCCAACTTCAACACAAACGTAGGTGATTTTCTTCCAATGATACGACGTGAAACTAATCAGCACAGTGGAATTGTAGTATCTTTCTTCACCGGTGGAGCTTTTTGTGGTTCTGGCCTTGCCGGACCAATTGGAGATAAGTTTGGACGTCGATGGACTATATTTGCAGGATGTATTCTCTTTATACTAGGAGGTGGTCTTCAAACCGGTGCACAACATATTCATTATCTTTGGGCCGGTAGATGGATCGCCGGATTAGGAGGTAAACCATCAAATCCTTGGTCACTTGCTCTGAGGGCTCATAACTAACAACTAATAAATAGTCGGTTTCCTGGTTATGATTATTCCTCTATACCAAGCTGAAATTGCACATCCCAGTATTCGAGGTCGTATCACATCCTTACAACAATTCATGTTGGGTATTGGTTCTCTCGTTGCCGGCTGGATCAGTTACGGAACATATGTAGGCATCAAGGGATCTTCTGCACAATGGCGCCTGCCTTTGGGTCTACAGATGCTCCCAGCCGTTATTCTCGCCGGTCTCATTTTCCTGTTCCCCGAATCTCCACGTTGGCTCATCGACCACGGCTATCCCGATAAAGGTCTTTCAACCCTCGCCAGATTGCACGCACATGGCGATGAAAATGATCCCTGGGTGCGAGCCGAATTCGACCAAATTCAAGAGAGCATTACATACGAGCACGAGCATGAAGCGAAATCCTATATGGATCTTTTCACACACAAATCATCCTTCCGCCGATTATTCATCGCATGTGCTTTACAAGCATCGGTTCAAATGACGGGTGTTTCAGCTATTCAGTACTATTCGGTAAAAATCTATGGACAGATCGGTATCGTAGGTAGTGATGCTTTGAAATATCAAGCTATCAACAATATCATTGCTTTACTCGGAGAAGCCTGCTGTGTGTTATTCATCGACAAATTAGGACGAAGATGGCCTTTAATCTGGGGTAACCTATTCAACATGGCAAGTAACACTTTTCCCGCTCATCCATCAACAACAACTCCCCAACAATACTAACCTTACCAACCACCAGGTCACCTTCCTCATCGCCTGCGTCCTCATCGCCACCTTCCCCCCCTCCTCCAACCACAACATCGGCGCCTCCTGGGGCTTCATCGTCGTAACCTGGCTGTACAACTTCTCCTTTTCCGCGACTTGCGGCCCCCTCTCCTGGGTCATCCCCGCCGAAATTTTCGACACCCGTACCCGTTCCAAAGGTGTCTCCATCGCAACCATGGTTTCCTTCGCATTCAATACCCTCATTGGTCAAGTAACCGATATGGCTATGACTAATATCGGCTATCGATATTATTTCCTATTCATCATTTGTAATTTCACCAATGCGTTATTTTTCTACTTGTTCTTGCCTGAGACGGCGAGGAAACCTTTGGAGGAAATGAATTATCTTTTTACTCATGCGCCTATTCTCGTAAGGTTTCCCCATCCACCTATAAAAACAAAACCAAAAATGAAAACAACCCTCTAACAAACCCCCCTCAGGTACCCGGCACAGACAAAGCCACCTACAACGCGGGCTACGCCGCCGACGTCGAGCGAAGAGCTCTTGAAATTAGCGAGAAGCAGGATATACAAGTGACGCATTATCAAGGGGAGCTTGGACATTAGTTTATTTCTCTCTTTTTTTTTTTTTTTTTTTTTTCTTTCTTTCTGATGAGTGATTTGATTTGATTCGATTCATTTACGATGTTATGAGATGTCATGTGCTGGATGAATGGATGGATGAAGAAAATTGAGGGATGGAGAACTTGGATGGAGAGACTAAATACTTGATACATTATACCAGATACGATACTGAGTGGAATATTAATATTAAATTATTTTTAATGAATACTAAATTATTTATTGATATTAGTGTGATATATATATATATGAGGGTTTCAGAAAAAGAATATCAAAGGACTACAAAGAGCTAGCGAGCTTTATATTACCTTTTCAGCTAGGTATAAAAACTATAGTCTACTCCTCCTTCCTCCTTCCTCCTCCTCCTTCCTCCTTCCTCCTTCCTCCTTCCTCCTTCCTCCTTCCTCCTTCCTCCTTCCTCCTTCCTCCTTCCTCCTTCCTCCTTCCTCCTTCCTCCTTCCTCCTTCCTCCTTCCTCCTTCCCCCTCCCTCCTTCCTCCTTCCTCCTTCCTCCTTCCTCCTTCCTCCTTCCTCCTTCCTCCTTCCTACAACCTCATTCATCATCATTCTTCAGCATCTCTTTTCTCCCACCCTCCGTCCCTTTCACTAAGGGTTCCCCTTTTTTCCCTTTAGCTCCATTTTGCAGATGGAAGCGTTACAGTCTTACAGATTACTCTTTATTTTTATTTTTCCAAAAATATCACAAGTAAAATAATTCTCCTTTAGTTCTACAACTGATAAGGGGCATCATAGTTATAATCTTATATAACACAATAGTCTAGCCTCGCAAGCTACCATTTCATATAAATCTAGATATAGCTCTGTTGAGCTGTATCTTTCCAAATTTAGATTAGTTAGAAAATAAAAAAAAAGATCTTTTTTCCTTATGCCTTTAAAGTGATAAGGACTGAAATATATAACATAAAATAACCTCATAAATAACCTTGGAATCTAAACATCCAAATCCCCAAAATCTTACCTCTTATATTATATACTCGAGTAGAGAACCCTAATTTCAGATCATAAATACCTACCTACCTACCTAGTGTACCCAACACAACATAACCACAGCAAAGTAAGAAAAAAACCTTGCATTTCATATCCTATCCTTATATGAGGAGATTTATAATCTTAATCTTAATCTTACTTCTTACTTCATAGTTCATGTATAGAATCATAAAATAATTCATCCTGACGATTTCGGTTTTTCCAAGTATCATGTTCATGTGAAGAGGAGATTGTTACCCCTTTATTCCATATTCCATATTTGTATCAATAATACGAAGATCATACATCGTTGTAGACAGCCATACCATCCCTCACAATCAAAAGATCAATAAAAAATCCAAGACATTTATTTCCCTTCCCCCAAAAAACGCCAGGTATAAACAAAAAAGTTTCAAGTTTCCTCACCACCCATGCACAATCCACAATCCTCAAACCCTCAAATCCCGCCCTTAATTCCCTAACTCTCAATTCCCAAAGCCTTCGCTCCTACTAATCTCCCCCCCTCAGTTCCCACAATCCAATATTCAACTCTAGTTCCTTGTCCGGGTATCCTGTAAACCCTCACATCGCTCCCTTTACTAGCCTCCCTAATCGCGTTGACAATCTCTTTGTAATATGCGTCGGGATCCCATTCGCCTATATCCATGATTTGGATATCTTCTGCTGCGTCTGCGGGTGAAGGATGAGCTATGAGACGGGCGAATGTTTCTAGTTTTGTTAGCATGTTCATATGTATATATATATATATATAAAAGCTATTCATAATAGAAAGTATGATAAACAAAACAAAATCAGGAAAAACAAACCTTCATCTGGTAATCCCTCGCCCTCATTCTTCAAAGCTACAACCACAAAAGGTTCATCAGCATCACTGATATACCACGCGTCCTTTGTCGCTCTGACCAATACCCCAGGTACATCGACATCATCATCCGTAGTTTTAAATTCGGGTTGTTTGTAACTACTAGTATTTGATATGCCGGCGCTGGGATCCTCGTTGGCTTTATCGAGGAACGCCATGTAATCTTCGTCGGAGGCCATTTTGTTAGACGTGCTAGTATCGATATGTTCGGATGGCAACTGTGAATTCGTATAGGTATCCTCTAAACTTTTCTTCTCCGTATATTTAAAAATCTTAGAACCTTGCGAGAAATTGCGCTCAGTAATCCCTCCAAAAATTCCTACCCAAGATCTTCCCTCAGATCCTGTAACTAAAATTCGCGGAAAGCGAGCCGTAGAAAAAGTATGCGAAACCCTTCCACCTACTCGAAAACAAGAACTCAAGCCGTTGAATCCAACACAAAATCCCTTTGCGACGTCGTTCTTATTCGCGAACTCCGTTTCTGCACCAAAGCTTCTTCGATCGCCTTTCCCTTTCCCTTTCCCTTGCTTGCAGCCACGTTCTCCACAGCCAACAATTCTGGCCGCGGCACGTCGACCAGAGGTAAATGACCTAATGATTGCGACTTTCCCCTATCTCTACTCGCACTATATTTCCTATCCAACGATTCTCTCGTCTTGAGATAAATAGAAGGTGTTCGACTGCCCGGCGCAGATTTCGTTTGTCTTTTCTTTTTATTCTCGTTTTGGCGATTTCGTTGAATGGATTCTTTAATGCTTCGATATGGAATGGCGAGGACGGCGGAAAGTGCACCCATTGATGTGACTTTTATGAATCGGTTACTAAGCTAAGAGAGGGGTGGAGGAAGAAAAAGATGCTTCGGTGACGTGGGGTAATGGGGAACTTTCTTTTTCTTGTTTGTGCAAGGTGAAATCTGCAGGGGTTTGATGTATTGATAGTATTATGACGATTTACAATTGATGTGAAGAAAAGAGAAAATGCGGAAATGCAAGAATTATTGGGATTATAAGTAGAAATTTTTATAAAGGGTGTTGGATTAATATGACTACTGAAAGAAGTAGTAATGAATGATCAATAATGGTAAACTCATTAATCATGGTCGAGGTCTCATTGGAAGGTCGGTAGAACTATTGAAAAAAAGGGAGAAAAAAGAGAAAAAAAAGGGGAAAAAGGGTGAAAAGTGCTAGTACAATAGAGACCAGCTCGTGTAAAATCTCTTCACTTTATTAATAAAACCAACATGGTCCCGATCAAAATTTTCAATTTGTTACTGGGCTTATCAAAAGTCTAACCATGCTTTGAAATTATTGGATATCATTGACATTTCTTCATTGATGTTATGCTAGTATATCCATGGGTAATCATGGACTGCATTATTGCACATATGATACCCCCACCGACTACACCTATCGAAAAGCCAGAAACCCGAAATGCAGAACCAAATTTTAAATTTACGAGGATTGAGCAATGTCCTTCTTGAGGGTACCCAAGAAAGTGTGTTTCTCCTCGGCGGTTTGGTAAGCACCGTGACCGAACTTGGAGGATGTATCGATCCATTTCAACTCAACTTTCTCCAAGGCCTTTCTTGAGGTGTGGACGAACATGGATTTTCTGAGAGTCATGACACGCTTCTTGACACCAGGAACGGAACCCTTAAGCATGATGTAATCGTTCTTGACCTCACCATATCTAACAAAGCCACCCATGCTGAAATTTTGATTAGTTGGTGCATCGTCAGAAAATATTGGACTTTGAAAACTTACGGGGTAATGGCCTTCTTGGAGACATCGAACTCGGTGGCGGCGTTGTTGGGGTCGTCACCACGGCCGATACGGTAAACCTTGTGGTTGCAAGAGGTACGGTGATGGTATCCGTCTTGACCAGCACGGGCAACAGTCCATTGGACGTGGGCTGGATGCCAGGCACCAATACAGGCAACCTTACGGAGACCCTTGTGTGTCTTTCTCGGAAGCTTCTTGGTTCCCCATCTGCTGGTGACACCGGAGAAACCGTGACCCTTGGTGACAGCGATGACATCGATCATCTCATCTTGCTCGAAGATGGAGCCGATCTCAACTGGCTTCTCGAAGAGACCGCTGGCGAAGTCAACCTTCTCAGCGACGCTACCTCCGTTAACTTGGATCTCCATCAAGTGGGCCTTCTTTTGCTTGAGAGGAGTCTTTCTGATTTGAGTGTGGGCGAGGACACGGACGACGGTGCAGTACTTCTTGATACGCTCGAGTTCACGGGTGATGGAAGATCCGCTGTTCTCGGAGTGCTTCTTGGCGTACTTGGTGAAAGCCTTCTTCTTGCTCTTGTACCAGTTCTTGTAGAATCTGCGCTTAACTTCGTCGCTCAAATGTTCGGCCCAGACAGTTGTAAGGGATCTGAGACCACGAGGAGTCTCAATGTAACCCACTAGACCAACAACGATAACCTAAAAAGATATTAGCCATTGGCTTGAGCCAAGCGGGCTGCGTTGTTCGTACCGGTGGTGTCTCAATGACAGTCACTGCCTCAACGACCTCCTTCTTGTGTGTTTTCGCACCAGGACGGTCGAGATCGCGGACAATGGTAGTCATACCAGCCTTGTAACCAAGAGTGGCAGTAAGGTGGACTGGCTTGGTCTTATCATCCTTGGGGAAACTGATTGAAATTGAGAAGTTAGTGAAAATTCTCCTCGAAATAACTTTGCTGGTAGATATCAATTGATTCGAGGAATTTTTGTAAATATCGCAACTAAATAGAAATTGGGGTATATGCTTCACCTCTTAACCTTTCCGCGGTGACGGCTTGCTCTCTTTCTTGGGAGATAAGCAAGGGATCCGTGACGGGGAGCTTCGAATTTACGGTGCGACATGTTGGCGGTGGTCGACTTCTTTGGGTGTTGAGGTTCAAAAGTTCAAAAGATTTTCAACGAGAAAAGTTCACGAATATTGAGAGTGTGCGAATTTCTCGGTTAGAATTGATTTAGTGTTCCTAAAGTGGATTAGTGTGCAAGTGGAAGAAAAAGTTCAAGAGTCTTGGCATCAACAAGCAAGGGCCGACGAGGCGCACGTGATTACAATTTGAAACGGATTTCCATTTTCTATCACCAGAAGACTTGAAGCCGTAGAGATCTATTAACAAAGGCATCGGTATACTAAACCACCGAGTATTGCTTTAATATAAATCAGCAAGCAAAGTTCTTGTATGGCGGCTTTTATGCATGTGATTTAGCTACTTCCATCTCTCTTCGTTCCACCCTCATATATTTTGACTTCCAGACCCTCAATGGCAATCATTAGTACTGGCTGGAGTAAGTAGCGATAGTATCAGAAACCCCTGAATCTTAGATATATACTTGTTGAATTCTTTATTATCATGAAATTGGTATCACTATTGGTATATACACCCCTTGAGGGTTCCCACTTCTCGCTTCTCAACGTCCCTCATTGTTCATCTATCCCTATCTCCCATTTCCGCCTCCCTTCCGACTTTCTCCTCAGCACTCATTTGTCTAATCGCTAGCCCATTGGTTCCAAACAAATCATATCGAGATCGATCAGAGGAACCCCGCCCGCATCGCAAAATCCAACCAAGTACAATATCAAACCAAAGACCAAGCCAGCCAAGCCAAACCAATCGATCCGATCCAATCAGTTAAGTCAATTAGTCAATAAAGTCCATCCATTCATTCGTTTATCCTCCCTCCGTCCTCTAAGTCCTCTTTCCTATGTGCTGGTAAGGATACCCGTCTAGAGCTCCATGATGTCCTCCTCTAAGACTAAACGCAATGTCCGAGTTAGGAAGGACAATCCATTCCATCCATCATCCACTCAAAACCCCAAATCTTACTAAAAACGTGCAGAATATGAACCCGTGGTATTTTGTACAACAGCAATAGCACAAAGACTTCAAAATGCAATTTGAATGTAACCAACAAGTCGGTGTAAAGCTAGAAAGGCAAATCGATGAACACGCTCGATGCTGAAAAGAATAAAACGCCGACGCCACTATGCAATTGTGTATTTGGAGTCAGGAAACAAGATTAATAACAAAGACGCGCCCTCTTTTGTAATATTTGTTGAAGAAAAGATGAATCGAAATCGCCAGGCGCCGCCATATCCGACCGCCTTCTATATGTCCTTTGGCATGGCTATCGTGTCATGTCTGGAGGGGTATATGATTCGCTTTTGCGATTTTGCAAAGCAAAGTATTTTCTTTTTTATACAAAATGTTTGTGAAAGAAATGGAGTCTCTAGCAGGTATCGACGAAAGAATTTTTGGGCCACGAATAGCCCGCGTCGGACCAAGAAGTATGGTTTTGGTTGTCCTAAATTGATCAGTAACATTCTTCTCGGGCGAGAAAGGAACCTATAAACTTACATATGCCTTCGGAAACTGTGCGATGTATTCGGTGGTGGGATATCCCTCAGGGTCACAAGTGACCGATTCGGATCCTTCTGGTTGATATATTCGGAGGTAATCGAAACGCATAGTAGCAGGAAACAAAGTGTTCAAGTTAGGCATCATAACTTCAGAGAAACTGGTACCCATTCCCAAATTCATGATCACCGTCATGGGTTCCTCAGGTATCGTTCGTTGGCCAATATTTCCATTTGGCCTCAAAGCCCGGCCATCCATTTTCCAAGTGTACTGATCACCGACGAACCATGTGATCTTCCCCGTGGCTCCAGGGGTATATTCGAATCCATATGTTTGATATCCATTACCATCGTACCAGTCATTGTTGAGCCAAGTTAGCGAAGACATAGCCTGTTGATAATTTCCACCACGGTAGGAGTTTATAGAGCTCTGTTCGTTATCATAAAGTTCAACGTAATTGTAATCTGGCATGTAGAATATGTCGAAGGGGGCAATTTGGTATGATTGAGACGCGGCTCCCGTACCTGCTCCCCAGTTTTCCTTCAAAAACCCAATACTGGCTTCTATTGCGTCAATTTCAGGTGCCGACCGAGAACTACCAGATGAAGGGTGATTTTCTCCCTTGCACGTACAAGCTGGCAACTTCATACCAGGCAGCCAACTGATACCATCTGATGAACTCTGGTTTGCCGTAATACCGTAATCGCATTTATCCCAATAGCTGTACGGCCACATCCCTTCCGTGGTAGCTTGATACCCTGCTCTTCCCAAATTGCCCATACTCCAGAAACCGGGCCAGAAACCGGGCCAATCTCCTCGTCCCGGTAATGAAATACTAGCTTCTATGCGACCACCTTTGAAGCACAACTTATTCCACGACTGGATCATTCCCGAGCGGTAATTCAAATTATGACTTTGAAAAGCATCGAATTTTATGTTCAGAGTACCGTTTCCAGTCGTCACAGCATCTGGATCATACCATTCTAAATCCTGAGTGGCACCATACCAGATATCCACAGCTTGGAAAAATGGATCATCACCATCATAGAAAGTTCGACCGTCGGTATTGAACTCATCAGAAAACTGTGGTTTGTTAGTATTGGATACAGCGCTGCATTATGTGATGAACCTACCACCAGCTTCAACTTCGTACCGTCTTGAGCAGTTTTAGATTTGACGGAGTCTGGGGTATCCGGATCGATGAGACCCGTCCTCACATTCTTCAGAAGGGGAATTTTGATGGATAAACAATCTATTGCTGCTGCGCAGGCTCCATGAGTCGGATCTATTTTGTCTTTGACAAATGTACTATGCGATTGTTAGCAGAAGCTCTCTCGAACATCAACTAAGTAACATACACCACTGGATATGCTACAAACAAAGCCAGGACGCCCAAGACGATGAAAATTAAGCCTCCCACATTTGTAAGACCTCTCCTGTTCCATATATCGCACTTATCTAAATCCTTATCACTTGGGTCCGGGTTGTGAAGGTAATCATCTTTCTCGACATCCTCTGGAAAAAGTAACAATCCTGCGGATGGCATGATATTATATTTTTCGGAGACGGTTTGTGTATTGATATTCTCATCGTCACTGTCGCCTGCTCTCGAAGAAGCTCTCGAGTCATCAAAAGGTGAGCCAAATGGTCCCGCTCGGCTGTCTCGACTTCCCGCTTCTGAGCTCCAACTTGTTCTTCGTGATGAGAAACCCGATACCGAGGGAGAAGGTAAAGGGTAATCGGAGTACGATGACGATTGATTGTTCGCTGTAGTCCGCGATCTCGCAGGAGGAAGTAGCATTTCATTTGACTGAGATACATCGGGTGAGCCATACATTTGAGGAGTAGTCATTAGTGACTGTTGCGAACCGGTAGCCGGTGGTCGCGGCGGCGGAATTAACTGTCTCGATTGACCAGGAGTTCCTGCAGTAGCAGGGGAAGTAGTAGATGAATCCAACATATCTGCACCACTGCCCGAATTGACTGTTATGTGAGGGGGCTTTCGCCCGGAACCACTATAGGAGTGGTCCATATCGACAGTAGAAACAAGCCCAAATTAAAATCTTATAACTACAATAGCATCTGCTACGTCACCCAAGGCGGTTGTGGTTGATGTTCTGGAATGCGGAATTCGAAAGAGGTTCGTAATGTGGAAGAAAGGATGGAAATAGATCAAGGACACACGCGCCCAATTCCTCAAAGTTCTCGAAAAATAGTAAAAGGCAACCTCAGATCAATTCGTGAAAGTTCATGGGATGTTAACGTGAAGGTATTGAGTGTCGTCGATTTGAAAGAGCTGGAAAGGAAAGGTTGAATGTTGAAGGCTCTTCCAGATAGGCCAGCAGAAATTACAAAGAAAGGAGGTGTATCCAAGAATCCTTCTCGATCGAAATAAGAAGGGAGTGTGTGTACAAACGAATGTCGGGTTTAAACGAACAAGGTCGAGATCTTGATCATTTGTTGAATCAGACTTTCTTGATATCTTTCTTGCAGAATATCCCAAGTATTGATTCTTGTGTGAAGGGAGGTCTTGTTCGGTGTTTGGTTGTGGTCAACAAACTTGGGCGTTCAATTCAACATGGAAGGCCGCAGCAGAAGTCTTTGGCGTTAGGTTGGTGGCGTGGGTGGGAAAAAAAGAAAAAGGAAAGAAATCAGCAGGCTTCGAGCTTGGGAGGCTTTGAATCAAATTGCTTTCTTTTTGCTTTCTTTAGAACATGCAGAAGTAGAAATGCGCAAAGTTGAGTGGGAAGGTGCACCAGGTGCAAATGCAGGTTTCTCGGGCTAGTTTGAGTTTGTTCTTAGGTTGTTCTTTCAGCGCGCTCTTGATATTTTGATCTCTCAATCTTTTTCCCTTGAGCACGCACGCACCGCCCTAGTCAGTGGAAGTCGATGGATTGATAGGATTGATTGGACTGATTGGACTGATTGACTGGATTGACTGGATTGATCAATTGATTAATTGATTCAGTCATGTTTTATTAATCTTTCCACATCACTTCTAACTTCTACGGGTAATAAATTAACCTCGCTCAGTCAAAACCAAGCTTTGGAAGCTAAAAAGTTTATGTTACACTGCCTAAAAGTATATGCGGATATAATTTACATAGTAACCTTGCCATTTTATTAGTTCAGTTGATAAAGAGGACGGGAACACAAGCAAGATTACCACTGATTGCAAAATTGGCTGGGCTCTTCATATTCTTCAAAAGGAGGTCCATGGTGGTCTACCTAGGTAGCTGTACGTATCGTATCTACTAGGTAGTACAGAGTACTTTACACAAGATTAAAAGAAAGTCTGGCTGTACGTACTTTAGACAAGATTAAAAAGAAGTCAAAGGGTTGAATTTTCATAGCAATCCTAGAACATCGGATCAAGCGCTGATATCTTATTGTGCCAATGTTTTTTAATCATTGAGAGATTGAACCACTTTATCACTCTTATACTCTGTACAGTACCGCATCATGAGTCTATCTACTGGGTGCTTAAATAAATAATTGATTTAAATTACCAGTATCGGACGATATGATACTCCGTAGATACCCAGTAGTACAATCAATAACTGGCTGCAGTAGTGAACAGAAGAAAGAGTTGAGAGATTTTCAACAATCAATCCATGAAACCTCCATCACTTCCTATTCTAACCTCTAACATACCCATGTTGTTGATTTTTGGAGTCCAGAGGTCCAGCTATTTTAAGTGCTTACTTTCCAGGTCCATTTCAATGGTTTCCGTATATTTTGTGAGGTTGTAATGGCCGGATCTATTCTGAAAAGCCACTGGTAGATCGCTAAAATGATATATCTCTCGGATTCTCACCTCTTACTGCCTAGTGGTCCTCACTAAAACGTTGGCGTGCTACTAAATACTCGCCAGCCTTCTTTGCTTCGTGTCTATGCCCACCAAGTTCCAACCCACCCATGGTGAGATGGATGATCTTTATAAACCTAGGCTCAGTACCCTTTTTTTCTTCCATCGTCTCCTTTACGCCGGATATTCTCTTTCGAACCTCTCTGTCAAGTGTCAACTACATGAACTACCAATAACATTTGTCGAACCGGTACCTGCAAGTCATGCTTCCTCACATCTCACTCACATTGTTCGTCTTAGCTAGCATGATCGAGTCAATTCCGAAGTAGAGGCACAAACCTTGAGTTTAGCTTAGGCTTTACCCACCCTCGTTAAGCATCTTCAATCAATGCGAACAATTTCATCTACTTAGTATCTAGAGAGTACTTCCTCCCATCATGATTCTATTTCCAACCAATGTTTTACCACCTCCCTCCCACTCTCACCGAGCAGTGGCAACTATCATCTCGTACAATACAGCCCTATCATCGTATCTTTGCTACAAGCTGCATAGTTTTCCAATTCACAGCCTCAACTTGTTTACGCGTCCGAATTATTTAAGTGGCACCTCTGACCTACCTACCTTGATACCCCTGACTATTCTCAAAACTCTGTATGGCCCGCTCCCTTAACCGTCGTTCGCTTTACGCCATTAGGATTAACTCAGGATCCTGGAAGACATTTCTGTGCGTGCTACAATTTGGAATCTCCTTCATGACCTCATCAATACCGCCGAAATACTCTGTACACAATTTTGGGTCTTTTGCTGACCCCCTATTCTTGAATTTTAACCAATTACTTGATCTTAGTCTCTCACTGCGTAATGCTCAAGGTGAGCAATATTTAGACTTAATCAGCAGAAGATAACGGGGTGATCACAATAACGGTTTTTTTTTTTTTCATATCCACTTTCCACCAATCCTCATGAAGATCCAAAACTGATCTTTTTAATCCGAAACTCTCAATGAAATCCGATGAAGGCTTGTTATTACATTATTAGAGTCTTTCGATCCATCACGTAGCACTTGCATGATGGATTAACTTCGGACCAAATCTTGCTCAAAAATCATCCGGAAAAGTCCCTCACACGTGATGAAATCCTCCATCAGGAAGTTTTCGGGCGCCAAAGAAAAATCAGTTTCCCACTTATACTTCTTGGCGGCGCAGGTACCGATTTGAGAATGGGGTTCTGTATATGCGCAGTTCATGTCATGAAAAGCGTACACTTCAAACTTCCTTTCCTTTCTTCTGCTACAGAAGGAAGTTACAGTGAAGGAATTCGGTATTGGGGATTATTTCGAGAGAAGCTCGTATCGATAATTTAGGTAGGTACCGTAATTCTAGATTCCCAGTACCGTAAAACTAATGTGACCCTACCTAATTATAGGAACGAATGGAAGGAGGCTCGGGGATAATTCTCTGTAAGTCATCTTATATTTACGATCTACTACAACACTCCGTATTCTTAAAGTGTCGTAATCTGATGTTACAAAGTACTCCGTAAGTGCCCCATCAGCAACAACGGTACCGATTAATCATCAACTTTTTTCTTTTTTCTTTCTTTGCTACCTGTATTTTTACCACATATTTACATTTACACCAATCATGCTCGAAGCTTCGAGACATCCGGTACCTAGGTAGTAGGTACGGAGTAGAGTACTCCTTACTTACCCATACATCAACCATGAACCCGAACCTCACAGTTCTCCTAAAGAGCCGTGAGAGGTCTCACCTCTCTTCAACTAAATTATTTATGTCATCATACGTGATTCAATCATCAAACATCAAGGATTTCCTTGCCTCATCCTGCTCCTATCAGTATCCGTCCGCGCCAAATTGTGTCATTGAGATCTACCACAGATTTTATTACAATTTATATCCGTAAAGACTTGATTGAAATTTAAAGCATATATAGTGGATTTTTAAATCACACCAGGCTTTCAAGTGGGATGTACATTTTCGGTTTCATCTTTCTTTACTCCGCATATCAATCAAGTACTGTTGGATCTCGTATCGGTATCAAGGGAGTGAGTTATAAACGCTGTAAGAAGGGGATCTCGTACCGGTCGGTATTGATAGAGTGAATGCTGCGGAAGAAAAGACTCTTTTTATTCGCCTTGGTCGTAGTGTCGCGAGTGTATCATATCATACCAGAGCATAAAGTTATGCTTGGCACTCAACTCACTACATACTTCGCAACGTAGACCCAGTGACCCACCCACCCACAAGGAAAATATATAAAGTTTTGCAGTACATACATACGGAGTACATAGTACCTATGTATGTACGTATATGTCAAACTGCCAACGGTCCTACGGTATACCAGGTTTGTGCTTCCGTTCTGCGGAGCTTTTCTTTGAAGGAAATACATTTTACGGAGGGAGTACGAAGGGTTCTTACCTGTTCGATTCGAATTTGTTACCGGATTTCGAGTTCAAGTGTTCATGTCCCGGTAAGATTGAGTGAGCATTTGCGATATTAGTATGTTCTGGGTATCAATTAGATCGGCGAGGAATATAATCATTCTTTAGGGGAGATTTTGTTGTCTTATAGACGAATAGTTGAGAAATATTTACCTTTATCTTCTTTGACGCCGATACTCTAAACAAAAACAAAAACAATTTGTTCTGCTTCAAACTATATGCTGTGTTTTGCAAGAGCCGTTTGTTCGAAATGTCAACACGAGCATGAGAGGACATTTATTATCCTTCCATCAGACTCAACGATCCCGCTTTCTAGCTTTATAACAGTACATACCTTTGAGGTTTGAATACTTAATCTTTCGACCGGACTAACGTTCGGCCGAAGATTCTATCCGAATGTGAATTTCCAAGCGGGACTTTATAGTATTATTATTACATGCTGAGTTGAAGACCAAAGGGGAGGAATTCGAGCAGCGTATCTAAGATCTTACAAGTTGTAGGAATGTGGGAATTTATTATCATTGTATAGTATAATATGATTGGTTTGTGTTAATTCGGGATGTCCTCAGTAGGATATGTATTTTCTTTACGGAGTAAATATAATAAAAATAGGCAGTCTAGAGTTTGGGGGGATATATATCGCTCTAGTCGAGACGATGATGTTATATTATTCTGATATATTAGATATTCAGAATATTCTTGAATTGTATTTTCGAATTTGATGTTTGATTTTCTTTGACTTTTACGGTTTTGATATATAATTCTATAGTATTAGATGAGAAATATTCTTGACTTGAATGTTTATTTCGTCTGAGGTCTTTATGAGTAGTTGATTTTTATTATCTATTGTGTTTTTGAATTATTACTTCACCACTTATCATCTTTCATTGTATATCTATCTATCTATTTATTTGTTTATTAATATAAATATAAAGCTTCAAGATTTATAGATATACACATACATATGTTAAATTCTAGATTACTTTAGGATCCCTCAAGGACGGATGACCTTTGAAAGAGATGAGCCCGCGATTTTGTTAGCCGTTGAATAAATTCAGTATTTTTATGTCATCTGAGAAGAAACCTATTTACTTAATGACAATTAATGGCCAGTTCTATCTTTTCTAATCATCTTCATCTATTCATCTATTATCTTTAAAACAGATCGTTCTAGTAAACACTTCCTCCATTAACACCGTACTCATAATATCATCTAGACAGCACCACCAATTGATGTCTTCCCCCTCAAATTCTTCCAAGGCCAACGACTCCCCAAAGCCACAAAAAAAGCAATTCCCGTACAAGTTATCGCCATAGCATACGTAACTTTCAACCCCTGTAGATAACTTTCTATAATTCCCTGAATCGCGTCTCCCTCTTTACCAAATACATTTCTTAGTTCGCTAACTCCTACTGATAATACCCGAGCTGGAGAAACAGAAGGTGCGTATTGAGGAAGAACATGTAGAATACGATTTGCAAATGCTGCTTCGGCTATCGAGATGAAAAATGCGCCGCCGATGGTCTGGAGGAAAAGTACCATTGCTGTAACGGATGATAGGTCGGCTGGGGAAACGGTGGCTTGAGAGGAGATGACCGGGATTTGGAAAGCGAGACCTGTAGAAAGACCAGTGAGTGCTTGATAGCCTATCCATTGAGCGGAAGTAGAGGCCGCGCTAAGGGTATACAGAAGTCCGCATCCTATTGTTGCTCCAACTGCACTGAGAATCATGAAGGGAACGCTAAAAGAGTGTGTTAGTTACTTTTGACCTTTTCTTGATATAGAATGAAGACTCACAAGTGACCAAATGCAGAGATCAATGCCCCTGAAAGAATGGTAGCAATAGTAGTACCAATAATCATTGGTAAATTTCTCACTCCAGATTGAGAAGCCGAAACTCCAGAAACGACTTGAAAGTAATAGGGGAGATAGTAAAGCAGAATAAACCATCCACCACCAAGAAAAAATACGTATACCATTCCTACAGAAACAGTACGCTCTTTCAATAAACGGGCGACGATTATTCCACGTTCACCCTGAAAGTATTGAATTACGATGAAGAGAGCGATGAGAAGGACGAAGCCGACGAGAGTACCAATCACATCGGCAGATTTCCAAGCTTTAGTTTGGCCACCCCATTGGAGAGCTAGGAAGAAACAGACGAGACTGGCCATGATTGTGAAGGTTCCGGGGAGGTCCATTTGTAAAATCTTTTCTTTGAGGGTAGCCGGCGTCGGTACTGCATTTGGAGGGGTGGTAAATACTAGAAAGTGGATATATTAGTTTCATGCTATATTCATAGAGTAAGAAGAATCGTGAGTACTCACAAAACAGAATAATAGCCGCTGCAACACCACCAATAGGCAAATTGATATAGAAACACCAACGCCATGTTAATTTATCTGCGAATACACCTCCAAGAAGGGGTCCAACTACAGATGCTACTCCATAAGATGCCCCCAAAATCCCTGTATATGCTGCGCGATGTTGGGGCCGAGCTGCGAATGCTATAATCGTATATGCTCCAGAAGCAATTCCTGCACCTCCAAGTCCAGAAATGGCTCGGCCTACTATTAGAGCGGTGCTATTTGGGGCAACGCCTATGAGGTTGAAATTAGTTTCAGTTTTTGAATGTGGATCTTGGGAGAACATACCGCAGATTAAGCTTCCTAGCTCGAATATGAAGATGGACATGAGGAAGGTTATCTTTAGTGGGAAATATTTGTAGGCTTTTCCCCATGTTGATTGGAAAGATCCCACGGTGAGAAAGAATGCCGAGCCATACCAGCCGACCAGATCTAATCCATGGAATTGATCAGTGATTTTGGGAATTGCTGTAGCCTGTTGTTGATGTTAGTTATGTACTTGATTGAAGGGTGTAATGTTGTTCTTCATTTGTAGAAGGACGAGAAAATATACATACCACAATCGTCATATCTAAAGAAACTAGAAAGATACTGAGTGATAAAGCAACCACTATCATCACCATCGCAAAGGCTTTTGGATACTCTAGACCATCTTCCTCCTGTCTATTGTTATTTACTTCCTCATTTACTACCTCCGCACCATGTGTACTGTTCTTCTCCTTTCTCAATGTCAAATCATCAATTGAAGGAGCATTACTCTTTTCCAATTCAGTATCAGACATCATTGTCGTTGATCTCGAATTCTCCATTTTTGCTCGCTCGTTTTGGAGAGCAATCTTGATATTTCCGTGTATGCTCTATAGGAGAAGGATCGAGCGGGAAGTAATGGTAATCGGAATTCAGACAAGGTAAAAAGGTATGAAAGTGAAACGTCTGATATGGAGAATTATTCTCTTTCATCATGACAACAGCAGGATCCTTTTATATAAATCATACAAAGTCTTCTCATTCAACTCACTCATACCTGAGTATTGGATATTGACTCTTTCAGCGGTTGCCATGTGGAGATGACTTCACAGAGGCGCCTTTGGTGCAGGGTAATAGGCATGCGCATACATGCTTACACATTCTCTGATTCTTTCGCCGATAGTAAAAAGGAAAGATCAACCCTGGCCGAGCCTTTCCAAAGATGATTCTAGTTTGTAGTAGAATCTTCGAAATTATATCCGCCGCTGAACGGATGTGCATTTCGGTAAAATCCCAAATTTGCTTACGGCTATCAGGTGGCGATTAACTTGAGCCTGCTTATAATAATAACAATAGTAGATATTCGAGCAAATGAGTATCCAATGGAAAAGTTGGTGGGATAAATGTGATGTGGTGGAATAAGGTGGTTGCCATCGACCTAGTATGCATTTGGTGGTTGAAATGAGTGAGTATGAGTCATCCTGAGAAGTGATGACTAGGTAGTAACGTTCTATCGATTGACTACCTACCTTGAAGTTTGGATGAGGAACTTTCACTTCCAACGCAACCAGCCAACCAACCTGCAGAAAAAGCAGAAGATTGACACACAAAGACTGAGTCTTGCTGTATTTGATGCAAATTTAAATTGGGAAAGCTACCTATTCATTGCAATTGAGGCCCGGGAAGAGTCATTTATAATTAGGTATATTACCTACATATTCAATCTTTGCTTTTCAGCTTTTTACCCAGTCACGAGATCCCCTCAAATGCATATGGCAGAATACCGAGATTGAGGTGTTAACGTTGTACAGAACTCATGAAACAGCTTCAAAGTTGAATATGGCGACGTTTGGCTCATTCAGCATGATTCGAACAATCAATCAAATCACATATTCTGAATCGAATCAATGGGTAGACGGAACAATCAAGATTATGGCATTTGAAGATTTGGTTTGGGGGACGTTCCATGAATTCGAATAGATGCATTCACCGGTGTCCTAGCTAAGGTTATAAGCTTAGTCAAGATCCTAATTCTCTCTTAAATCCAAGCCCGCTTGATATTGAGTTGGTTATCTACAGTTAGGTACTTAAAGATTCAAGTAAAGTATCGGGCGAATTATTTCCCTAGATCACATGATTCTTTTCTGTATTACAGTACAGTCCTCAGGTAAATTGTGTCCTGTGGATAAGTTTTGTATCTATAAAACTTCCTTTTCCTGAACTTCTTACAACTCCATTCAAAAGATTCAGGGCTTGGTTTTCTTACAACCTACAAAAATGGGAAAGTATTTTGAGCTTTTCCTGGTGTAGACAATCTGGTTAAGATCTGTCGTCTTCCATACCAAACTCGATACTTCTCTTCATCTCCCATCTCAATTTGCAAAAAGTCTCCAAGAGGTTATTGAGCAAATTCGCAATTTCGATTGCTCCATCAGTAATGAAATCATCAGAAACTATATTTGATGGTAGTACTAATTCCCATCCACCTTTGCGTATACACCCTAACTTACCTTTCAACAGAATTCACAATGAGTGTATATGCGGATGAGTACGACAAAGCTGGAGCTTCACTGGTCGATGTTTTACCTGTCGAAATGATCCGGGCTATCTGCGAAAATCTCCTGGTAGAAGATGTAGCTAATTTTCGATTAACGAGCAAGGTTTGCGCCGCAGCTAGAGTAGATCGCCTCGTCCAGGTAGTCTACGTTACATTTACTAGAGAGAGCTTCCAAAAACTGCCCAACATCTCGAAACATCCCGAGATATCGAAGCATGTCATAACCACATGGTATGAGCCACTTGGTTTGGTGGCATGGGACGGAAATGAATTTCACAACAGGGGATACGGCTTGACTGACCTCAGGGGGCAAGAAAATAGTAAGAAAACCCTCAAAGTCACAACTTTTGGTTCAAACATCTCATGCTTTTATAGTTTACAATAAGTCTTGGGAAGATCAGATTTTCATGAAGGAGAGCAAATTTAGTAAATGGGTTTTTTCACAAGTGTTGCCAAAGTTCAGCTCTCTGAAAAGATTCGTCATGAAAGGAAGTATCGCGAGACAAAGAAGGCTTTTATCCCATGATCTCAACACTATGTCAATCATTACCCAATTTGGATCTATTGATAGGGAGTGCTACGAAGAAGTTTTAGCATTTTTTTCTGCTGCTGGAAAGGCTGATACGAAACTGGAGTATCCTCACCTTGACCTAATAGACTTGGATATGCTGTATCGTGCCTCAAATAGCACCGGTATCATATTTTCAGATGGGCCAGATGGACCAGATGCTCGATATCTTCGCTATCTTCACCTTGGAGTGTGGGACTCGCCCTCTCGCAACTGTTACCACGTATTGAGGCAATTGCTACAAGCTACGTGTAACCTCAAACATCTCACCATCACAAACACTCCTGGCCTCGGGTATATATAGATTGGGATGAAGTCGTACCGGGTTTGACATTGCCACATTTGAGAGTCCTGGAATTCTCCTATGTCGAAGGCAGCAGTACGTCGCTTGCCAAGTTCCTCCAGAGACATGGCAAAACTCTAAAAACCTTTCAAATCCGGCAGTGTAGCTTAAGAAACGATCTCAGAGACTGGGGTGAAGTCCTTGATACAATCAGAAATGATTTGACCCTTCAAAAAGTGAAATTTGGGGGCATTAAATTTCGAGCGCCCAAGATTCCAACAAGCTTTGTGGATGGCCAGGTCTATATCACATCGATACATATCTACCATGGCCACCAATTTGAGTCGTTACTGAATGATCGCCTTTTACACAAGGACCTCTTAGCGAAAGAATGTTCCCTCATACCGAGCGTACTTTGGTACGACTATCTCGCCTTTGTTATGATTCAGAGACAAAAGGCGAAGGCAAGGTCTGAAGAACTTGAGTCACAAGGACTTACATGGGATATAAAAAATGAAATAAATTTTCAGCTTCGCCAGTTCCTCTGCGATTAGTAGGAAAATGACTAGATTATTGGCATCGTTGATAATTTTCATATTCAACACATACCCTCTGTTGAAGGACAGCATCTTTCCGAATAGTTAATATTTATGACCTCCAATGAATTCAATACTTTTCATATGATAATGATCCTATTCGAGTGAACTGAAGATATGTAATCCCAGCTATAAAACGATCACATACATACCTTTTGAGCATTTATTTTCCATACCCCAACATCTTCTCCATCTTCTCCACCTTCTAAATCCATTACTATTCATCCACTCTACTATTATATCCCTAAATCACCTCCATCATCATCTCCCATATACTATATTATCTCCACCCCGTCCATCGTCAACTACCAACTATCAACAATAACCTCTCATCATTCACCACAGCAACTAAAAGTTCCCTCTTGAGTCTCAATACCCCTTCAATATATACCCTCCACATCTCCTCCGTGTATCAAGGAATAAGGAATATTATAATATCTTGTTGACCTCCTGGGATCTTGGCAGCATATGCATATATATTGCATGATGCATATAAGGAGCAAACAAAACTCAACTTTTAATTCATTCTTTCCTTTTTGGTATACTGTTTGTTTGCTTTCAATATTTTGATTTCAAAGCACTTTAATTCCGAAGGCTGAATACCTAACCCTATTCCTTCATTTTTTTGAATATATACTCGCAGCTTAACTGCTTAGCTAGAGAATCAATCAATTCAATCTGATGCTCTTTCTGGTCTCAAGAAACCCAATATATCTTCATCCCCAATCAACCTGCTATTATGGCTACCTATCTAACTAATCTTACAATCTGTTGTATACACGAATTCATTATTCTATTCATTTTTACATTTTACATTCTACTTTCAAAAATTGAAATTAAATCTGGATTTTGATATTTTAATATATAGTAAATGTGACGGAAAAGTCGTAAACGGAGTCAATTCAATTACTTAGAATCTAAAACTAAAGAACTAATGTGACGGAAAAGTCGTAAACGGAGTCAATTCAATTACTTAGAATCTAAAACTAAAGAACTAAGAAGATTCTAAGTAAGAAGGTCTTTATATAAAGGGCTAGTGCACGTGAGCCACTAGTGGGTAACAACCGTCACGTAACAACTAAGAGGATTCTAAGTAAGAAGGTCTTTATATACAGGGCTAGTGCACGTGAGCCACTAGTGGGATAACAACCGTCACGTAACAGTAAATAAATAAATGATTTCATATATTGAATTTAATTTTAACAATGATATTTAATCTTTTTAAGTTTTTTTTTTTCATAAATCTATTTTTTATAAAATCAGAAATTATATGTTACGACTGTCACACTCAAGAATACTGGGTAAAGTATCTTGTATTAGAAAATACTAAGCTAAGGAGAAAAGAAGAAGGAAAACAAGAGTAGAGATTGATTGATTGATTGTGTTTATCGTCATAGGCCGTAGGCCCACGCGCCTTGGCGCGTGATAACCTTAGCCATCTATTCCAGTTTTGGACAAATGACGCTCAGAGGAGAAGCCTCTGAGTGGTTTACTAGCTAGCTAGGGGGAGTATTTTTATACAATTTAAAGGGGGCTAGGGCAGGGTTTACATGATTGCCTTCGCAGGGGGGGTTTGGGCCGGTAGGCCTTTTGGGGTTGTAATTGTGGTCATCCTCGTCCACTAGATCACTACCTCTTGATCTCTCTCCCTGTCTCCTCGTACTTGTTTTGGTTGTTCGTATGCATACTTGTTTTTTTTTTTTTTTTTTTTTAATGAAAGAAAAGGGAATGATGAAAGAGAGGAAAGAAGAGGAAGGAAAAGCACCCTTAGAGACCTATTAACTCCGTTTGAATCCAATGAAAGAAAGAAAGTTTTTTTTTTATTTTTTTTTATCTTGCACCTGTGTGCCACGGGCAGATTTTTGTGTAGAACTTGGTGTATTCTAGCCATTCGGCTAGTTTGGCTATACCGGTGGGATTTCTTAGAAGCCAGGGGATAGCTTCGGAGGGGGGGCTCTTTGTGAGCGCTTTGAAGGCTTTTCCTTTTTTGCAAAAGAAAAAGTGTAATGGAGTTTTCCTTTTACCGCACGAGCAATGGACGTGGGCTGTAGTGTGATTGAAGCGTTCATGGTATGCTGCGAAGTCGCCATGCTGTGATCTGATAGCGAGAATATGGTGGAGTGTGGCTCTCTTCAGAGAGAGGGTGTCTGTATTAGAAGTGTGGTTGAATTGGAGATCTTTGTAGTATTGTGGGCTGACTGTATTCCATAATTGTTCGTCTGCTTTGTTGGCCCTTGTTCTGATCATTCTTTTTAGGGATGCTAGCGTACAGATCGGGTTGAGGGGAAAGGGGAGTTTTGTTCCTTCCTTAGCGGCTTTGTCAGCTATTTCGTTGCCAGGGATATCCAGGTGCCCTGGGACCCATCGGACGCGGATTTTCCCGGGGGAGGTGTGTGGGAGCCTTGGTCTAACAGCCCAAGCTTGTGTGAGCTTCAGAAAGTCTTCAAAGACTCTCTGTGAGGAACCATTGAAGTGGGATCCTAATCGGAGAGCAGCCTCGTGGTTGTCTAAGAAGATCCAGAGATCTGTGGCCAGTTTGGTTGATGCTAGAGTGAGGGCTTTTGCTGCCCCTGCTACTGCGGCTGTGGCTTCTGCATCGAACACTTCTGCATTTGTGCCTAATGAGAAAGAATGGTGTGCTATCTGAATATCGAATTGTGAGATTACGAATCCGCCCCCAGTTGCGCCATCCTTGCTTTCACTTTTTGAGCCATCCGAGAAGATTTGTATATCGCTTCTTGGGATCTTGGCGTGGAAGGCTTTGAAGTCTTCGGCTGCTTGTGCCTTCGTTCTGCCCATCGGACCATTGATGCGGGCCTCGGCCTCTGCCCTCGACTCTCTGATTTCCCAGGGTGGGAAGGCCAAGGGGTTTATGTGTTCAGTCTCCGGTAATGCTGTGATGAGCCTTGCGAATCTTGTATCTGGGGTGCGGTTATATTCTCTGGCTTTGGTTATGTTCTCTGCTCTGATCCTGAGAGGATGGTAAAGGTCTAGTCTGGTGGTTCGTGCCGCATATAATTGTGAAATCAGGTTTAGCTCGATCTCGGATGGTCTGAGTTTGGCTTCCTCGTAGAGTACTGCTGTGTTTGTGGTTTTGTATACTGGGAGGATTGCCCTTGTACAGGTGATTACCACTTTGTTGAGTAAGCTTAGATGGCTGTCCACTACATTTGAGATCGAGATCGGGTTGTTTAGGGCATTCTTCTTTGTTCTGGTTCGGCCTGGCCACCACGTTTCCGAGGCGAAATAGCACTTTTTGAGTATGCAGGCTTCAGCCACTTTCCTGGTGAGATATGGGGGTATCCCTCGGTGTGTATTGCTGAGGGATCTCAGTGCGTTGGCTCCCTTGAGGGCTTTGGCTGCGAGGATCTGGACATGTGGTTTGAAGCATAGTTTCCTATCGAAGTGGACTCCGAGCCATTTGAGCGGGCCAGGTTTGACCTCTATATTCATAGATCCGGTGTGTATTGCAGGGGTATCCGTTAGTGTTCGGTGTCCTTTATAGAAGTGTATAAGCTCAGATTTCTTGGGGTCAAAAGTGATACCTTCGGTTTTTCCCCATTCGAGAGTTTCTTGCATATCCATTTTTAGAGAATCGCAGTTTGTCTGTAGTGAGTTTGATGTCGCTAGTATCGCGATATCGTCTGCATATCCGAATCTGCTCTGTGGTTTGCCCATCCAGAAGAGAGGCGCGATGTAGAGCATGAACAGGATCGGGGAGATCGGTGAACCTTGAGGAAGACCGCATTCTAGCTTTGTTTCCGGGCCAGTCTCGCCGTCTAGTCGGATCTTGATGGATCGATTAGTGGCGAAGGACTGAACCCATCTAACCAGGTTGTTTGGCCATCCTTGTTCCCGAAGGCGATTCACTAGTCTTCCTGGTAGCACTGCGTCAAAAGCACCTTTTACATCCATTGTGAGCAGGGTGGTCTTTAACCCTTGTTTTAAGGATGCCTCAATGTCGTGTGTAACGCAAGTGGTGAGGTCCACTGAGGATCGCAAGGGTAGAGCTCCGAGCTGCTGGTTCGCTAGGACTTGGTAGTTTAGAGCAAGCCATGATACCTTCTTCGCAATGAGTCTTTCGAGGCCTTTGCCTAGGACCGAGAGCAAGGCAATTGGTCGGTATGATCTTGGGTTGGTATAATCTGACTTGTTGGGTTTAGGGATGATTACGATGGTAGCTAATCGGAAGCATTTTGGGTGGTGTCCTAGGTGTAGACAGCCTTTGAAAAGGGATAGGGTTACTTCTTTTATCTGTAGCTATGCGACTTGTAGGATTTTTGTTGGGATTTCGTCTGCGCCAGGTGCTGTGTTCCCTGCTTTTAAAATGGCCAGCTCTATATCTTGTATAGCTATATCAGGGAAGGTGATAGATCTGCTTGGGGCTGTAGGGGTATCGAACGGGATGTCGTCAACCTCGGCTAGGTTTGTCAGTAGGTTGTTGGCGAAGGTTTCCCTTTTCTCTTCGATAGTATTTGCAATAGTTTGTTTTGATAGATCTGCTAAAGGGGGGGTACGGTATATTCCTGTGGATTGATGCCATTTGGCCATTCGATATACATCGTTTATATCTTCTACTTTATCCACTTTCGTAATATAGAAGGTGTGTTTTGCTTTTCGGACTGTTTTCCGAAGAGAGCGTTTGGATGTAGGTGTATTGGTGATTCTATGTTTATACACAGCCTTTATACAGTCCTTGTTCCACCAAGGTTGTTGAAGGGGCCCGTTTATGGATCTTCTTGCAGATCCTGTATAGGCTTTTGTAAGGGCTTGTGTAAGGGATGATGCGGCTTGATCTAGGTCTCTTAGAGAGGGTGTCCTGGGGATAGCTGCAATGTTGGTGAGATTAGTTTCTAGTAGGTCTTTAAAGAGCGTTTCATTCAATGTATTTAGCTTGAGTTTCTTTGCAGGCTTTTGGCTTCGGTAATTCCAGTGAAGGTAGGTTTTTAGGGTGCTGTGATCTGAGGTGCACTCTAGTTGTTCAGCGAGGGCGGTATACGCTGTATAGGGCCCTGAGAGGAAGGTGAGGTCCAAGACGTTTCCCTTTGAGTGAGTAGGAGTTCCGATTGGGGAGATGAGGTGTAGATTCCGGGAGTTTGACCATTCTACAAAGGGTTCGGCTAGCGTTGAAGGGGATGGATGGAGGGGATTCCAGTTGGGGTGGTGGAGGTTGAAGTCGCCTAGTAGGATGGCGTTGTTTGGGAAGTTTTGGAGTTCAAAGAGTGCCTTGATGGCTTGATTGCCATCTGTGCATTGTGTTGGAGCGTTGTAAATATTTATAATGGTAAATATTGTATTATTTGTAGATATTAATTGTATAAATATTAGATCTCTGGAGATTATCGGTCTGATCTGGTTGATCTGAATTCCTATTTCTTTTCTGATATAGGTGAGGACACGAGGGTTTTCCTTCCAATCGTCTAATGGAGTGAAGATTTCGTAGAAGGGGTGAGTTTTGGTGATTTTTCTTGAGGTATCTTTGTATATATATGGCTCCTGGATCGTGATGATATCAATTTGATCTATATTTGCTAGATTGAGGACGAGATCGTGTGAGATCCCTCCTTTACCTACATTGGTT